TACTCGATATCTACATCAGGGAAAACTCCGGATTTTGCCAAGCGCCCATAATGGTGGCATGTTGTTCGTTCTTTACAAGTGATTGCATTGCTGCGTCTTCCGAAGTGTATATTGAATTCCCCACATTTTGCGTGCACGACTGTCGTAGTTTCACATTTTGGTGAAGAGATTGTAAGTACGATTACATTACATGTTAATTCCTACCTGCTTACAGTACTTCTGCAAGTGACGCTCGAATTTCATCCACATCGGGTCTGAGTCTGGACGTCTGTACTACGTCAGGTTATACACCTAAACACCCTCAAATTACGGTACCGAGCTAAAATCTCGTTTCCGCGGGCAGTACTCAGTATGTATACTTACTATCATACAGTGATGCACACTCACGCCAGTCAATAAGCACATAAATCCATGCTCTCCGACTCTGACACCGAGGATATCCAAACCCTCACTATCAATGAGCACTATGCAAAAGCCTTCGAATATAGAAAGGAGCGGGAGGAGCTCACGAAATGTACGTCCGAATCACACGCCCGTCTCGCGTAAACTAAAACACCACCTCCAGTAAAAGAAAAATACGGGTCAGACTTTGAAGAGGGCACAGACGAAGAGACAGACTCCGAGGAAGCAGAATCCGAAGATGAGGATGGGGAGGAACTCACGCCCGCAGTGGATGCAGCCATTCTGAGGACGCTAGCAAGGATCAAGAAAAAGGATCCGGCTATCTACAATGCGGAGCATACCATATTTGAAGGTGCAACCCCATCTGTTTTGAACCACACGCTAGTTCTGACACTTGTTAGAGGAGCAGGAGCGCACCACCGTTCGTGCTCCTCAGGTGCAAGAGCGAAAACCCAAGGATAAAGTAAGTATTCGAATCGCGAGTACGACCTCAACTGAGTACTTCTCATTCATAGTCGAAGCCTCTTACTTTCCGACAAGCAACTCTTGCATCCGCTCTCGAAGCCAACACCTCTCGTTCCCCCACTCCAGAACCACATATACCTACGCACACCGAGGAGCAGCGTCAGCTACGCGATGAAACCCGTGCCGCATTCCATACCGCTGTTGATGAAAGCGACGACGACGGTTTGCTTATCCCACGAGAGAAAACAAAGGACGAGCTTGAGCATAAAGAAGAGGAATATCGAGAATACCTCAAGCATGCGGTTGGCGAGGATCTGGAAGGTCTCATAGAGGTCGAGAATTTGGGGACAGGTGCAGAGGCTGAGAGCAGTAAAGAAGGCGCGAGTAAAAAAAAGAAGAGCAAGACGAAGAAAAAAGGTAACGAGGCGAAGGGCATGTCCAAACAAGAGGCCGATCAGGAGTTCCTCATGAAGTGAGTCATGTTTCTTTATGAATACAGCCACTTTTAAATCTCCTCAGCTATATCCTTAATCGTGGATGGATCGACAAATCAAAAAAACGACTACCTACATACAAGGATATCGCGGACGTAAAACAGGAAGAGCCCACCATGGAAGATGACGACGAATTCGAGGAGATCGCCGACGTTTTCGAGACTTCATACAACTTCCGTTTCGAAGAACCGTGAGTACCGTCGCACTCTCCACTTCATCATGTTTTACGTCCCTCGCCTACCAGGAATGCAGCTACTATCAAGTCCTTCCCACGAAATATCGTTTCTACAGTGCGCCGAGTTGACACGACTCGCAAAGAGGGCCGTGAGCGAAAGAAGCAGCGCCAGGAACAAGAGGTCGAGAAAAAGCATGAGGAGGTGAAAAGGTTGAAAGCCCTTAAAATGAAAGAAATCCGCCGAAAACTTGAGTGCATCGGACGCGAAGGTGGCGTCAATGTCGGTTCCGATGCTGAAGGTTCGTTATTCTTGTTACCTCTAATTACTTTGATACTAAAACCATGCAGCCTTCAAGGAGTTCGACCTCGATGCGGACTGGGACCCCGAAGCACATGACACGCAAATGGCGGGGCTCTATCACGATGTCAACGACTCTGATGTTGACGTTGATCAAGAAAAGCCCGTCTGGGACGATGACGTCGATATCGACAATATCATACCACCTTCTCACCCCGCCGAATCCTCTTCGTCTTCAAACAAGAAGAAGAAAAAGAAGAAGAAGAAAAATGACGAGGTCGACGACGAAGGAGTGGATATCGACACTATGGATGCAGACGTCGTGCGCGAGTACGATGAAGAGGAATGGGATGGCACTGAGGAGATGAGGAAGCGCAAGCTTGATGAATACATGGACGAAGTCTACGGGCTTGAATTCAACGACATGGTGGGCTTCATTGTATTATCTCTCTAGAAATCTGCATTCACGCGTGTTGTCGCAGGTCGCAGGAATGCCTACGCGTTTCAAATATACTACGGCTGCACCGCAGACATTCGCGCTCACCCCTTCCGAGATCCTCATGGCCACAGATAAGGAACTTAATCAATACGTGAGCGTGAAGCGCTATGCACCGTACCGCGCGGAGAAGTGGGATCATAACCGTGGAGAGCGCCTCGCGGAGTTCAGGGAGAAATTGAAGGAACGGGTGGGGACCACTAGAACGAGCCACAGGAGCGAGGATCCGACGCCGAAAAAACGGCTGGGTAAGAAGGAGCGACAGAAAATGAAAGCAGCTTCAGGCACAGGCATCTAGTCTATAGGATATGGCGATGATATCTCTCAAGTGAAGACTTTCGCTAGTCCCGACTCTCCAGGCGCCGGGTCCTTCTGAATCTGACTAACCATCTCTGGATGTATTCCAATAAATGGTTCAAAGTTCATTTGTGAATCAACCAGACATATCATGTAATGAGCTACAAATGACGCAGGTATGACTCGTGAACTAATCCCAAAACATTAAGTACAGCGACTGTAACCAACCGCCAGTCGACAAACTTGAACTGTAGAGCAAGGAAGTTCGTTCGTGGATGGCCTTATGCGCAGAAAAGTCGCCGACCATGCTATCTCCACTTCATCACGTTCAATATTTTAGTAAGTGCGCTTCCAGTCTTGCGAGGTTCCGGAAGAGGGAGTTCCCTCACGAATATGTTAGTACCCACGGAAGACGTTTCTCCGTGTCTCGCCCATTTTCGAACCAGGTCCACCAAGCGCTTTTCGGCCCATCGCATCACCATGCTTTCTTTTTGCCAAACACCATCCGTCCAGATAGCAAGGGGGCCGCCAATCCTCACACGAGCGGATGCATCGCTCGCAGATGAGGCGAAACCAAAGCGCATTCTGTTTGCCATGATCACATCCGTAAATATACGGTCCCCGACTACAACCAGTTCATCGTCGGGGATTGGAATGCGAAGAGACGAAAAGTAGGTGCGTATCGAAGCAATGCAGGAATAACCAGGTTTAAGAGTGTTGTGTCGGAGAACCGGGACAGAGAGGTGAAATGACACCGATTCTGCCTGTGCATGTTCAACTTCTGATTATGTTTGACGAATGCTGGCCATACCTGGATTCCTCCGGCATCGAACTTGGTGCCAGCGGAATTACTGACGATGATTATATTTTCATCTCCGAATGCCTCACGACATTCCTTCCAGGCGTCCTGTAAAATAGGTTTTCAACATCTGACTGAAATTTATGACCCTTTAGACTCACCTCGAGCTGTGGCACAAGGGTGTCTTTATACGGGATCGTCTGCTGTGTGTTCAGAAAAATAGAGACGCCAAAAACATCGTGACTAACCAAGCAGTTATCTTTATCAAAGACTGCTCCTCTATAGCCTGCATTTCGAAGTGCCAAAAAATCAATTTGACGAATATCTGTCTGTGGTTTAGCGTTAGTTGTAGCTATGAATGCAGAAAACTAGGGTGACCTTTTACTGTTACATGGGGAATGACAAGCCGGGGATTTTTGAGTAGGTGAAATGGAGCAAGAATACCTGGGATGTTCAATGGCATTGATAGAAAAGGTGAAAAGACAGTCTAGCTTACCATGAATGCATGAAAGCTATGCAACATTTGACACCCGGCAAACGCCGTGGACTTGCCCAACTTGTTTCTACTTAGCAGCATTACACCTATCTGTCAAGTTCAGCACCGTATTCAGAAACATGGACGACGACTTTGATTTTGACCGCGCAGCCTCCGCCTTTCCTGATATCGACCTGGACGGGCAGGGTGACGTGCACTTGCCATCAGCCCCCGTGGCGAGCAGTGGCTTCTCATTTGATGATTTTGAGAGTCCACTGGGACAGACCGACGTGAAGGTCACAGGCGATGATGAGATTGAGAAGTTCGAGGATCAGTTTCCAGAGCTGAACATTGGGCAGGTGAGTAGTGTTCATGGGTAATTGGACTGTATTAAGGTCTTTGTTTGCTGCGTAGCCTGTATCTACTCCCGCACATGCCCTTCCAACTTTTGGTGCTCCTCCTCCATTTGCTCCTCGTCCACAGCCATCAGCATTTTCGTCCACGCCCATCCTCAACCAGCAACTCGATGAGGAAGAGCCTGAAGTTATCAGGTACATCATCAAATTGTTATATGACGTCCATCGCTGACAGTTGTTTACCAAAGGAAATGGCGCGAGAGTCAGCTAGAGGAAATACAGGCTCGCGATGAAGCCAGTAAGGCTAAACGCCAACAAACTATTGGGAAGGCCGAACATGCTATTGACCAATTCTATGAGGAATACGCAGCAAAGAAGGAGAGGACTATTCGTGAAAACAAGTTAGTTAAACCTTGTCCAACTAGACGAGTTCCACTGATGGGTTTTTCAAAGGGACGAAGAAAGTGATTTCTTGGAGTCACTATCCTCATCTCTTACCAAAGGGACGACTTGGGAGCGTATTTGCGAGACCGTGGAGCTACAAAATTCCCAGAGCAAAACAATTGCAAGGGCTGGTCCTGGCACCACTGACCTTTCGCGGTTCAAAGAAGTGCTGTTGCGTTTGAAGCGTGAGGGAACTGCTGCTCCCGGCGCAGCTGGTTATTAGACATTACGTGTTTCACATGTATATACCTCTTGTTTTAATTTTCGGGACTTTTCTTTCCTTTGAGACTGAACGCACAGACGAAATAGTAAGCAGTAAAAGCTGTGTAATATCCTTAGAGTCTGGATGAAATGTGAGAATACAGGTGTGCCTCCACCCAGGTAATACACTCCTCGGTGAGTTTCTCCTTCACACCGTCTGGTTCATTGTGAAGTTCGTGATAGCCACCCTGGTGAAATATAAACCTGCAATTCGCAGCAGTGACGTCGCAACTGCTTACTTGGTAAATGGATATTTTCTTATCTTTTGCGGGTACCCGTTGATGAAACAGCTCAGAAGCTTTGGCAGAAGTTACCTGCGACATATCAGAGCTTCTTAGAACGAGGTATTCTACAGGACACGAACCTTGTCATCCGAACCATGTATGAAGAGGACCTGATGACATTCGTGAATGGTACAGAAAGGGAACTCGACTGAAATAACTTACAGGGAGGTCTGTAGGCCAACGAGCGTAATCAGTGTGCAAGAGATGCTCGCCCTAAGAACTAGAGGTGAAATGTCAAACAGAAAGACATGTCAATTAATTACCCCGTCTAACATGTCGCTTACTCCGCGAAGCGACCCAACTTGCTTAACCAAAGGATCCTTCGCATATTCCTCACCGACAGTCTTGTCATGCGACAAATTCTACGACAGTACATTTAGCTATCCATATCAGCAAGGAGAAAAAGTTGTGAGCACCTGACCCTTGACGTCAGATGGAATAGTGAGCCATGGAGCTACCAGGCTGGCCTTGCCACCTATCCATCTTGCTGCTTTAGCAGCTGGCTTCGCTTGAAGGATGAGGGGGCTAGTAGAAATCACGCCCGCCAGGCCTGTTACTGTTTCCCTTGCAGGGGGACTACTTGCCCTGGTGCAAAATGCAAGTACCAATGCTCCACCCTACATTGCACGTGCCATCTTGTTCGACATTCAAGATATTTGGAACATACCATTGAATGCCCATACAGAAACACGGGAATGGAGCCGAACTCGCTCTTGGCATGGTTTATAGCCCACTCGATGTCTTGAAATTGTTCCTTCCAGCTCGTCTTCGCATACGAACTATCCTTGCTCTTCTCCTCCATGTCTAAGGCCGTCCTTCCAAAGCCGCGCTGGTCATAGGCGAAGACAGCTATGTCGCGCGCGGACCAAGTAGGGAATACATGCTCGTACCGAGCAATGTGCTCAATGAAACCGTGCACAAAAATTACAACAGCTTTTGCGGAGGAAGCTGGCCGGTACGTGCGAGTATAGAATTGTGTATGCTGTGGACCAACTAGCCATGATTCCAAGAAAGCTGACATGATCTGCAGGAAGAATGATGCGACTCCTTTGAATTCGACCCGAATCAAGACATTAGGTAATTAATTATATTATGCTTGGGAACCCAACAACTTGAACGTTTGAACGGCTGGCATCTACATAAGTAGTGGCGGACAACTTTCTCAATATTATATCTCGTCACGCACTTGCTACGAGCAAGCATCTCTTCATCTTACATTCAGAATTCCAGATAATGGACAAAAGTCGGACATTCTAAAGTCTGTTGATCCCTTGACGCGGCCGCAGCCCTTTGCCAAGATTAATATTGACCTCACAAGGCCCATCTCACATTGCATTACTCAAGATTCTCATCGCCGTGTGTCCCTACTCAACTACCGAGGAGTTGAATATTAGTACGTTCTGGCCACGATGAGGTAGACTCAAATTTCGCTAAGTCGAACGCAGGGGCAGAACGTTGTACCCACATTCATAGGTCACCTACCTCCGGCATATGAATGTGGTTTCATGTATCACACGATCAATATTTCAATGACCACAGACTGGAGTGTAGCGTATACGCAATTTTCCCGATCATGACACTACTTGGAGTCTATGCGACCGCAAATATTGTCACACGTCAAGCGAAGGGATGTATCGAATAGATTCTTCCTTGCGCGCGGGCCGGGCCGCAGAGACCATTATGCGAATGATATTTAACGAAAGCCACGTCCTTCCAAGTTACATTCAACACAATGCGTATCCTGTTCTCGACAGCATTAATAGTGGGTAGGCTCTTTTTGGCACGGGGAGCTGCCCCTGCCCCAAACACAGGCGACGTATCATGTATCGTCACAGCGAGTAGCGGAGACGATGGACCGGCATTTGTGGATGCTGTTCAACGTTGTGATTCAGTAACAATTCCTCGTGAAACTACTCTTTCGATAGCAACGAGGATGAATATGACCGGCCTGAAGGACAAGAACATTGTATGTTACTGTGTTCTATTATGTTGTACTGACAATCTCACCTAGTGGGTTGCAGAATTTGTTGGGAACCATAAAATTCACAAGCAACATGTCATATTGGATCAACGTATGTGTTGGGAATCGCAATGCGCCACCTGTTAACCCCTCGCCTTAGAACGGTTTTCCATTTGAGTTCCAGGATCAAATCGCCTTTTGGATCGTAGGTGGCAAGAACATTCTTATCAATGGTGGCGGGACAATAGATGGTTCAGGTCAGGTATGCTAATCAACACATATGGTCTATGTCCTGCTAATCTCACAACCTGTAGGTCTGGTACGACGCGTTGTGAGCAGGACTGACAGTAATCTGGGTGTAACGTTTGGTTGACTCTGCACTCAGTGCCACTAACAGCGCTCTCTTACGTCCAATCTTGCTCACGATTTACAAAGCTACTGATGTTGCCATCAAAAATATTACGATGATCAACAGCCCTGAGTGGTTTAACTTTGTGAGCATTTCAGAGTTTACTCAATCATTGACTTGACCAGCTTACCCTCCCTCCACGGCAGGTTAATGAAGGAAAAAATGTTGTCTACGACGGCATTAATATTAGTGCCCTCTCCACATCAAAAAACCTTGCCAAGAATACTGATGGCTGGGATATATATCGCAGTGATAACGTTTCCATCATGAATTCGAACATCAACAACGGCGATGATTGTGTTTCATTAAAACCAAGTACCATCTATTCTCGCCTGGGCTTCATGGTTCGCTCATGCAGTCTTTGTCTCAGATTCGACGAATGTCATTGCATCAGACTTATACTGTAACGGTTCCCAGTCCGTAGAAGCTTTCTTTGGGCGTGGTGCGCACCTGCTCACATCCTGTTGACAGTGGTATTTCTGTGGGATCCCTCGGGCAGTATGCTGGGGTATATGACATTGTCGAAAACTTCACTTCGACGTGCGTTTGAAACATGGACTTCGATGATAGCCAGGAGCACTGATTAAGAACTCTCAGCAATGTCCACATGTATAACGCTCAAAATGGTGCGCGCATTAAAGCCTTTGCTGGTCCGGGGGTCGGCAGTGGCATTGTGAAGAACATTAGTTATAGCTTCTTCACCGAGGGCAATGTCAACAACCCCTTAATCGTTGATCAGGTTTGTGCTCATCTAGAATCTCACGATCTGCAAGAGACTGATTAATTGCTGTGCAGTGTTACATGACTAACGCCACAGAATGTACTGCATACCCTTCCAACGTATATATTCAGGACGTCACATTTTCTAAGTACGCGAAAGTGATTATGTCCTTTGGTTGAAACTTACACAACTGTGACCCAAGTTTCAAGGGCACTTCGTCTGGAAAAATGAAATCCGTAGTTGCTTCGCTGGCATGCTCTCCGGATGACCGCTGCAACAATATCAGTGTCAACGATATTTCCCTCGAGTGCGTTTTGTTTTTTTTGCTCCTCCAGGTCAATAAAATAATCAATTCGCAAAGGCCGCCTTCAAAAGATGGTAGTGCGACCTACTCTTGCCAGAACGTGAATATCACTGGAAATGCTGCTTACCTATTCGGTAACTGTAAAACTACCTAAATGCAATCGAGCACCTTAGACCTCAGCACATACATAGTCAGCATCGCGGTTGTGGACTTGTGTGTAACAAGCTCGTAGTAACACATGCAGTCTTCTCAAGCTTAAAATTTTGATTGTTTGAGTCTACATCGAACTAAGCGCCCATTGATGAATAAATGAATAACTTTGTTTACAATGACATAACTTCTTTATTCAAGTTCAACGGACTAGTCTGGGATAGTCGACAGTTCCGCACCGATGTCTCTCTTCTCCGGAGTAAAACACATTAATATCAAAGCTTTAGTCCGTTGCAACCGATCTACTTTCACTGCACATCGCTCAAGGTGGTTTTCCCTGTTCCCTGGCCGTGCTCAAGGAACCCATATACCAAAAGGACAACCGTTTTATGAACTCAAGAAGCCCAGCATCTTAATCAAGTTCACCTGGACACTTCTCATAGCTGATGCGGTCTGCACGTGAGTTTTTCTGATTTTGTACGCGCTGGTTTAACTTCAATGGTGTGCAGACTAGCAATGTGTGAGCTTTCCTGGAACTATTTCACGCGTCCTGTGGAACCATCCGAGCCCGCAATACCCAATGACTTCAATACTATAGGCAATAAGCCACAGTACGAACTCCGCCCGACATACCAGCGTGCTGGTCTAGTTTTTATGCATCTCGCGTTTGGAGGTTGGGTGGCATTTATGGTTGGCATGAAAAGTGGAATGAATGTAAAGAGGATCTGGCTGACCCCACCACGTTCACAAGGCGGTTTGACTACGTCAACCCGAAAAGCAATCGGGCATCCAAAGGTTGCGACTTTTGAAGGCTTTGGTAGTTTTGGTCTACGGGGCGATGCACTGGACGTGAAAAATTGCCGCCTATCCACTGCAGAATCCGCAAACGAGCTGACATTGATTGTCACCACGCCGGGGAATAGAAAACAGCAACTTTCGATCGCGACGAAAGGCGTTTATATTGACGGCAAGCCTGTTTCACGCGATGAAGTTTGCACTTCGCTCTCGCAAGTCTTTGGACATAGACCTGAACCCGCGTCTTGGATAAGTGGTCCAATTCTAGACGCACAGGTATGCATACCCCGTCAGTTGACAATCTTATGCTTATCTCGTTTCAAATAGAAATCATGATCAAACTCGGGCAGGATGGAATCTTGCGAGCCTGCTGTCTGTCAGTTGCAGCTGACAGCTTACAACCTATATTCTCTCGACCAGACTGAGGCGATACAGTTACTGTAGCTTATTTGTGCACGTCATTATACGCGTCCACTAAGAGGTGTGTACGCAAATAAGCAGACCACTTATGAATGCCGTGCCGCGTTACTGGTTAAGCTCAAGATTCACATTCACAGCAAGAGGGCTACCTTGGTCTGGGTGTATTGCCTAAATGTATGGACTGCGCATTATCTGGGACCCATGGTCATGGACTCGTACATCGCACTTTTTAAGTGAACGAGCGATACCACATACAGCCCAACGCAGGCACTGTCCCATATTGAAGATGAGATGACAGATCCCCTGATTTCCACTCGACCCACTCAAGCTGCCATGGTTTTTAGTCGTGTTACTGTCAACTCATGGCCATCGAGTCCTAGCCTACTGCGATGATGGTCAACGATTGCGCTTGCCTGACATTTATTACCACATAGTAAAAAGTCACTTGCCACTTGCCCGTATAGTCATTATGTTTCCAGACTCGCATCAAATCCTGTCTGCTATACTATAAGCTGACCCTTCTGCGCATGCGCGGATTGTCATCACTAGTAGCTGCTTGCGGTCCTTCAGCGAATTCGATACAACGTGCATCCCGCATGCCGGTGACAGTGCGGCATTTGCCGTGGTACACTTATTTCTCTGCCATCATGTCCGGTACTCAGTATATCCCTCACATACTATACTCAACAGCCTTGACCTCAATTTCTATGCACTTGCTGTGGCAGCGAAAAACAGCCGACGAAGACCGAGCAAGGTTCAAGGCTCAAACTTCCATTCTGCAAGAACTCATTGAGCAACTTCGTTCGGGCAAGCCAATATCTGACGAAGAGATTACGAAGTCGCGTAACCTTGCCTGTATACACGGAGAGGGAAAACAGTCGCCCGACAAGGACAGAACTAACATTGGATGGACGGATGTGTTATGGGGCCGAAAAACGCCTGCAGACCTTGGTGTCAGTGATGAATGGGAACGAAAAGATCTGGAGCAAAGTGAGTCGCTCCTGCCGTCACACACAGCAGCCAACTGACTGGTCTACCAAGTACGGAAAGAAATCGAGGCAGAGAGTTGAATTCCTTGCTTGGTGAGTATCGTCCAAATGTCTTCAACCTGTACACACAATATACACCGGACCAATATATCTACAGAGAGTACATGTGCGCCTACGCGAACTTCTCCCTTCGCCTACATGCAAGACAAAATCTCGTGCGACTGCTTTCTACTGCGGGCGCATATTCTTATACCTGAATGGACGATCGTATTGTGAATTAACGAGAGAAGCCCAGTGTCAACAAAACGTCTTGCAGCGTACCCTAGAAGGGGAATGTTTTTCCATTTGTGTGCTGACCATTCTGGGCAGACTCAGTAAACGAGAGTTTGAATGTACAACAGCCACTCACCGCGTTGGAGGTGCCATTCGCGTTGGCATTCCTCTTCTTCCTCTCCCCCGGAGTGGGATTCCCTAATGTCGGAACCGAGCCTCCCGTGGTATCATGAACCCCATTTGCGGGAGCTCCTTCAGCAGCAGTCTTGAATGGCTTAGTCATTGAAGAGTTGGGGAGGCCAAAAATCTCGCATATGATTCTTTTGACGTCTTCATCCCCAGCGCTCGCACTCGTCGGCGAACGGCATCCATCCTCTGCCGCCTTCTGCAACGCTCTTTCCCTCACCATAGTGAGCCTAAGAATCGTTTCGATGTCAAGCTTTGCAGCCTCTGATAAAGAAGGGAGCGTGGGGCTCTTTGCTAATGTCGAGTATGATGGTATTAGCAGCTGGGCATCAATCTTGAAGTCAGAATAGATCTTGATCTTGTCGATAGGTTGTAGGTCGAGCTTCTCGAGCTGACGGACCACTAGCTTTCGCACTCTGCCAAAGCCCCACCGTATTGCGAGCCTCAAGATCACGAGCCACCTCTCAAGCGGCTGGTTCTCGTATTCGAAGTCTCTAGAAGGCCACAGATTTCAGTAACGATGTTGGTGGACATCGGGCGCTGAGTGCGCTACGACTCAGTCGGACTCACTCGTCGTAGAACACCCACAGGAAGTGGGCAAAATCTTCAGGTTTGACATCCAGTGTATAAGGTTTGCCAGCGTTGCCATCACTATCGGAAAATATCTCTCTGAAGGAACTTGGTTCGCGCTCCAAGAAATAACGATGTACTTTGAACAGTACGTTTTGTGCCTGAATGAAGAGAAAATTAAATTATTCATCAATGCTTCATACCCACTTGGAGGCCCTCTCACTAAAAATTGAGTGTCACCAGTGGGAATGAAATACTGAGGATGTTTGATAATGGCGGAAAAACCAGTAGCAGTGGGCGTGTCTGACATGTCGTAGGAAATCGATGATCGGGGGTAAACAGTGCTCTTGATTCAATTGTCATTTATATTTATCTACTTTGCGAGCGCTGGCGATGCTTCGAACATCAGTGTATCGATGCATCAGTATCAGAATTCAGATTGCTCAATGTGGTCCCATCCTGTAGTTCTAGCGACTGTCGACGTAATGATCCTTCGTTATTGCGTGGCCTCGCCCACAGGAATGATCAAGTATGGTACGTACAATAAGATTAAACAAGAGATGCTCGTACGGGTCTCTGTCGCCGGAGAAGCCCTGATGCTTAGATCACCCGTTGTAGCCCGAAGGTTACTAATGAAAGGGCGAACCGAGCCCACGAGGCAACAAGTTGACGAGACATATTTACGAAATAAGTCTGGCCGCATCAAAAGATCCCCCATCAAGGACCTATCCCTGCCTGCCACCAAATCGAAGTGGCGCATACAATTGTCTCGCTCGCGCTCGTGGATCACTCGTCGAACAAGAAGTTTTTGATGCAAACAGAATAACATTAACTCAAGGAATGGCGGACAATCGAAACGACAGAACTTGAGAGTTAGTTTTTTGAAATGGAAACGGAGAAAATTGCCAAGCGCCAACATTCTGCTCTCCAACTTGGTCGAACTTAACCTTATTTCTTACGTGGACCTCCCCCGGCTCCACGCCCGCCGCCACGCTTTGCTCCGCGACCGCCTTAGATGAAATTGGTTTGTGAGATGTACATCAAATTGATGTTACCGCCATGCTCACCTCGCCCGCCGCCACGTATACTTTCGCTATCGGATAGCACACTAGAGAGGTCAATGTCCTTGATTTGAGTTTCATCCTTCTCAGCATCATTTTCGTGGTCGTTAGTCTCATTCTCATGGTGATTCTTAACATCAATGGGTGTTGATACAACAGGCTCAGCGACAGGGGTGACAACGGTGGTGGAACTATGAGAACCAGCCTTTTCCTCCTTTGTTCCCTCCTGCAATACCAAGAATGAGCCGAAGTCAGAAAAATATAAGTACAGGACTCGCCACCGATGAAGGCTCACCCGTTCCGTTTGGTTTGTAGGAGCCAGCCTGGGATGGATCGGTAGAGGAGGATGTAGTGTTCGTCTGCTCAGGCGCTTTGACCTTCTCCGGCGGCGGGGGCTTGCTCTCAGGGCCCGAGGCAGCCGCTGGCTTCGAACCACCATTTAGTGGCGAAGAAACGTGTGTATTTGTCGAAGATGCCGATGAAGTAGATGCCGATTCCTTACCAGTATAGTACGAGTGTGTGGTGTCGGCGGAGGAACGAACAACCGGGTCAGGGTTGGATAAACCATTGGTACGAACTGAGGGGCCACCATTGGCTTTGGTTGTCGTCGACCCATTGACCTTCGTGCTACCTGTGAAGGTCGAGCCGTTGGTGTAGGCAGATGGATTACTGGTCTGCGGAATCGGCGATATTGGTCGCGGGGTTATTCCAAAAACCTCCCTGACCATCGATTCCAGCTCACTGTCCTCGAAATCGTCAAATGTAGGTGAGCGGACTCCATTCTCAGCGGCGCGCTGGCGAGCCCGCTCACGAGCGTCTGCGACACGGAGAACGGTCTCCATCCCAAGTTGCATGCCCTCAGCAAATGTCAAAGGCTTATCCCTCTTACAGACCGCGATGTATGCTGGGATGAGGAAGAGCTTGTTTATACTGTACTCGTGATAGATTGCCATCTTGTCGACGGGCTCTATCTGAATTTTCTCGAGTTCACGTACAGTGAGCTCCTTGACGTTGTTGAAACTCCACCGGTTGGCGAGGTGTAGGATACTCAGCCACGTCTCCAGAGGCGCCTCATAGAGCGAATATTTTCTATCCACAACCGTCAGTATGTCTGGTTCGAGCAAATTGAATTAAGTAGGCATACGGGTTGTAGAAGACCCAGAGGAAACGTGCAAAGTCTTCGCTCTTGACATCCTCCAAGGTATAGGCGTTGTTGTCTGATGAGCCGCGTTCCTCGCCTTCGGCTGACTGGAACTTCTGGCGGAAAAACAGCGATTCACGTTCGAAGAAGTAACTGTGTATCCGATAGAGATGATTCTCGACCTGCGAAGAAATTGTATTCGTCAATCCGAGGCGTTGAGTATCATAACGACCGTAGACACTCACCAGTACGGTCATATCACCACCGCGTATATAATAGTCCTTGTGATGGATGACACGAGCTAGTCCGTGCTCTGATGGGTTGCCCATGATTGATTTTACCTGAGAGATGAGAGAGGGAGGAGGAAGGTGAAAAGGTTTGGGTTCAAGAGGAAATTTTTCAAGGAAGTCAAGATATACGTTTCTTGAATCCAGCTCGAGTGTGAATGATCTGATCAGTTACACGTGTTCTGCGCGTGTCCTCCATTGTTCCCTCGTCCTTTTATTCCTATCCAATTGCTTAGCCTGAAGATTGATTGCGTAAATATCATCGTGGTCTATTGTCGGGGTTGTCCAAACACTATCGGTGTTTTGGAATCGCTTGCACTATCGTACCACGATGTCGACCAAACACCGCTGAGTTACGTGCAATCTCGGGAAGCAGCGCGTTGCAGGTGAGTTGGATGACATCCAGGGACGTGGACCCGACTTTTTGAACTGAAATTTTCAAAAGAGTCACGGTATGCTCCGCGGGAAGTTCCACAGTACCAAATCAACACAGGATTCGTGATACACGCAACTCGCGGATCAATATTCGATCAATGCTCAGCGCTCAATTTTGGGGTTCCTGCCTGCCAGATAGCAGAAGTTGCCTCAAGGCAGACTGTGATGACTGGGATGCATAACAAGTATGACACAGGAACTGCATTCCTGGGTTTTTCGTACGTGAAATGTGGGCATACGCGGTTCATGCGACCCACCTTTAGGCAACACGAGGTTAATGCATAATGGATATGACGTACGTCAAGGATCATCCATCATGCATCTTGAGTTCCATGGCTCCACATGATGTTATGTATTCACTGCATTTTAGGCGGCCGCAGCAGCTCGCTTGTTCTCGCGGTGAGTCGATGAGTCATAAAGCAGGAGACTATGTTGCATCACTGATTCTAGGCCGCCATCGAGTGTAATTAGGCGGAGTATCTGTGTGGACGCAACGGGCCAAAATTTAGAGTGAGTGTTGCTGATCCATGCTTAATTAAACCATGCCAGACGAGCACTGGTTTGATTTGAGGTCACGGAGACCAATCCAAAGACCCATGATCCAATAGATTTTCGCAATACTCAGTTATGGATGACTGCGGTATCAGTGCTAGTCTGCTTCTCGAATGATTGCTCGAAAGTGGTAAATGTATTCTTCCCGAGGATGGCGAATACTACGCGATCAAAGGAATGCCGGTATCGCGCACCTTTCACCGTCAATAACTCTGCCCAGATCCTCGCAATAACCTCGACATCGTTTTGGAATACCCCCGTCCCAAAACTGCCCAAGACGATGTTCTTGGCACCCTGCTGTTCAAACAAGAACAGAATGCGCGCCATTCTTTCTTTCATGACATATTCGATAGGCTTCTCGATATCTGCAAGCTCTGATTCATCCTCGATCCTCTTCCTCACATCGCCAGCGTTTACAGCTGCACTTGTTAGAACGTCGACTTCAAAAGGCGACGTCCAATTCCCTGCATCATCCTTCAAGATCACGACAGAAGGTGTGTAGACCATCGCGTGATGATAAAACCCTCGGTTTCTATCATGAGTGTGTAGTTGGTAGAAGTGTTGTGCGCTGTCCGTCATTAGAGAGGGGTAAAGCGTAGATGACCGGGCTATGGACTCCTCTTGAGCTTGTGCCCCATTCAAGAAACCGCCTCCAGGTCGTGTAGCAGACGCAAAGTTCAAGATTGCTATCCGACCGAAGCTGGTAGAACGAGATGAAAGGGTATTGAACAACAATGTAGCACCATCAAGTGTCGAAATCTCGAGGATAGATACCTGAGATTTCGTAGCTGCAGCATTACGTGGTGGGTCACTGGTGGACCAGGTGGACAGTATATCATCTGGAGCATAGTAGCGAGTGTTATGATTGGAGAAGTTGACTTTGGCAACGAGATCATGGGAGACGTTGGCGATGATGACCGTGCCATTCTCGATCGCGTTCATCGTGCTCTGGGCGATTTCTCGAAGCCGATTACGGCGATCTCCACCGTGACCACTCCGAGTCGACTCTCCTCGGAGACCGATCTTTTGAAATGGAAGTTTTGTTTGAGCGCTCATCACAGTTAGTTGTAAACTCTGCGTATGATGGTCCTCCTATTCAAAACTTTTTTCCATAGACCTATGTCTTTGCATTCCATTTTAGGGGTGCCGGTGAGCGGCCGATGACCGGTAGGTCGAACAATAATTTAATAATGGTCCCCCCACGACAGCTGAAGACGATTTTCGTGTCAGGTCCGATCGAGGCGTAACAACGCTCTCGACTTTTCACACGAGACATACAAGGTTATCTATATGCATAATACCCCATATACGTAGGTCCGACATAAACGCCGTCGTCGTAATTTTGCCACTACCATCACTCTCACGTTTCTGATTTCAAACGTACCAACGGTCCGCGACCAAGGACACCTCACCTTAGACACGGTACGAGGCCGAAGTAAAATCCCAACATGCTGTCATCCATTGAACCCCTGGAGGAGGTAAGTACATGCGCTGTAGTGAGGTCACAACAAAGCTAAATTCGTGCAGAGATTCAGACAGGTAGAAGAAGAGAGTGAGAGGAGGGCTATGCAAGAGCAAGACCTGTCGACAAATGCAAATGAGCTAGTTGACCCTGATTTAGTCAGCCTAAGCAGGCGAGGACATCAGCGGAAGAAGAGTTCAGTGTCAATTTCACGATTCGGCCAGGTACGGGTTATTCGCTCAGTAGTATGTGGACCATACAAACTCACCCTCAATAGCCTGGCACAAGTAGTTCCACTTCACCCACATCTTCACTACTCGCTACTGTTGCCCACAAGTCGACATTCTATCATTCATTAGCAAACGTAAGTAGCCTTTTATTTGTGCCTGCTATCAGGAGCATTTCCTGATCGGAATATTCAGCCTAGAAGCATGGACTCCTTCATTTCCGAACGCTCAGAAGACGAATCTCACCATTTAGAAGATGACCAGCAGGTGACACGAGTCGAACGAATACATGGCCGTCAGCCTTTCCAGAAGACAGTTGAAGCAATACTACCCCGACGCATGGTTCGGTCGCAATCATCAAACGTACTCTCGCCAAGCACACGCCTGGTCATTGACGTCTCTGTCGAAAAGGCAACAGTAGATACCGCATATGCGCGCTCTGAGGACATCCACACCACCACCATTCACGCAACCAAAGCAGGAGAGCTAAGCCCTAGAGCGTCGCGGATTAGCGCACTTGGCGCCAAGCCACCGGCAGACGGGCTGGTAGAACGGGCGAAATCGTTCGCTCGTAAATTCGGACGTAAGAGAAAGCCCGAATCTGGGTGAGATGAAGTGGATGTTGTGCGCGCGCCCGGCTCTTGAGCTGTCAAGGAGACTCTGGAATGGAATGGACCTAGTTTCAATGATCCGAGTAGTTGCCATGCTTCATCAAGGACTAGTGATAACCTTGAATTGCTCATCACCAAGAGGCCAGAGGTGCATCAGAATTTCTTTCGTGTACTATACTCTATGATTATATAATTTAATTTTATGAACCAATCATCGTTCAATCGCCTTTCTTCCACTGACAATTACATCGGTTCTTCACGTGAGTTCAGTGCCGTGATTTACGTGCTTCGAGATCGATTACTTATCTTCCAATTCTGAATCTATAATCAGATCGAATGATGCGTCACCGAGTCTAGGTACGCAAGATCATTGCGGAAACAATTCCGCATGCTCATAAAAGCGTACCAACATGATGGGCGCCAAGGATCCTTGTACTCGCAATCACCTTTCCATTATTCTGGGATCAGTGCCAAATGAGTGGTGTCCGTACTTCAAATCCATCAACTATGCACCTACCACACCACAGACGTGTTGTGGACAAATGTACCCCACGGGATAAGTATGCGAGGACGCATATACATCTAAAGAATTCCTTCCTCTCAAGCTCTGATGATTTGGGTGTAAAGACTGTGAGTCTCCTGGAGCTTCTTCAGTCGCGCTGTCAAGATGTTGATTAGATATTGCAGCCAAGCGCACCTTGGGTCCACGTATATAACTCACGACAACGATCACAATCTTCCGCAGATACGCAAGGCTGGAAGCATCTGCCGACTCCCATCCGACCAACCTTCCGCCCGCGTGATTACGCATCAGTGGCATCACCACTCACTGCGGATAATGTCTCCCCCACGAACACGTTCAAAGTGCTACAACGCTCGTTGCATAACCTTGATTTTGACCCAACTTGCCTTGATCGCCTCGATGAACAGCTTCTTCTTTCGCCCACAGAGTCATTCGTTGACGTATGTTACTCTGAAGCTGTTCATGAAAACAATATTCCTGTTCCTATGCTTCAGCCCATCCAACCTCGTATCCGTAAAGACGCGACACTATATGACCGTACAGCTGCCACCGATGAGGACCCTTTCCACGATTGGGATGAAAATTACTCCGTCAAATTCAAAAAGGCTCGCAGGAAACCGGTGAGACTTCTCCCACTTGTTGTGCGACTTCTACTGAATCTTCACGCAGTTGCCCCCACCTCCGCTTCCACAACTGCCCGAAGAATCACTTCCCAGAACGAGTCACCAGGACTCGATGCTCGCTCTTCTGGAGTCACATATACTATATCACAATCCCAACGAATCTGTTCACTTTTTCCCAGTATCTACGCAACGCTGCAGTGGGGAATCGCGAAAATCCTCTCTCGAAGCCCCCTCCGTCCACTCCACGGGGTCGAATGGCAGATTCAGGCGCATTTCTGATGCACTGACCGGTCGTTCTCGAAGACCCACTGCTTAAAACCCCGCCGACTTCATTGAATGTGAAGTCATCATCTTAGCCGTTTTGATCACTCGACAAAAACGGCATGCCGTACCACCTCCATCCCCTGATTGTTATATCTTAGCCTAATCGCCATGCAGCAGGAACTCCATTTGCGACCTAGATACCCTCTGACGTTACTTTAACTTTTGATTCATTTGTTTGTTTTATATGTAGGAGTATATTTTGGATTTCTTACCATCTCATGACAACCGACTGTTCAAACTGCTTCACAGTCGCTTCTTCCTATCTCCGTCGCTAGATACGATGATCAGTGACGTACCATTCAGCATCGATAACGCCTTGAATGAAATAATGATTTTTGGAACTTAAACATGACATATGACCGCGATTCTTGAGTATATATATCTCACCGAAGTCTTACCTCATGATTGGTCGTTTGGTCGGCCAAACGGTGTTATGGTGGAAGTTTGACGGATGCGACTTTCAAATACGGACTTGCTTCGGTTTTACACGGGTGAATAGTTGATTGTTCTTCGGAGGGCGTAAAACGATACCCCGATATCTGGTGGTCGACAGCTGAGGTAACGGCATATGGGAGTCGAAGTCGAAGGACATGAATAATTGACGTTCAGACGACGTGGAGTCCGGGACATATCATTCAAAGTAGCGACCGGCTAGGGGAGCCCTGATGATACCTTGGGACAGTTTGGTCAACTTGTCCGGATGAGTCCCGCCTAGGGTTCGCACATGGGTTCGCAAAATTTTCAAAAACACGTTTTTTCAATGCTGGGGAGCTAAGATGGTGTAACGCATATAAATATCACAGTCTAGCCCCATCATCCCCTTCTAAGACTACGGTCTGCTTTACTCGCTTGCGGAAAAGCTTTGTTGCATGCTTCAGTCAGTTGAGGCGAAGCATCATGTAATCGCGTATTTTGAACATGGGAGACGTCAGTTCAAGCCCCGAGGCTGGACTAGCTTGAAGGTGTCACCTTATGTACAGAAGGGAAAATGCAGATGAAGTCGGTAGAGGGAAGTAAGGCGAATTGATAGCACTGAAAGATGACGATCGCATCGGGCAGACCTTGAGCAGTTTATGCTAGACAGTAAAAACGTGGCTCGAACTTCCGCAGTCAAACACGATCTATGCGTGATACATCACCCTATACCGCTATGACATTGTACCATTACCTTGAGGTTCGACAAGAGCATCATGTCCGGATGGATCATCCGCAAACCGGACCTTGGATATTCGGATCATAACCCGAGACAAATGGTCATGCGGGTCAAATTCTGTTCTGTTCCATAAGCATTATCAGGGACCCGGATAGGAGAATGGCATCGAGAATGCCCTGGTCCATCAGGAAGAGGAACGCGGAGAGTAAAGTTTAATTCTCTGAGGTAGGTTCACGATCAGTTAGTCTCCAACAGAACATTTGGATACGATAAACGAACTTTAGTCATGATGGGAGTCGGACAAATCTCGTGAGCCGTTGTAAGGGAGACACATTAAAATACCATGACAACTTGAATTCCAGACTACGTATTAGCTCTGGCTGGCTTCGTGCTGTATGCATCTTTATGCTCGAGAACACCACCTGGATACACGCTTATCGACAGCCTGTGGGAGCCGCTGGGCGAGAAGCTAATGACGGAATGAAGCTACCAACATCTTGGTTGCCAAGCTTTTCTATATATGATCATATATCAGCACATATAACGCTATCTGCAGCTCACCAGTCCCGACTTCATGTACTATGATGACCCGAGGTATCTAAACCAGGATTTCCCGCCAGCCATTCTCAGTCGTTGGCCCATTGTCATCATTTTACTTTGTCATAAGATAACCTCAGAGCTGTAAGAACGCTGCGGTTGAGTTGCTCCGCTTGCTCCTTCGATAAAACCGTGACTCGGCCGGGGAACAAGGAAAATCGGGTGGAAAATATTGTGGCTGATCATCATGACTTGACGAGCATTGTGCGTCGCAAACACTCACTTACCGCCACTACTACAGTGCTACCCTGTTCTTGCAGTCGACAGCAATGATGGTCTACGACTGTGAATGGCGGTATACTGCAAAGAGCGAGGCGCTTGAGCCTTGGAGCAAGTTGCTTGTAAGTTACAAAATGCTATAGACGCCGGACGGTAACTTAGGGCAAGCGGCGCTTACATACTAGGCGCCCGCCGTCTGCCCGACCAGCCGCATATCCCACTGGGAACGCCAGCAACCTCTTGAAAACATGTCTACCATAGTGAACTTACCTTTCGATCTTCTGCAACCCATTCTCATACATTTACATGATCGAAGGCATCTGAGTACAGTCGCACTAGTCAGTCATGCATTCAATCACGCTGTGACACCTCTTTTGTACAGAAGGCTTGATTCACAAGTGAAACGAAATGTGCGATTACTCTTTCTCTCGTAAGTATATATCTGTATTTACTACATTCAGATCCTTTACCACCCTTCTGCAACCCTTCTCAAACGACCAGAATTGGCACAGTATGTCTGGCATGTGACGGAGACAGGCAAGTGATGTGGTTTCAGACTTGTAATTGGTTTGATCAGTCCCACTGCACAGGCACAGTGCAACGCTTCCGACAAGTTATTCCTCATATCACTGAAGATATTGTTGCAGCGCTTAGACTTTGCACAAATATCACGTCTGCAACTTGGGTAGACGACACGTTGACTCCAGAGGCGAATTTTCTACCCATACTGGACGTCTTGATGACTTTACCGTTGCGGGAGCTTACGATACGCACCCAGTATGATCCAGGAGAACGAGTTTGGTCCCGGCTCAATACTATTCAGGGCATTCGTCGCTTGTCAGTGTGGTCTTTGGAGTGGGGCCCCCCGCGGGTACTTCAAGGATGGGCTGATCTACTAAGCTCCTCTCTAACGCACCTTGAACTTGGCGTAAGGGAGCTTTTTACTTCCTTCTCTCTGTTTCCTTATTCCTTTCACAGCGTTGTGCAGGTGTTCCCGCAACTATCCTCATCTCTGTCTTTATGAGACTTCCTTTTTTACAAGAGCTTTGTCTCAAGGGTGCTCCAAGCGCGGCCATCCCGGCTATAATCGCTTGTCTTCCCAATCTGATCGCCCTCGACACGGAATATCTGGACTCTGGAAATTACCGCACGCCACTCACGCCATTACCTCGTTTGCAACGCCTAACAGTCCAAACAGGGTCAGTGGATATCGATGGACCGCAGAAACTATGGACATGGATGAGGATATTGCTTCCACACCAACAAACTTTAAAGTCATTCACGCTAAATGCATTTGCAGTGCATGGCCAAATAACCATTCCGCGCCCGTTCATTGTAAATCTTACTGGCAGACACGGGAAGTCCCTTCAAGATTTTGCTGTGGGCGTTGCGCAGTTGACGTTAGAAACTGTATCCTATATGTGCTTGACATGCCCCCAGCTTGTGACACTCGAATGCTCTGTGGCGAGTCCAGACGTGGTATGTGATTCTCGCTAGTATCTGGAAGATAAGTTACCGGTTAATTGTTGATGCGTCTAGGACTCAATCGCAAAAGCAATCGAGGCGGGGCACAACCTTCGGACACTCTCGCTTCATGTCTCTTGGATCCCTCATGGCAGCGTTGATTTGCTTCCACGGTTTGAAAGGTACTCAGAACCCCGAATCATGTATGCAGATTCTTCACATCTTATAAGCGAGGGGAAGGCTAGTCGTTTCACCGAGGAACACGCTCGCGCCTTGATGCTCCAGACACACCTTCGTAGCATTGGCATAGGGGATCAGTCCTACACAGTGAGTATTCTGTTCTTGTTGTGGGCCTTTGGTATTTGGGCTTTGACTTGGTTGTCGAAAGTAGTCGATATTCTTATCTGTCTTCTTTAGGGTCGGTGGGTTCATCGGGGATGTTTTGCCAAGGTCACACAGGATCTTGGGAAAGAAGAAGATGTCGTACTAGAAGTCGTCGGGGATTCATTCGTCTAGTTTTCAGGGTCACCTGTCACACTGAATTCAGACCGTGTGTCGTATCACCAAGCATGCATTGGTGAACTGAGTGCAGTGAAGAAAGCTTCAGGCTATATCATATCACTTCTGGAAGGAAGTAAGATCTGTATCGTTGGATAGGGTATGCACGATTTTGATCTGAATGGTGCGGCGACTTCAAACCCCGCCACCCATGCTTGATCACAGACACAGAACTGGTGTCTGCGCAGACCGGCCACTTCAGACTCGTCCTCGCACAGACCGAAAATACTCTTCAAAGGATAATTTCAGGTACTCCGAACTGTCCTCCGAGAAGAATCAGATTATGTCGACAATAAACACAAGCTTCTCATCATCCTCCGGACGCTTCAGCAATGACATGGCTGATCCTATAGTCGAAGCCCGGAGTCTAAAGTTTACCTTGGCTTTCGTATCTGGTGGTGTCCCGCTGCTGAGTTTACACTGCTTCCTCTACACGCGGCAGGAAGAAGAGAGATAATTTGTCTCACACTTACATCTTCTCTTACACTCCCACCCTGGCGACAATTGTTCTCGTGTGAGACATCGGGTTTCTCGAGATGCGTCCCACAACATCTTGTTGTCATCGGTCAAGGAAACCCAGACGGAAGGAAGACATTCCATTGTGTCGCTCCCGTCGCGTCGTCCTCCACATCACTCAAGGACAGCGGTGCAACAGTCCAAGGTGCACGAGTGGTTATGGTTCAGTGCATCGAGTGACTGTATACACTAAACAATAACCAGTCGCTTCACTTAGCCTGTCATGGGATTTTGAATCAACTCGAACAACCACCTGAGTCTTCAATGCGCGACGGGCGGTTGATAATCAAGAACGTCATCCTATCTAACTGGCAGAACTCGGCGTTTGCATTCTTGTCGGCTTGCCATACTACCGTGGGTAATGAAAAGAGCCCCGACTCGGATGGCTGGATCCATGCCATCTCACTGCGGCGATACAATTTTCCGGATTTCGCAGTGTGGTTGGTTTTATGTGGTCTGTCGACGACGAAGTTGCACGACAGGTTGTCTGCTTTTTACTTTTTACTGCAACCTGGTCGATGGTTCAATGGACTGCACACGCACTACAGTAGCGTTGCACAAGGCTGTAGAATCGCTGCGGAAAAGCTTCCACTAGAACGGCAAATCACATTTGTTCACATAGATGTTTAGTTTGAGGTTTGATTCGTCTTATTGCATTTCTGTGATCCTGGTTACTTTCATTCCATTGCTGTCCTGACTGGTTCTCTCAATTATTAGTTCGGTCATGTCTGCACAATGCTTTTGTTCTTGCATTGTGCACTAATGCAGCATGTATCATTGATCACGCGATCATGCCTAGGCGCCTTAGGCCTCGGGATTCAAGTGACAATGCCACTACCTTGACTTCCCTGTTATAAATTTGATTTGTCTCATGAGAATGGTACAAGTCTGTTTACACAGTATTTTCTACACGTTGTCTCTGCCTTTGTCGTGGTCACCTCGCAACCAATCATCAAGTCATAATTATACAAGGACGTTGCACAAAGATAAAACAGGTTTATGACAGAATAGTCTTGAAGGAATCTGATTCACCCCCTTCCAATTAAAACCTATGCTTCACAAGATCAACCTGGCAGGCGATAGAACCGTCGATAGTTGGACAAAGCCGGTTCCACTTCTACAATGTTCGGCCTCAGCCCAACGAACAGAGCCCTGAATGTGTCCCCAGCTGCGGGATGCAGTGATGTGGCGTTCACGCCCTTTGCCTGCAGGGTCCTCGACTCTATGCTGCTCAAGAGAGGGCCCGATGATTGAAGAAGATATAGAGAAAGAGCCTTCGAATGCACTATGCAAGTGTACAGTTGCCGGAGCATTCGCGGTTTTTGACTTGCTGTTGAGCTGAGAATAAACTGTCGAGTTGACATAAGTGAGCGTAAACGGGGCGTTCGCGGTCTGCGCATCAACTCCGAATTCTCCGCCATATCCAGAGGCAGTGGTCAAAGATACACGTGCATTAAGGGGCCTAGATGTAACGACAGCGTTTAATATATTGAGGAATGAAAAGGAGCACGGGTACTCACGCATTTGCGGTTGCCATGACCAATTCAGATGGCTTCGCAGATTCGTTGTGAAATAGGACGACATCTGCGTCAATAGGCATGTTGGTAGTGATGAGTTTGAGAGACGACGTTGAATGAAAGTGTCCTTTGATGAGCCCGTTAGCAGTGGTGAAAATCCCTGTCTCAGCTGCTACAGACTATGAAGACTTCAGCTCTAAATACTGAATGTTCTGAATGACGTAGCACGAACCTGGACGTTGATCGGGAAATGCAAGGTATTTAGCGAAATGCTACCAAAGAAAACAGTGTCCGACAAAGCTGCGACCTCATGGCGGAAAAGAGGTGCAGAGGTCTCTAAACTCTTGATGTAGAGAGCATCCTCGCTTGCGCTAGCGGGTAAAGTCAATGTGACATCAAACATGAGTTGATCTTTGTCATCTTGGCCAGGAAGACGGCTCTTCGAGGTCTATTATGTAGTATTAGCCATGGAATATTATTACGGTATAACGTAATGCTGAAGAAAAAAACTTGCGTAGATGCCGATTCCATTCTGATTTTCCTGGCGCTTGAGGTAGCAAATGTTTGTACGCTCAAAGACCTCTTCTTTGAAGTACGCAGCGCGGATGCGTACGGTGACATCGTCTGAGGCTTCCGTGGACTGCTCCACCGTGAGAGTGCCGTAATGAAAAGCGCCCCGAGAGATGAGATACAAGGAGTCAGAGCCGACAGGAAGAGTAAAAAGTGACTCGCTGCCAAAAGGGAACTGCTGTGCCCATGATGGTAGCTCATAGTATTCGTCCCACTCCGTGCTACCAATGCACCTGACGACTGCCCCATCGCTGGGATCAGGGTAACCAGGTTCGTTTAAGCCTGTGGAAAACTGTAGCGCACATGAGTTGATTTCTAGTCCTGACGGCGAAAGAAAATATCAACCTCGTAGTAGTCGGAAACACTGCGCACAATGTTGAATCCAGGGTGGGTAAATACGGCAAGGAGTAGCAAGCTCATAAGACCGATACCAAAAAGCCTAGCTGTGATAGACCGGCGCGGCCGTTGCATAAATTGCGATTCGCAATTCTGGCTATTGGTGGTGGCAGTCTGTGCTTCATCATATTCAGTTTGCAATTGCAAAACCTCTTTCTTGTCTCCGTTCATCCTCGCCAGGCGTTATGGAGTTCAAGAGAACGAGCGAGGTCAGTAACTGCGGATATACAGTAGATCTGGGCGCCAATGTCGACCAGTCCATCATGATGTGAAACATCATACTGCGGGCGCAGCGTGCTGGTGATGCCGCGCTGCAGGTCGGTATCAGTACTAGTAATAGCCTACCGATAGCTGACATGATCAAGAGCTCAGATTGACGCTCGTTAATCACTTTTCCAGAAACATCTTGGTATTATCAACATTGTTGTCACAATCAAGCTATCTTCATCGGATTGCGGCAAATGGGTGCACGGCCGTCACGATCACCGGTCAGGAGCAGTGCAAGAGTCGCGAGTATCAGCACGTGGACTCCGAGTCGGATTGACTTTCGCCCTCTTTGACCAGACCGGTTATCAGCTGGACATTGACACTGACAGATCTGGGGATCCGTTATCATACCTGCATAAGACTTGCCAAGCTACCTGGGTATCCGTGAGAAACCAATTCCGACCTGCAACAGTGCAACTTGGCAAGCACTGTCGCGTTAGTGGCGCTGACAGTGGCAAAGCCACTGACTCGTGGCAGGCCCCATCCTCCGACAACCTGTTCTACTGATCAAACCTTGTTCTAGGTGTCCTGAGCCCCAATCGTAAACTTCACCCATGATAAAGGGTGTGAAGTGGTGACTGCGGCAGCGGCTGAGGTGAGCTCGGGTTCTCCCATGTCACGTTTCTTTCTTCTCACTTCCAAAAATTTCCTAGTGGGATTCCGACTCCCGAGTCAGTGATCTTGTGGTGCAATTTGAATGCGGCCAGTCCGCTCACGTTGCTCTAAACTCTATCAACAGTACCTGTCACAGGTTGCAACTTTGACAACCACAACTATTTCTACCACACTTCTATAAGTGTACGCTTCACCCTCTGGCGGCCTCACGCGGCTTTTGAGGACACAAACCTATACAGGGAAGATATTCATGTTATTGCCTCTCGCTTAAACCTCTCCAGCAGCTTCAGACGTTGCATCTACTTTCTGATGACGTGCTGCATGACATATATTTAATAAAGTACGTCTGTTCCTTGAAACATTCTCTATTACGAATGTAAGCGGCGGCTCGCTCCTGAGTTTCAGATTACCACCGCCATCAGATGGCATCACCGACAGGTGATGACGTTCAGCTTGTTGAGTGCCTAAAAGGCCCAGGCGCAGCGTCATCAACCCTATTACTCTTGACTGTCAGTGTCTAGTCAAATGGTGGCCTACAAACATTTCAGGCACAACGGGACTATTTTGTGTTCACTTGATGCACCCGTCTGTCTTATTTGCCGAGTCCTCGGACAACGTGCACTCCCTCCAGGATGACCCAATAACGAGTCGCACTGTTGTTCCTGTGTGCAGTCAAATAGGTACATGGTCCCTTATTTACTACCCTCGTCAGGTCACGAGCACTAACATGAGAAGGGTGATCATATCGCTAGGCATCAGGGGTGTAACGTTTCGAGCAACGATGAAGGTTGCTCACGACATCCCTTCTGTTACGGAAAAGGTCATTAGATCTGTGTCCGAGGAGTCGAATCTCAAATACTGTTCGCACAATCTCCTCGACTATGATGCTCCCTGCGGAGGTGGATAAGTGGATATAGACACCTCCGTCGCAGCAGGTTAAGTTACAGTTCGTGGCTTAAATTAACCATTGTGATGCTGTACCGACGCAACTACTTACAGGTGTGCATCACTCTCTTCCCATTATGGTCATGGAACACTTTATGCTAAAGAAATCAATACCTAGGAGTTCCTTTCGTGCTTCACAGGGAGCCTATCATGGGCGCCTTGGTCTGAGTCTCACACGATACATGATTCTGCAGGTTCCTTGCCCTCGGAAAACGCTCGCGGGAAGACATATTTGGAAGTTGTGACACTATGATAAGGGAAATACGGTGGAAAACCTAATACCAGTGAGCGTCTTAATCGCGGCCAGAAGAGCCGAAGTCTTTCAGTGTGCTTGCTACGGCATAGTGCACTGCGTTCCTCTTTTAGCGAAGTTGTAGGGCTCTCCCAATCAAGCTGTCGGTTTGCGTTCATTTACGTCTTCGGTGAGCAGTTGTTTGGCTTCCCGATGTGGTATATACTTGGAAGCATCGCAACTATAAGTAGGCTATGTATGTTTCGCGTTCTCATATGTAAAGTCTCGGTCATAGCATGAATATTGCGAAACATATGAAAGCACAAGGCTGATCACCCTCACTCCCTCAGGAATGATGATCTGCTCCAAAGAATGGAGCGAGCCACAAAGCGTCTATTTAAAATTTTCCAGCGTCCCGTAACCTCACCGTAAACCGCTAAAACAGGGAAGATTGGTGTCAAATAACTCACTAGTATACTTATCGCTTGCGGGAGTACGGATTGGTTTTAGTGACCAGTCCATCAAGGGTGACGGAATTATGTTCGATGGCGGACGCATTTTACGGCGGTGTCTGCATCTAGGCTGGGTCATCTCCGGGACCAGTGTGTAATAATGATGACTCCAGGGTTTATAGACTGCGGTAGGCAAAACCTGCAATTCGTATTAGGTGGCTCGGAACCAACGTAGTTAGGAGTCCAGGACGCGGGCCTATCATAAGCTTGGGAGGGACGTAGATATGTAGCCGCTGGTCATCATGCTGTTCCAATATTGACACGCTGAGTCTGCACGAGTTCTCCTATCAGGGCGTAAGCGAGGTGCGCTATGCCTTTCGCAGATAAGTGTAGTGATAGTGGCAATAGACAAGGATTAGGCACATATGACGAAGTGAAGGTCCAGGCTGTGTCAAATACCTTGAAAGATAACCCAAACTGTTCGATGTAGCGCGCGTTTGGACAAGTGCTTGATACTACATGTAGTAGCTGTTTGCAGATCGGCAACTTCAAGTTGGACAATTACAATAGGCCATTAATCGCCGAACAGGCCACGAGCACCGGCGTACGCGGGTTGTAGATTTTCGTTGAATGACGATATATGACTCGTAACAGTGCCTTTAAAGTGTAAAAGTATGATCAATTGGCAGCGCGGCGACTACATTAGCAATATGCATGGTGTTGGGGAGCTTGTGAAGGTATAACACCATGGAGAGGTGCCAGGCACGCGAGCACTGTCAAAATGAAACGTTGCTGAAAATGACAAGTGGGTTGCAGCGTGTGGGTGCCCTGTGTGCCTCAGGGCTAGCGGCAAGATTGAAATGAGGGAGTTGATCGAAAGCTGGGTCACTGGCCGAAACATACTGCAGATGAATCTATGGACTATTAATCGTCCTAAGATAAATACTAATACTACAAAGTACCGTGGGGGGTAGTGTAGTAGATTGAGCGGTCGGAAGGCAACGGAATTTAGGGCAAGATATCCAAAAATGGAAGTGGTTGGGGCAGAAAATAAAATTAAAATGTGAAAAACACAAAAAAATATTAACCAGGAACATGGGAAGGTTGATGTGCCTGAGAAATGTGATTGGTTTAGTGGTGATCCTCTAGTAGCGGACCACTTTCAGTCCTCCCACAAGTCCTTTCCCTCCAGGTCCCCTTCCCTTGTTTCAGATACCCTCATATATCCCCCCTCCCGTCGTCCTGCTCATCGCTGCACACGACGCCGAGCAATTTATTGACGACATTCATAAGATACCTTCATTGGTGTTCAAAGGTCCGGTCCTCTTCTGACTGATGTCCGGCAGACCAACATCTTCAGCCGGGGGCTCTCGCCCTTTCACAGCCTCAGCTTTCCGTACATCTTCAGCCCGTCCTCCGACTTCTGCAGGCGCATTTAACCGTGAACACCAGTATACCTATGATAATGCTTATATCGAGGAAGAAGAGGAAGAGGAAAGCGACACAGAGGACCTTTTTGCGTTTCTGCCTCCTTCAACCGCAGACCAACAGCGAGACGTAGAGAAGCAGCGTGCAGCTGATTTATCCCGAATATCTCCAGACTACACAAATATTTTCGCGAACACGGTCCCATCAGACGTCCCCCCGCTTATATATCCGGCGCCGACCTTTGACCCCTGGGCTCGTTTCTCCTCTGAAATGGCCGGCCCCTCCCGTCTCTTCCCTGTACCCATATCTCAGGTTCCGGTAGAAAGTCCTCCCTCTACCGCGTCAAACCAAGGTGCAAGCGACCCGTATCGCATGCGTCGACTAAGCACAGCCCTTTCGAGTACAACCAATACCCACCCTTCGAGACCTAGTGTCCCAAACTCTCGGCAAATACGCATCAGCCTAACCTCCAGCCCACACGATAAACACGTCGAGGAGGATCTTCGTAACAGTTCACAGAGGACACGACATCCTTCATCAACACTGGGGGATTCAACAACTCTGAGCATAACACCTAGTATGCTGGAACAAGACAGTCGCGATGGTTCAATTAAGTGGGTTTTTCGTTTTTGTACGGCAAACTTCTCAACATTCTGTATTTCGGCGTGACACAGGATGGAGTTTGATTTTGACGCCGTGAATGAAGAAGACAGTCCATTCCCTGAAGTTCGTGCATCTGTCTCGAACATCGATGACCCAGAAATGCCCGCTATGACGTTGCGGATGTGGTTAATCGGTCTGGTTTTTTGTATGACCGCTAGGTGAGCTTTTTTTAGAGTATCATTCTTGTAATCTCATGGTTTCAAGTGCAATGAATCTTTTCTTTAACTTCCGGCAACCTGCCCCGAGTGTCTCTCCTCTTGTTCTTTTGCTGGTATGCTATCCCATTGGAAAATTCTTCGCCTTTGTCCTCCCCATCACGACTTATCGCCTCCCACGGTATCTCGGCGGTTATGAGTTTTCACTCAATCCTGGACCATGGAATATTAAGGAGCATGTTTTGGTGTACATCATGGCAAACGTTGCTATTAGCGCACCTTACGCTATCAACGCCATTGTGGTCACTCAGCTCAACTACGGCATTCCAGTGGATTACTGGTTCAGTGTACTCCTGGTTGTTGCCACACAACTTACAGGGTTCGGTCTTGCAGGGATGTGCAGACGCTTTTTGGTTTCGCCTGCTAGCATGGTTTGGCCACAGAACCTGGTGACGTGTACTTTATTGAACACGCTTCACGCGGAGGACGATGAAGAACCAGGATCAATTACACGATACAGATACTTCCTTCTTGTCCTCGGCGGCGCGTTCTTCTTCTTCTTTATTCCTGGTAAAGAGTTTTTCCGAGCTTAATCTGGGTTGACTTTGATGGGCTTTTAGGCTACCTCTTCAGTGCTCTCTCGGTCTTTTCTTGGATGTGTTGGATACTACCGGATAACATTCCAGTTAATCAACTATTTGGCGTCGACTCGGGGTTGGGCATGACCATAGTGACATTTGACTGGACACAAATCTCGTGGATTGGTAGTCCATTGATGTATCCATGGTGGGCTGAAGTGCACATCTTCTTTGGCTTCGTTCTTTTCTTCTGGATCATCACACCGATATTATACTACACCAACGTAAGTCCCTCCAGCCCTCAGCCCCTACCTTCTATCCTTCGTTTCTGACTTTGTCACAGACGTGGGATCTCGCCTACTTCCCCTTGAACGACAGCAATCCATATGATCGCTACGGTAACGTGTACAATGTGTCGGCTGTGTTGTCTGCCTCCAACCGCTTCAATCTTACTGCCTACGAGAACTATTCTCCGCTTTATCTTCCCGCGACTTATGCGATGACCTACATGCTTGCATTCGCCCTATCGACTTGCGTGCTCGTGCACACGATCCTTTACCATGGTCGAAGTTTACTGAACGGGGTGAAGAAGATTCGCGTAGAGCAGGATGACATCCACGCGAAGCTCATGCGCAACTACCCTGAAGTGCCAGATTGGTGGTATCTCGTGTGCTTCTTCGGCTTTTTCCTCCTCATGGTAGTAGTCGTTGAGGTAAGCGCACTCCCCTTTTACATGCTGAATTTTGTTCATCGGCTGTTTACAGGTGTGGCATACGACAGTACCTGTGTGGGCCTTGCTATTGTCCGTGGCATTACCAACTCTATATGTCTTGCCGTCCGGCTTCATTTTCGCAATGACTGGGCAAGGGGTATGCATGCTTCCGCGCCGCATTCGAGAATAGGAATGCTAACATCCGATCTGTACAGATCACGCTGAATCTGCTTGCGCAGATCATTCCAGGGACTTTAATGGCAGGCGACCCTGTTGCGAACATGGTACGCGGTCGAACTGTAGCACTTTGCGAGGAGTTTGACGTTGTCATCCAAATTTGTCACAGATCTTCAAGGCATATTCCGTTCAGACATTGACGGAATCTACGTCATTCGTACAGGATCTCAAGCTTGGTCATTACATAAAGGTTCCTCCACGAGCCACGTTCCTTGGTAAGCAGTGCTTTTTTGATTGTCACTCGATCGCCTGACCAAGGGTGTTTCCTGCAGTGCAATTTGTGGGCACGTTGTTAGCATCATTCATCCAGATCGGTGTCAAGCAGTGGATGTTCAACAACATTCCGGACATCTGCACCCCAAATCAACCCAGTTTCTTGACGTGTCCGCACAATGAAGTGTACTACACTGCATCAGCAGTCTGGTACGTCTGTCTTTCATTTCAGTCGCTATTGTCTTTTCTCAATGATGCATGTCTGTAGGGGAATTATCGGACCCACGCGGCAGTTCGGAAAAGGGACTCTCTACTATCCGGAGTTGTATGCCATCATTGTCGGTGCTTTACTACCCGTTCCTTTCTGGCTGTGGCAACGGCAGTACCCGAACTCATGGGTCAGATTTGTGAGCACACCTGTGGTGCTCAACGGCGTCTCGTATATACCACCTGCGGCTGGCATCAACTATTCTGCCTGGTTCGCAGTCGGGTTTGTATTTCAATATCTAATAAGAAAACGCAACTTTGCATGGTGGAGTAAATTCAACTATGTGACTAGTGCAGCTTTGGACAGCGGTATGTGGCTGCCTTGCTTCACTTTATTTTTTGCTAACGGCAGATTATAGGCACTGTTTTGTCATTGGTTGTAATATTTTTCACCTTACAAGTACGTTCCCTTCTGCTCATCGTGGCTAACATTTATTAAACGTTGCCTACAGTTCCCAAAAGGTGGCCTCAATCTCAACTGGTGGGGAAACACCGTCTACAAAGAAAGTGCGTTTTTATGCTAGTCCGATCGATCGGTCTGTTCTAAAATGCTTTTTTTTCTTCTTTCCAGCCGCGGATTGGACCCGTCTGGCACTGAAAGCTATCCCATCCAATGGCATCCCTTTAGAATAATGTATTTAGCAATCTGCAACAATATAACTTCATCTAGGACCCAATGCAACAGCGGATGTGATTGGTGCTTTACGTCGATCTCAATCCTAATGAAACAGGCGATGTAACAGGTGTTATCGAGGCGAATAGCGGCCTTCGATATATTGGTTCATGAAAGCAGACACTAAATTAGATCTAGACCCGCCACACCACGATGGAAGAGAAGCACACTGCGTGCTAATGATAAACGCTCAGGGAACTCGTGCACGCGCCGAGAAGCACATTTCCAAAGCAACCCACTTTTAGCAAGATGGAGAGCCGAGGGACACCTAAAATATGAGCTGTGCAAGGATGCGGGTCCGAAGGAAATGCACTATTTGACTATGCACGTTCTTAGTAAGTAATGGTCAGGAGACAACATACTGTAATTATTCCGGCACTGAGTACTGAATAATGACACGTGTGGGAGTGGGGACGCATGGGTCATGTATGACACCCTGAAGTGAAATTGCACAGGATGATGATCGCGGCGGGAATCTAACCTCCCCGTCCACGCCCTCGACCACGTTGTCCGCTACCTCTTGAACCTCCACGGCCTGAGCACAATCAATTAGGACCGATATGGTATGGTGAAGCAAAATGAACAGACCTCCTCTTGATGGAGTACCTCGGCCTGTGTGGAAATTACAGACAGCATATCGATATCCCGTGAAAACGGCGTGTGGTGCAAAGATAATAGACACAAGCGAACGAACGATCATGATTAGCGTGCCGAACCTGAAACTGCAAGGCGATTAGCTCAGACGCACCTCCTCGCATTCCTGCACCTCCTCCTCCCCGCGCACTTCGGCCAGCTTCTCGTGCTCGGGTTTGCTCCTCTTTTACAGTGTCTAACAACGTGTCCGGTACACGCAGGTATTTTATCTTAGGGTTGTTCAGCTGTGTTGAGGTTATCAAGAAGCATGGCTGGACGCACGGTGCTGCCGCGGATATAGCATTCCTTCAACTTCCAGAATCTATCCCCGTCTGCGCTCGTTTGGTACACCTCCCGTAGTGTTATGTTCATGAAATTATCGCAATTGACGAGGTGGCCGTTGAATGTTTCGCCATTTTTCAACTCTACAAGCTATGATCGTTGAATCAGATAGAAAACAGGACGGATAGTGAGCCCTGTTTTGTCAGATGGATGTAGTACGAGACCATACCATAGGTTTGTTTTGGGCTGCAGTCAGCAGTGATAGAGGCAACTACACATCGAGAGAATCCATGAGCAAGTGTACACAGATCAGAAATGTATATACCATCTTGTTATATGACAAGAGTTTTATCACTTCTTGAGTCGTGCTCGATAGTCGCGTCGAAAGATGTTGTAGTATGAGACACTAAATACCATCTGTGGCTGTGCCACACACTCCATCCAGACTGAACATATGGACATAGAACGCAAGGATACTGATACAAGTACATAAGCAAGGTGATATACTTCAAGCTCAAATCACTAATTCCGCACGACCATTCGATGTCTTGACCGTAACATACCCTCCGCTCTCTTTGTTGTCCGAGTTGCCCCAGTAGGCAGACCCTCGGAGGCGATATCGCTCTCGTCTCTGAGTCACCTCCCTGCGACGTCCCTGTCCAGAAGGATCCTCAACAGGTAGCTCCTTGATCGTGGCTGCTGCGTTAGAAGTCTGTAGGTCAAACGAGCCTTCGAAAGTGCTGTATAACTTGACGCTCATTGCCGCGTTAGAAGAGTGGGTTTCCGACTTGAGAATTGAGTCGACAGGCATGTCGGTATATTCAAGGGCGACGCGCCCATTTGAAGTACGCGTTTCAACGTTAAAGATACCGCCGTGACCAGAGTTTGTGACGAGATCAACATTGGCATCAATTTTACTGAAACAGGAGGTCAGATGGTGGAACCGAAATAGGACGCAAGGCATATACCCGTTACTTGTTGTCATCTTGAGCTCACTGACAGTTCCATCCTCTCCGTTGAGGAGTGAAACAGATGCATCAATGGGGCCATTTGAAGTTATGAGCTTGAGAGAAGAGGCACTATTGAAATGCCCTTTGATGGCGCCATTGCTAGAGTGGATTGAACCATCTTCAGCGGTGACAGACTGATTGGCAGATATTTAGGTAAGCCATTTCAATGATTCAAGAAACCAAAACAACCAACCTTTGCATATACATGGGCATTCGATGTTCTGAGTGACATTCTATCAAAGGAAATGGTGTTCCAAACATCTGCGACATCTTGACTGTAATTGGATGTCTCCGTCTCGAATGATTTGATGTGCAGAGGATCTCCATTTTTCCCGGCGGGGAATGTGATCGTCACTTCAAATCCTAGTTGTTGTCCACTGCCAGGGAAGAGTGAGAATGTGGGCGTCTACAGGAATTCATTGAGACGAAGGTTCAACGAATGAGGATTGAGGTATTTACAAAGATACCAACACCATTCTCATTCTTCCTTCGTTCGAGATGGCAGACATTGGCACGGTCCAGCACTTCGCGAGAGTGATAGCCAACCCGTACTCGGACACTAACTGTATCTGTCGGTTGAGTGGACTGCACGATATCAACACGACCTGATTGCTGAGAGCCCCTCGTGAACAAGTAGAGTGCATCAGAGTCAACGGGGAGCTCTAGGAATGCTTCGGCGCTATGAGGAAAGTGGTTCAAGCTTTGATCGGACAATTTCCAGTTGGAACCACTGATGCATTGGTGGATGGTGCCATCCTGTGAGCCAGGATGAGGTGGCTCGCAGTTCCAGAACTTATCAGATACGTGAGCCAAAGGCGTACCCCTGAGCGAGAGAAATGACATACGATTCCAGATCCATGATTGAAGGCCATTTCAGTGGAAGATTTGGTGAACGCAGCGATGAGGAACCAAATGAGTACAGCAACACCGAATGCCTTCCAGAAACGTTGTGCGGGTGACTGGCGATATACGACTACCACCACGTCCGTTATGGGTTGATAAGATGTCTGGGAAGTATACGGAGGGGGTGGCGATGGCCCTGGGGTATTTGAGCCCTCGTGGAGTCCTGGCCTCTGATTGTTACCTTTATTGACCGTGTGTTGTGGGCTCGTTTCAACAATTATCATACTGGTGTATGTTTCAAATCCACACACCCGTCGCTAGTAGTTCCTTTGTGTTTGCCGAGGTGCTGTAATTGAAATTTGAGCTAGCAGCTGGGCAGGCGCCTTATAATCAGAGAGTCTGAGTCATGCTGCGACAGCTGCGCAGTGCAACCGCAGTGCCACTCGCGCGTGACCTGGAATCGATATCAACCAATGATTGACATCTGGCGGTATATAACTTTTCGCAGCACTAATTACCAGGTGTACGAGCTCGAGGCTACTGTGCAGATAACTTGCTCCGGGACAAGCTTAGCTTTGGGATCATAAATATTTAAATTCCCACCCAATATTAATCCTTGTCTTCAAGTTGAATCTCCGAGCCTTAAGCTTGTACGTGGATCGTGCCAGCCGCTGATCTTGTTTGCTGCATTATTGTCATTCACTAAATACCGTGCAAGACCGTAAGTTTCCAACTGGATTGTACTGAAATTTATCCGTCTGCAGAGACCTATGGAAAAAGCAACCTAGTCGCTCTTTCTACAGAGCTGTCTGGTTGAAGTGCCTTCTTCGCAGGTGCACCAGTTAATGACAGGTGCGGCTTTTCGATGAACCCTTTGGTTACGTTTTCGGGGTTGACCAGGACTCGTGCTGCGCGGTCCGGCTCATACCAGTGGCGGCTGCGGTCAATTGATTGTAGCCGCGGGAACTATAGAATCTGCCATGTCTTTACCGTCAGAATTAAAAGTGTTACTTATTCGCACAAGCTTAAGGAACTTGGATGTCGAGACTGAATTGTAACATGCCGAAATATCAGACATGCAGCATCCCGTTCTCACGGTGTTTCTTAGCCCTTTCCTCTAGTTCCCAACTTTCCATGCATAGAATTTCAGACCCAGTTTCTGTTGGTGATGGCAATCATTCTATAGCATAGCTCTACTATACCCTACCATTACAGTATGGTCAGGCTAAATTGGAACCTGTGATTTCGACTTACTAATCATCAGGTACTTGATCACGCACTGTCAACAGTCTGGCCCTGGGCCTCCCAACTAGCCCAACAATATGGCTGCCCCAGTTGTTCCCAGTAGCTTTCAGATTTACAAGTATGTTTGATACTTCGAATCTTGCACACTGAAACGCATGCATGAATTGCTACAGCTCATACGTCGAAGATCCTAAATGGCAAATTAAATTCACCATAATTTGGTGCTCTGGCTTGGCACTGGCTGTGGCTGTTTCTGTTCCGAGTTTGATTCTTGGTTTGAGACATGGACGTTCCCTCAAGGGAATCGCTGGAGTCTCAGAGATCAATGGATATCAGCCCGCCCATTCCGATGGCAAGGAGCCACCGCCTACCCGTCAAAGACGTCCTAAATTGGCTGGAGCTTGGAATGCTCTTATCTCACCGACGTATTGGTCTCCTCCGAAGCTCGGGCTCAATCTCGGACAAAGTGCGCATCGAGGGTGTTATTGCTTATAGGAAATACTAACACATTGTAATATCCAGTCATAGTCTTATCGGCGTACCTCGCAGCTGTACTCGTTTGCATCATAAAGGATGCACCTCTTATTTCTAATCCGAACAGAGCGGGTGAGTTAGTTGATCCGTTCACGCACGAGAGGAACTTATTTGGGCCACTTAGGATTTCTCGCTCTCGCACAGTTTCCGGTCGTTTTTTTGTTCGCAACAAAAAACTCAATCCTGTCCTTACTGTTAGGACCAGGGAATGGCTACGAGAAACTCAACTTCATGCATAGGATGGCGGGAAGAGCCATGTTCCTCGGCGGATGTATTCATGGGTCCCTGTGGATTCGCAACCATTTACAGTATAAACTTGCAATTCTTGGTCCGCAGAAAGAGACTTCAGGAGTGGCTTCGTTGGCCCTCCTCTGCATCATCGTCCTTACGTCTTTGAGGCCAGTCAGGAGACTGTTTTATGAGTGTTTCTTCGTCGTCCAGTAAGTTTTGTTGCTTCGCGTCGCACCACAGCTAACATTTCTTGAAGCGTTTTGACATACGTGGCATTCTTTGTCACCATATGCTACCATACATTGTATGCATCGCCGTGGATATTCCCTCCCCTTGCATTTTACGGCGCAGATGTTTTATTGCGCCTATTCCGCTATCGAATCAAGGATGCCACCCTCACTGCGCAGGACGCTCACATGACTTTGGTATAGTATTCGAACGTTGTTCGATGCACTGTTGACTTCATCTTTCACAGATCCGCGTTCATAATTGCGACGATGGCTGGCTTTCTGGTCAGCATGTCAGATTGCGCGTTTTCTTCTCCAACAGAGTTTTTGAATCCCATCCATTTACTATCCTCTCGGCATCACCGTCCCATTCTTGCCTCTCCTCACCTGGATTCCTTCTCGCTGCACGAAGCGATGGAGACTGGACGCGGGCATTGAATAACTACACCCGACAGCAACAGGAACGTTTACAAATCAATGAGAAGTCTGAGGGCGACTCGGGTGCTTTCGTTCAAGTCATGCTGGATGGTCCTTATGGAGGGTCGAGTGTCGATCTGGGTCTGTACGAAAGCGTGTTTCTTGTAGCCGGCGGGTCCGGGGTCACATTCACTCTTGGTCTGCTGGACGACATCGTCGGCAGGTGTGTTAAACTAGGCCGCAGTCAGGAGGAACGAACGAGGAGAATTGAGTTCACCTGGTACATTGGATCATTCGGTATCTCATTTTTGACTATAGGCGTTACATCATTCTGATCTATTTGCATAGGTCAGATAGAATGGTTTGCTCCGATGCTGATAGATATTGCTACGGCAGCGTCTAACAGCACGATCGACTTGCACATTTCTATTTTCGTAACGTGCCTTTGCGTTCCAGAAGCGGTACCCGATATCCCCAACTCCATCGTCACACTCTCGCGTCCATCTATTCAGAATATTCTCAAGGACTTCATCAGTCTTCCGCCATCGTCTGAAAAGGAAGATTCGATCGAAACCCGATGTGAAGACAGCCAGAAATCGATAGGTTTGGGTGGGGGAGTCGCGGTTTGCGCTAGCGGCCCAGAGAGCTTGACAAGAGACGCGCAGAATGCAGTCGCGAGATTGGGTTTGACAATGGGTATGAATGTGGGCGGGATCGCTCTACATACAGAGCTGTTTACTTTGTAACGCTGAGGTAGATGCCATCTTATACTGGCGTTTTTCAAGGATGTTGCATTTCGGTTTGTGGGTTATCAACTTTACGCGTTTCCCGGCCCTTGACTGCTGATGTATTTTCGCTATAGCTTGTCGCGTGATATCATAACTTCCACTCCTCAGATCTTAGATCAAGATAATGAACACGTACTACGGGCTGCGAGGTTTGACGATCGCCGAGGCGAATTGAATCGAATCGATGTGGGAAATTGCAGCAATTCGACACTGCAGAATTGCAACCAATATTCGGAATCTGGACTGCCCATGGTGACCAATATTTGCCATTATCATATTTGTTTATTGTGCCATCAGGATCTGCTGGAGAATTTGAAGTTGGTGCACAGACCGCGAACACCCCAAAGTCATATGTCGACTTGCCAAGTCGTTTCCCGGCTCAATAACAAGGCAAGAAAAAAACCGTGGGTGTTCCGAGTGGATAGCCAATATTACCACACACGGATTAAGTAGGTCATGGACAGCACGGTTGATGCCCAAGTAGAAGATGCATCGTCGCATACTTGGATGCATATGTTATTAACGGTTTGCCCTCCTTCTGCTCACCTTTGGGAATAGATATACATGGTTCGAATCTATCACGCACAACCCATACACTCTATTCACAATACTGCCAAACATCGAGGTCCATATCAAACCTAAGGTGTCGCACGACCGGGCCATCGTGGATACAGCGAGCATTCCCTGGAAGACGTCTGCGTTCACGTAATTTTCTTTATCAATCATAATTGATACGTACCTCACAGTGAATCGGTTAGCCAGCCACGCAAGGAAACGCTACGCCAGATATGTCAGCCACTACATTCTTGCTCAAAAAAAATAAAGAGACTGACCTCGACGCCCAGTCCGTACCCTCCATGCTGGCAAGTACCATATTTGCGCTGGTCAGTGAACCAGTAATAAGGGGCAGGGTCAATGCCCTCGCGCCTGTATGCCGCCAATAGCTCTTCCATATCTGCTATCCTCATCGATCCGCCTGTCGCGTATTTAGTCAAAGGTAGTAACGCACGGCAGTTCAGAATTTCACATACCGACAATTTCTCCGACACCAGGCATCAAAAGGTCACAGCTCTCTGTGTACACAGGACCCTGCTCTCCCTCTTGCCTTGGCATCTTCTGCATGTAGAAAGCTTTCAGCTCTGCAGGGAAGCCATACAAAAAGATCGGCGCCGCAATGATATCCGTCATCTGTCTCTCCGCAGCCTCCGCAATGTCGTCACCGATTTCATGGTCGACCATCACGGGCTCGTCTTTACCGGTCTCCTCATCTTTCTTGGTAATCACGTTGCCGTCGGCATCCTCTGCTGGGCGTTGGATCTTGTGCTCGTTGAGCCATGCGATGGCGGACGCGTAGGACATGCGCATGAATGGACGAGAAGGTGCTTTAAAGTGAGGGTTCAGAGTTTTGATGAGGGCTGCGGTAGCAGGGTTGACGAGGAGTTTATCGACTGTCTCGCAGATCTGCAGATGCACTGAGAAAAAATTCCGGAAGATACAGTAGTGAGACATACAATGGCTTCTATGTGTGTCATGAGGTCATCGAATGTGATGAATGCAAGCTCGGCTTCAAGGTGCGTGTACTCGCTCAGATGTCGGCGAGTGTGACTGGGGAGGGAGGAAATCGATCATTGGAATGAAAACACGTCCGGTGAATGGGAGGGCAGCACAAACCTGTTTTCAGCACGGAAGCTCTCTTGGACACAGAATACGTCGCCCAGGGAAGGTAGACATGTTTCAAGATAAAGCTGGGAGCTCTGAGTGAGGAATGCTGGTTGACCGTAGTAATCGAACTTGAAGAGCGTTGCGCCACCCTCCACTTGGGTTTGTACCAAACAGGGCGGTGTAACCTCCAAAAGGTCGTTGTCTGCATACGACTGCCGGAAAGCTGAGAGAAGGGCTGCACGCAGGCGAAGCACAGAAGAAGCGGTCTCGCCACGGAGAACGAGATGTCGGAGATCAGCTAGAATCGATGGATCAGATTGCTAAAGATACGGTCAACACATGCGCGACGAATTAGTTAAACGACTCGGACCTCGTTGAGTCTGTTAGTGAATGCTTCCTCGGCACCAGGAGCAGCACCAAGGACGCGCCAATAGTCAACGACTAGTTCGTGTCCCCCAGGAGCACGCTGGCCTTCAGGAACCGCCTTCAGCGTGCCGGTCAGCTCAACTGATGCCTCTAGCTGTAATGTTACGGCGTCGTATGTTTTGTTCTGGGGAATGAATCAGATCTAAGGTCCAAAACTGTGAGCTGCAAAAATTACCGCATCCCCAGTAAGAACAGCCTGCAGGTATCCTGTCCCGTCCCGCAAGACAATAAAGGTGATTTCTTGCTGGTCGCGCCGTCTGTGGACCCAGCCGGATACTCGAACGCGCTGTCCGCGAAGGGACTCCAATTTTACGATCTTGGACTGTATGATTTGGAAATAAGTAACATGATCACAACTCCAAGTTATCAACGCTGTTACCTTGACAGGTTTTGGGAGCGACGAATCTTCAGTAAGCACGATTTTTTTGCTTTCCTGGAGCCTTCGTTCGCGTTTCTCTGCTTCTCTTTTAATTCTCTCTCTTCCGCTTGTGCTTTTAGACGTTTCTTCTCAAGTCCCTGGGCGTCCTTTTTGGCCTTTTTCGTCGCAGACTGAGTTGGTACATCGTACGCTGCAGCCTGCGTCCTTGCGGATCTGGTATTGTATCGTCTCGGCTTCGGTGGTGGGCGTCGAGAAGAGAGCGAAAGCAAGGGATTGATAAGGCTGATCAACGGTCCCATTTCCAGACGCGTCGACGCCTGATGTTTGGTCTATGTATATTGTCGACATTGAAGGTATCTCAATTGAAAGCTCTAAAGAACTAGATGGTGGTATGAGTCAAGAACTTTCTGTAGGTATCAGCACAGATCAGTACTTGTTTGAAAGTTAGTGACTCGTATAGATCAACCGTGCCCTGATTTGGTTTATCTATCAAGTTGCTGTATCTGATAAGATCTCAGATTTCTCGCTCGTCGGATACACATAGTGACCTGGAGACTAGAACACAGGCAGCAAGTAATCATCGATGCATCATGCACCATGACCATGGGCTGGGTCGTTCGAAATACGCGTTTCAACTGTTGGTCAGTCTTGAAATCTCTAAAAACAAATTGGTAGCTTGAAATCACTAGGATATATACCGTAAAATATGTGAGAAGAATCGTGCATCACTGCAGCAAAGGTGAACAAGGGGCATATCCAAGTAAGGAGAGGAAGGGTGTATACACAACCGTATTAGATACATCCAAAACATCAGAAACAAAAGCATACAAGCCGATCAAACCGTTGTATAAAATAAAACACAACCCAGGTCCGACGCAAACACGTTTGGCAGCGAGGCGGCTATCGCTTCCCACCTTTGATCATTCCTACACCAGTGACGCCGTCTCGTGCAGTGTCCCACTCTAAATCCATTGGGTCGTCAGCGCTGTCAGATGATGCTGGCTGTCGTGCTGCAGATGTTGATTTGTCGTCTCCACACCCGCAGTCATACGTCTCATCAAGGTGGGCACAGTCAAATGGCGGTTTTCCTAACCGCTCGTTGACTTTGTTGTGTATTGAGCACAGCCTGACCACGTGTGAGCAGGCGAGGCTGAAAAAAGGGGAATATTTTACCATAGACTTGCTGCCAATCTTGATCCTGTCTGTTGAATGCTTAGCTGATGAAGTTCGACGTTGAAGGGAATCTACCTGGGGCGGGAATTTCTTCAACAATTCTTGAAATTCAGCTGCGCATTCGCCACAGGGGTATAGGCGCGACGTAAGATGCAAGTACGAACTCAAAGCATCTCTTTCGTCCTGCGTCGGATGCTACACATGTGATCTCGTCAGCATGGTTGACAGACTTCGACATCAAACCCACCCTACCTCAGGGTACCGTAGAGTCATGGTATGGCTACCTTACACAACAAGTAACAACGTTCAGCGGACGTTCTTGATACAATAGACAAAATACACACAGCAACTTCCACGTCGCGCGACCAAGTTCCGCCCTGTAGTAGGTGTGTAAGACCCGATGTAACCCCATCGCACATTACCTACTTGGCTGTCTCATTCCCCAACTTCGACATGATAACACCTCCCTGCGCTGACGAAGGCCTTGCACCATCATAAATGGGAGGACGTAGGTCCTGTTCGACGCCGCCTTCACCGAAGAAGTCGCCAGTCCATGGGTCGATGTACGCGCGGTAAGGGGGGTGAAGGAATGCTACTGTGGCCAGCAGAAACTGAGACAATCATTTTGGAGAAGACCTGGGATATAGTGTTGAAACACGTACGAGGCCAAGGACAATCGTCAGAAAAGACTTTGCAAACCGGGAAATCATGATCTGTGTACAATGAATGAAACTTCGAAAGCCGCTTCAATGCAACCGAGTAACTTGGGTAGACTGTCTGAAAAAGGCAGGTGGAAACTCCCGACATTAGGCTAGATTCTATATTATTTATCACTTCGATGACGATCATTATATATTAGCCTTATAACCTGCTAGACTGGTCATTGCAGAGCATTCCAACATGTTCTACGTGATTGGTCTTGGACTCTGCGATGAGAAGGACATCACAGTCCGTGGATTAGAAGCAGTCAAATCCTGCTCCCGAGTCTACTTGGAAGCCTACACGTCCATCCTGATGGTGAACAAGGACCGCCTCGTCAGTCCATCATCACACCATTCTTCTCTCACTGCTCATATACGCACAAGGAAGCCTTCTATGGCAAGTCGCTTATCCTTGCAGATCGCGACATGGTAGAGCTCGAGAGCGATGACATCTTACGGGGCGCGGCCACCGAAAACGTTGCGTTTCTCGTCGTTGGTGATCCATTTGGGTGAGGCTGTCCTTTTCCGTTTCTTGTATGCATTGGCTTATTGTCCTTGTGCAGCGCGACGACACACACGGATTTACTGCTAAGAGCTCGCGATCTGCAGATTCCTACTCAAATCATCCATAATGCATCTATCATCAACGCAGTGGGGTGCTCGGGGCTTCAGCTCTACAATTTTGGGCAGACAGTATCTCTGGTCTTCTTTACAGACACGTGGAAACCAGACTCGTTCTACGATCGCATCGCGGAGAACGCCAAGTTGGGGCTGCATACCCTGGTACTTCTTGACATAAAAGTAAAGGAACAAAGCGAAGAAAATCTAGCAAGGTATTTATATCCCTCATCTTCTCTGGCCCCTTTAGTTTCTGATTCGTTTTGAAACAGAGGAAGAAAAATATACGAGCCGCCACGATACATGTCTATTCCTATAGCCGTGAACCAGCTTCTCGAGATCGAAAGCATTAGAAAAGAAGGCATCCTTGATGGCGATTCGACACTCGCTATTGCACTATCGCGTGTGGGCAGCATACCCTCCGGCGAAGAATCGACAGATGATGACGAAGGTACTCAACGTATCGTCGCAGGTACTCTCTCGGATTTACAGGTCCAACCAGAGTCTGTGTTTGGAAAACCACTTCACAGCCTCATCATCGCTGGTAAGAGGTTGCATGAATTAGAGGCGATTTATGCTGGCGCCTTTGCTGTTAATAAGGAGAACTGGAATCGGATCGCAAAACAAACATCTTAGGTCAAATAATCGTAAACTATTATAACACGCATCCTATGTGATTTGGCAAAATTCTTAAAGCACGTCAGTGAGTGAAAATGGTGGCGAGCACCGAAAGAATATATACATATGGTACAAAAGCATCGAGACAGCAATGACGGATATGAGCTGGTTAGTTGGGCCGTGAAAAAAAGCAAGACCCAAACGTAAAATTCCACACCCTGCCCAGAAACTTCAAATTACATACACATTTTCCTTCTTCATCTGATAACTATCTAGCTTGCGGAAGTACTCAAGGCGCGCCAGGCGTTCCTCCTTGTATCGCTAAGGGTCGGAGAAAAAATTATCAGTGAGGAGCAGTCCTCATAAACATAGCTAGCGAACCTCGCGGGTTTCATCTGACAATTCCATCAAGTCATCGAGGGGCTTCGCTTTCTCCTTCCCCTTACTCCGAGGCTTCAAGGATGATTTTTTGACACCCTTTGACACGGGTTTAGCTCTTTTTGGGGCAGGCTTTGCACTTGATGATGGCTGTGTTCTTGGTCCAGGCTTCCTCCGCTTCGGCTGCTCCTCATCACTGCCACTATCACCCACAGGGTCGACAACTATCCTAACTCTTCCTTTACCCCCAGTCTTCGCTATGGAAGCTGTCTTCCGCATAGCTGCTCTGCGCGGCAAGAGCTTCTCCAAGTTCTTGCACGCCTGTCTGGGGCTCAGCGAAGCATCCTCTTTAGTACGTTTGTGAGGCTTGGACGCATCATGCTGGGCTTTGCCCTTCCCTTTCGCCTGTGCACGTGTAGTACGTTTCGGAACAGGAGTATGTTCCTCCGATGTTTCTGGGCGATCTGACGGTGTTTGGGGTCGTCTAGCGGCTACGCTAATCTTTACAGGTGATGGGCTGGATACTGCATCGCTGGAGGCGGGAGTAGCAGCTTCAATGTCACGTTTACGTTTTCGCGGTGTCCGGAGGGGATCGCGACTGCGCGTTGGCTGGTCTCGTAAAATGTCCAAGCGAGGTTTAAGTAGGGCTGGGACTACTAACTCCGAGCGAGCTGAAGCAGGGGAGCACGATGGCGTTGGAATATACGAATGACGCAAAATCGGCGCAGGGACTGGAATAGATGTCGTGATTGGTTCGTCGAGATAAAGATCATCGATGTCTTCATCGTTTGTTGGGATGAGGACTGAGGAAGCGGCTGGGCGTGTTGGAGTAGAAGTAGCGCGATTAAGCTGTCGTCTGGTACGTGTGGCATGTGGTGTGACGCGTAAAGCAGTAGATTGGATGTATTTGCGTTTCTCGCTTGGTAGACGTGCAGCGCGTCGTTCTTTCAGTACCTTCTCGGTCGCTAAAAACCCAAATGGGTCTGAATCACCACTTCTAGGATCTATCTCCTGTGCATGGCGATAAAACGCGGCCATGTTGTACTCATAGGTACTTGCATGCGATGTTGACGCGTAGTTCTGTTGTCCATATGTGGAAGTCGAAGCGAGCGGCGAGCTCGGAGGGAGTGGTGATGTTGGCTGCCAATTAGGAGGATCGGCTGGGAATGCAAGGCTTTTTGGTTTCTTTGGTCGTCGAGGTGGTTTGAGGCTTGCAAACGCGGAAACTGCTTTGATCGGAGACGGTGAAGGTGGATGAAAGAACTCATCAGTGATATCACGAAGCGCATCTTCATGAGAAGGTGTTCGAGGCAGATTTTCCAGCGAGCGGGGTAGTGGTGGAATATAAATGCTGAACGGGTTTTCTTCGGCCTCATACTTGTTGTCCCTATCACCAATGGCGAATATATTCTCGTCGTTTTCTTGCTCGATCTCTGAATCAGAGTTGAGATACTCTTTCTCAACTTGAACCTCCGCTATCTCCTCGCTTTCATGGGCTGCCTGAGCTCGTTGTCTGCGCGTTCTTGGTGGCATTGTCGACGTTGTGGTGGAAGGGGCGTGGGAATACGAGGACAATGAGTCAAATGCGCGAGGTAGCGATTGCGGCATCACGTGAATTGAGTTTCCTTATTTATCCATGAGTATTTCGCAACCGGCTGTAGTGGTCGAGTGATCCGGAAGTGACGGAAGACACAGTTTCTAAAAACCTTGACATGCACCAGGGCAGATCCGTTAGGAATTCACGCTCGTGTGCACGCGGATTATAAATCAAAACGATGGTACCATCTATATTATTCATTCACCACAGATCTAGACTCCAGCAATCATTGGGTTCCGTTCATCGATTATTATATAGGTGCGAGTACACACACTGCAATATCAGATTCCCTGATTTCACTATCTCAGAAATTCATCATGCCACATATGTTATCCTCTGCGTCTCGTACTCGCGTAATTACCTCGATCGCCCACTTCCAAAACCTTGGCCAGCGGTGTATGAGCGTCCGCCCATTAAAATATGAGCCTCCCACAAACACACCCGGCGAATCTTCCCCGCAGAAACAAGCTTTACCGCCTCGTGAGTGACGTTTTACCTTAAATCGCCAACCCGATTTCTCATCATGCACAACAGCCCGCAAAAAGGTGACAATCGCCTCTCTGCATGCCCTCCGTCAAGAACGCACCCCGATCACTGTGCTTACAGCGTATGATTATCCCACTGCACGTGCTGCATCTACACACGGCATTGATGTCACCCTTGTCGGTGACAGTCTAGCCCAGGTCTGCCTAGGCTATTCCAGCACCACTTCACTCACTCTTGATGAAATGCTTCACCATTGCCGCGCCGTCGCCCGAGGAACAACCGCACCATTCCTTGTTGCAGACATGCCGTTCGGAAGCTTTTATGCCGGGAAAGAAGACACGGTTCGAGCAGCTGTCCGCATGCTCCAGGAGGGAAACGTGGAAGCCGTGAAACTAGAGGGAGGGAGTGAGATCGCTGGACGTGTGCAAGCACTCACGAGTATTGGAATCCCCGTAATGGCCCATGTAGGGTTACTACCACAACGTCACACCGCGCTCTCCGGGTACCGGGTCCAGGGGCGGACAGCGCAGTCTGGTAGATCGATTCTGCACTCGGCCCTCGCCCTAGAGGAGGCAGGAGCGTTCTCTATTGTTCTCGAGGCCATTCCTTCCTCTCTTGCTGCATACATTACGTCGCGGTTGAAAGTGCCCACTATTGGCATTGGTGCCGGCCCGGATTGCAGTGGGCAGGTGCTTGTGTGGGACGACGTGATGGGGACATGGGCAGGTCACAAGGCAAAATTCGTCAGACGGTTCGGGGATGTTAAGAGCGAGGTCGAACGAGGTGTAAAGGCATATGCTAGTGCTGTCAGGAATGGCAGCTTCCCTCACCACGAGAAGGAGGGTTATCAAATGGATGACGGAGAGATGGAAAAGCTATTGGAGATGGAAGGTGACCGAGAGTGGACGTGGAGCCCTCCGAAACTGATGTCAAACTGACCAGATGCTTCGATGTAGCTATGCATCTATCATTAATTGGGATCCCGGGGTGTAGGTACTATGATGAATTACAAGTTAGTTTATACTTTTTTGATTTAGGAGACTTGCTTCGAGACATGTTGAGGAATCATGGAAAGATTTATTCTATGTTGTTACCCGTGTATGGAGAAAATAGATAGATAAAAAAAACGCACGAGAGGCTGGCGAGTCTCGACAGCGAACTCGAAAATACGAACGCGACGGAGTCCGTATCTTGGTACATAAAGTTTAAAACAAGTTTAAGGCAAGCATGTCGCTGTCCTCAACCTGCGATGCGATTTGCTGGAGCTGTTAGAGCTGCTTCTCAATCCAGCACCTTGGGGTATGCCGATAATTAAATCTCCCTCGAAAATTACCGGTATACAATGCGCATTGTTCGATCAAAAAACCACTCACCAGTGTGCATCCGCCCCATATTTCTTTAGAGCATAGCCAACTAGCTTCTCAAAAGGTGAGAACGGTGGTCGTTCGGAAGAGTGGTGTTATACACGTCCGCCTCTTCAATATCGCGGAAGGTGGAGACACATTCGTCGATACTTTTGACGTGGAAATGTATGCACTTGCAGGTTTATTCCCACCGGCAGGGCCCAAGACGTTTCTAGACATGCCAGCGCGATACCTCTGATTATTCTGCAACTGCAACTCAACCTTGCATCAGCACCAGCTGAACCTGTTGGCAAACTTGTCAGTAAAAATGTACACAAAATTCTGGGCAGGAGGAGGGACTCACTTCTCGTTATACGCCCACTCTATATTCCCCATCGTTCCAGGTCCATACCACATCATCTGTGGCAAATGTTCGTTTCGTATGACCGTCTGCCCACCCGTCCTCTCCGCAATATCTCTTAATCCTTCTCCCAATTTCCACACTTCTACTTTCCCAATTCCGCTTCGTCTAGCCGCCTGTCTGATCTTCGAAATTAGCCCAGGGAATGTCTCTTCACTGGCACAGAGTCGCGTAATGATTAGCGTTGGCGGAGGGGGTCTCAAGTCGACGCTCCAGCATGCGTATGTGTCTGGGTCGTTCAAGGACTGTATACCCCAGACTCCGCCTGCCATGGAAAAATCCGAGGCATACGTTGAACGTGGAATGTGGAACCCGCAGACACCGTTGGTCGGCAGGTACGTCACGAATGCTGCCGGGCGTTCCACTTCGTATGAGGTGTCGCTTGTCAACATGTTCTCCAGCTCTTTCTTAATGCGCCCAGCATCGCGATCCCACAGCCCGTTTAGCTGCTCTTGCGTCAACCACGCCCATCCATTGTCATCCCCCTCCTCTATCCCCACATCCCAAATGGTCGAAACGGCTCCCCGCGTCTCCCATCCACCCTCTTTACCTCCAGGGCCTGCCGAGCGGTAAAAGTCTTCCCCAACATCGCTGTACAGGCAAGAGAACAGTCCTTCACTAGCTTCTGCTACCTGTTCCGGTGGTGCGCCCCATGCCTCTGGGAACTTGGGGAGATTGACACGCGAGGCGATAACCCAATGTAAGAGGCTCATCATATGGCTTGCGTAGCCGCGCCCGCGCTTGGAGGGTGGGGTGAAGACACTTGCAATGGCGTAACAGGTTACTTCGTGCACTGAGTTGGGCTCAGATGTAGAAGAGGAGGGGTAAGCGACGAGACCAGAGCGCTTAAATCTGCCCCCATGGACGTGCATCAGAAATATTGACGCGTTCGTTGAGAAATACTCAAGTAGCTTACGTCTCACAGGAACACATGAAATTAAGAGTGGTTGGGTCATCCCGTGGCGCCAGCACCCTTCCTTTCCCATTAACTTCTTCCTGCTGGCAAAATGACTTGCTCACCAGGTGATGAACTTTCCATCCTTTGCGTGATCCATAGATTCCATCTTAACCTCTCGCGCAAGGTACTCTGTGAGACTCAGAGTGCCACCCCACTGTGGCCACGTTCGGCACCATGACTCCTCAACCTGCGCACGCATCGCGGGGAAGAGCGAGAGCGACGCAAAGTCTACCTTTGATTCTATCATCTTTGCAGTATGATGATCTGGTGTTGAGGGAACTTTGCTAGTGACTAGATTGAAAGTAGTGGGGCTGAAAGTTATGTCTATATTACAACCTCACCGGTACACACTCGATGCCGCCCAGCGTAATAATCTTCCGAGTCTATGTAGCTAGACGTGTGGTACACTGACCAAGTGCCGGTCGAAGTACTTCGACCGGCCCTTGCAAAAGTTCAAACTCCGTGCTTCACCTGTTAGAGGCAGTTCGCCATAACCGTTTCAGCAAGAATGCTCCCGACCAGTCATAACCGACTGCACTGGCTACATGCGTCCGACATTTGTCACAGTTTCAAGCCCTACCGCGACATCAAGCGAGTATCACACCTCTCCAACAAACTTTCAAGCTCAAATCTTACGTCTCATGATCGCTCACCTGACGGCTCGCTGTAGACTAGTATAAAGTATCTGCATGTCTATGGTGCGTCTTGATTGTTGATCCCCGTCAGGAAGGGAACGTTTCCAGTACTGTGCACCAAGAAGACTAGGCTTTTGTTGCTTTCGCCTGCAGCGAATTCGAGCCCGAGAGCGACCATTATGCGCATCATAAATAGAAAATTACAAGAACATTGTAGCCAATGATGTGTGAGCCGCAAAGTAGTCTCGATTCTAGCATTCCGATCAGCATCAGTGGTTGTCCGCGCCCGGCCATCCCCATGTAATGAGCCGAGTCGCTCCGTCATGCCACGACTGTACTCTGCGGCTAGCTAGTGTGGACATCGTAGAACCACGAGTGCCAACGAAGCCAGCTCCATTCGACTGAATGATAGCATCAATGAACACCGGATGCCTGGTAACAGCCACAACTTTTAGCGTCAGAATGAAAAGATGACATGGAATCGGCTCACCATTTTCCATAGACCTCCTCTGTCCGTTCCGCTGCATAATCTACCCACGTCCACCCTAACGCCCTAACATCTGACCACCATTTCGGGTCCCTTTCGTCGCTCGTCATGATAACATGTGTAGCATCAATTCCTTTCCGTGTGCGAAGCTCTTCTTGCACCTCAGACACCCTGCGCGCAATAACAGACAGCGGGGCAAAGCACTGGTCCACTGGATACTCCCCGCATTGTTGGCTGAAGTCACCATGCCGTATGTGGATCGATATATACTATCAAAAGTTAGATCTGTAGAGAAAGCTTTGCCCGAAACTTTGACTCACGGGAGGTGTTGGTTTAGTTACTGGTACATTCATAGCGCGTCGAGCATGCGCATCGGCAATCTTTTCCATGCTTGCAGTCCATCGCATGTGTTGGCCTACAAATCTCCATGCGGGAGAATAGTCTAATTCCCATTCCCATGTATGATGGGCGCTTACGTAGTAAAGCAAATCGAAGCATAATACGTGATCGTCCGGGGGAAGGGAAACCTTGTGCTGAGGAGAAGGATGATTCGTTAATGATAATTCCAGGCTTTTGGAGCGAGCCTCTGAAAACCCAAGTGATGCGAGAGACCAAAAGGATGCATGATTGTGATGTATGCTAGGAGATGTCAGCTCGACCCAAGCTGGGGTTCGCGTCCACGAAATATCTGTGATGGCCATGCGTTTAATCACCGAAGAGGGATGTTCGAAGTCGTCTCACCGAGTTTGAGCACGTTCAGGGAGGGACTTCGCCGTGGTTCAGGAACCCCGATGTGCTGTTGAACAGTTTCCCAGACAGTCCAACAACCAAGATCATCGAGAACCTGACTTTCTGGATCCTTGACTTCGTGCCATTGAAGCAAGTGTATCCCTATGGCTTGAGTGAGTCGAGGGACGTCAAATACTCCCTCGAAAATAAATGGAGGTGCGCTTGGGTCGATATGGTTAGAGAGGAACTTTGGGATTATGGGTACACGTTCTGTTATGAGAGCGAGGTATATCAAATTGCCCTAGTTTTTGTGAGGAACTGGGACGAAATCGGAAGCGAATCGATGACTTACATAGGTTATCACGTCGTTCGCTAACAAATAACTGTGATCAGTGGTTCAAGTGGTGTGTGGTTGGAGTTGACGTACTCCATCCCGCTGAACCCCACGATGTAATGTACTTGGTGTCGTTGCGAAGGTTATCTGAGACCAATGTTATGGTAAGACCCAAGCGTTGGACGTTTTCACTGAATACTGACCTCGAAAGCGTTGGGTGGGTGGACCTTGGACATACAATTGCGAGTTGAAGATAGTAGATTGCGCAGGAGTACTCTGTGTGTCCAGGCTATAGCCTGAGGACTTGAGCAGGAGATTTCCCAAGCTGAACAAAAATACACCCGTCAGAGCCGCGCATATCGTCCTGAGAGACGGCTTTTTCCCTTTGGTAAAGAACATGGGAATATTGAAATGGATTTTGGTATGTGTTCTATCTCGGGCTCTCGCCTAGCAAGGACTCGTCTGACTGTCTGCTCGGTTCATGCAAGGGTATGAGAGAGAGAATTTCTGTGTTTATGTACGGCAGTAAACAACTAAAACTGTCAAGGCCGCGGCTCGGTGCGCGCCTGCAGGCTGTGCCGGGGATATTATACCGAGTTATAGGTTGTAGGCAATAAGACGAATAATAGCTGGGGAGGTCCGTGCTTGGCAACGGCCTGGAGGATACCCAATCAGAATATTTGTATGCGGATCGGACATCGTGCGGCAATTAAAACTGCCATTTTGGGTGTTAACCCAGGCTATCATCGATGTCGGTTTAACATCACTCAGTCTTGACAGACTCGTATTCAAGCTTCTTCCAAAAAAGTTCATCCACTCAGTCATCCCAATACAAATAACTGCAGGAAACGGATCAAATAAGTATAGTGAGCAATATTGGCATATATTATTCCAAAATATGCTTTGGCACGCGTTTTAGTATCGAATACTTGACCAACAACTATTTAAACGATCGGACAGAACTTAGCACTTCCGGGAAAGCGTGGAATAAGGTTTGCGATAACGTCGAGAGAGGTTACTCTTACTTCAATCAGAGACCTGTAGGTGCCCTCTCACCAGAACAAGTCCTCGCGACGACGCCTGTGCTGCGTCTGCGCAAGGGCACGTGAAGGAGATGCAATGGAAATTCATATCCCTGTTGTGAAGGCCCCTGCTGGAGATGGCGTGATGCCCTAGGTGCCTCTGAATGTGCGGCTGGTGAGGCCTTGAGGGATGATTTTGTGTGGTAGGCTATGAAAATGTACGACTCGGATACCCATGATCTATGCCTGGAATTTCAAATTCATTCACTTCAGAATGCTATAGAATACCTCGTTGGCTGAAGAAAGTATTCTCCGTGTCCGAAACTGCGTGCGCGAGAGTCGCAGAAATTGATCATCGACTGCTTACACCAGATATCTAAAACCAATGGGGTGTAATAGCTTGTTTGTATCCTTCGCATTCCGCTCGTCCCTCTCGATCCGTTCATTCACTCGCCTCAAATACAAGTACATCACACCAAACATTGTCGTTGACACCACAAGTGCTGCGAGGCAGATGGCGTAGGAATAACGATACGTAGGTCCCCAGTTGATCGGCCAGACGAATCTATAAGACGTCAAATTGTAGATAATCGACGAGAGTGAGATATCAATGGGACTAACGCTCCAATGATATTCCCGGTCTGCGACAGCCCATTGATTAAAGCGATCGCAACAGCCCGCTTGGCAGGTTCTCTGGCGAATATATTGTTGATCCATCCCCAGATCACCATATATGCAGCAGAGATTTGAGCCATGAGGAAACTGCACGTCTCTGAGTACAAGAGGCAATGCTTTATGCGCAATGATTCTACTTACACCGAAGTATAGCGCGCAGCCGTGTTCATTGTGCAGATGGATATGATGAAACCAACGCCAGCGAGTGAACTCGAAGCAACAAGGAACACGTAACGCTTTTGCATCTTATCAGAGTACCTGATCGTTCATTAGATGTGATTCAAGATAGAGACCGTTCACTGACCTTGAGATAACAAATGCAACTATCGTGGAGAATACCCATGGAGGAGCGCAGAGCAGCAGAGTGTTCATTGTGTCATATCCAAGAGTCGCGACGATCGTCGGGAAGTAAATGACGAATGATAGCGCCACAAACTGGATAATGAGTGCAACCGAAAACCACCACACCTTCCAGTCGCACACAGCATCCTGCAGTCCTTGCATGGTCGTCCGTTTCCCAAGTTCGTCAGTGCCATCTTCTGCAAGGCGAGAAATAGCAAGTGCTCTTTCCTCTGCAGTAAGCCATTTGGTATTGTGTGGGAAATCAGGAAGAATGAAAAAGGCACAAATCGCGACTAGAATGGTGGCACCGCCCTCGATGTAAAATAACCATCTATAAATATTTCAGCTTCAGCGAGTATCAAACACGAACGTTTCTTGCCTCCACGCAGCTTGTCCAAGTTTTCCCTGCATGCCTGTAAGTATGCCCGATGCAAACACGGATCCGAACCCAGAGGCGAGAACAGATCCGCAAGTAACGAGAGTCGTTCTTACAGCGAGCTCATCTCGCTTGTACCATCCAGATATTAGATACAGAACGCCAGGGTAAAAGGGGGCTTCGACAAAGCCGAGAAAGAAACGGGCCAGAAGAATACCCGTATAACTTGAGTCGAACTATCAGACACTACAATGATGAAAACCGAGAATACGCACTTCTTTGTGATCCCTAGACACGGTCAGCATTCATATCCATGAACGGCGGGTGTCGACAAACCTGTTAATGTTGATACTAGACCCCAGACCACCATACTACTTGGGATCAGTATGGATGGTTTCTCTAGCCAGTGCATAACCATATTCCTGAATGAAGAAGATAGGTTACATTGAACCTAACCCTCGACGATTGACACAACTCACGCTGGCACTTGCATCAGAATGTATCCCACATAAAGGATGGATAAGATCGTAGCATATTGATTCCCCTGCAGGTGCAGGTCTTGCTCAAAAGTTCCCAATCGTGCACTACTATGGACAACATGAGACGCCATATAAAGTGAGTATGACGACACGCGACTTACCTAGCATTCGCTCTGTCGACCTACCCATGGTATGCAGTAAGTACGAGGTGACATGCCAATAGAATTCGGCGATAGCTCAGACTCACAAAGTTCAGTGCATACAAAACGATGACTAAAGACATACGTAAATCGAGCTTCCTCAGCAATCTTCTCTCGAGATCATTGCGGGCTTCAAGTTGGCTGGGTACGCCAGAGGAAAAGTCATTGTGCATGTACTCGGCCACTTTTGCATGGCTGAGAGTAGTCATTGTTCAGAAAACGAAACCACAACAGGAAGAGTTGATAACTCTCTTCTTGGTGACACTAGGTAAGAAGAATGGTACGAATCTTGCAGCCACGACGGAGCCGTCTGAAAAGTTGGTTAAATATTGACGGGGTACTGCATTGGACAAATTGCGGCTACTACACTTCAACTTTACCTAGCGATACGTGGCAGCCGAGCTCAGTGGAGGATCTCGCGACAAGATTGATCGCAAAACCTGGCACAATCCCATTGGGGGATAGATATTAATGACAACTTCGCCGCGCGTGATGAAATTCCATACCTCTGAAATGATGTTGACAAGGTAATTAGGAACGGGTGATGACAGTGACGACTCAAGTGACTAGCTATCTTTAGTCCAATATCACTGACGACTGATCATCTGCTGCGACTCGCGCGGGACTTGATTCAGAATAGCTTCTCCAAGCAAAGTCTATTCCATAGTTGGGTTTGTAGGTGTCATGGGGCGCAGAGTCACAATTTTAGCATACCGAGGTCACGGACACACCTCATTACTAGCATGCAACATTCGATTCGACGGGGCGTGTACGACCTTATTCCATATAATCAAAGTCAAGTACGAGGATTATCGATATGACATGTACAGGTTTGTTTGCTGTCTTCCTGGTTCGGCGCCGTGAGCATGAGCTGTCACATAAAAGCTCGCTACTGGGAACCGTCGGAGACCAAGGCTACTATATGCCTAGAGTCATCATTCAAGTAGATCAGTCACGGTTCACCTGAACGGCTTTTGGGATGGTTCAATGATGATGGGAATTTGCAATTGAATTCTGTGATGGTCAAGGCACACCTTTTCGTGTGACTGTCACACCAAATGGAAGGTAAATTGTGACATACGGTAAAACATGAAATTTAAAGATGTTTCCAAAAATTTCTGTACTGACTCGGAGTATTTGCTGCATGTATCTTGCACTTTCCACCACCAAAATTCTCTTCATCGCCATCAGCTGTGAGCTCTTGCTCACATCAGCTGGTAGTTCGAAGCTATTTCTGAGGTGTCACAGGTCACACCCGGATCTAAGTGCGTATCATTTGCGTATCATGCATGCGTTGTTGTCGGAACTAAAATAATATTATCAGTTGCGATACCTACAAAAAATCACCGACAATTGTCTAGAATTTTGTCGTTTGAATTCATCAACATAGCTAGATGTTGGGAGAGGAGGAAAAGACACAGTGCCTGCTGAGCAGCACGTGATGGACGCAATAGCTACCGAGCCATCGGTTATGGGTGCCTGTCCTGAGGTTCTATATTGAATGCCAAGGACAGCCATTGACGTTGAAAGAATCCAATGCACAGCCAATCGTTGCCTCTACAAATGTCGAACTGCGGCCTGCGCATCGGCAGACACGTAAGTTCACTTGAGGTTCCAAAGCGTCACTGACAGTCATCTAACCTCTCTGAACTTTCCATCATGTCTCTGATCCAAGTCTGCGTACTGGGTTCGTTCTCTTTCGCACTCTTTAAGACACTCGCGTTCCTACTACAACGAACCCACGGCATCGACCTCGATGGACCCAACAGAGGGAATTGGTTGACAGGTACGTTCTAAGATCAGTCCTGATTGACATTCATTCGAATATCCCGTCTGACATGTACATAGGCAATATCATGTCCCTCTTTGAAGGTGGTGTTGACTATTGCGTGCAAATTGCAGAGAAATATGGTGGAGCAGTGAGGCTCTATGGGCCGCTAGGCGTGAGTCGTCCATTTGACTAGTGCACATCACCTTCCACGCACCTGCATCATGTAGGAGATCGTATATGTATCTGACCCACGCGCATTGTATCACATTGTCGTCAAAGACCAGCACATATTTGAAGAGCCTAACCAATTCATCATGTCAGTATTCTCTTACTTTCTTATACTGAATTGACTCGGTACTATCAAGGTCAAACAAACTTGTTTTTGGTGAAGGCCTGATATCCACCATCGGTAAGGTACATTTCTCAAAAATTTGTTCTTCTTTTAACACTGTGTATCACCAGGAGAGCAACATCGCCGGCAACGCAAACTTCTTAACCCTGTCTTCTCAACGTCAAACATGCGACGACTCCTCCCCACACTACACCCCATCTCCGACAGACTCACATCTATCCTCGTGTCCAAACTTCCCGCTGACGGATGTACGTACCACGATCTCGCACTTTGCACATAATCTCCATTGATAGTTCGTGCAGCTCACAAAGAGATCGACATCCTCCCATGGTTATCCCGTTGCGCTCTTGACGGTGTCTGTCAAGGTATCCTCGGGTACCCCTCCAACACCCTTTCAGCAGCAGAAAATGACTCGTACGCGGAAGCATTGCGGAAGATCGGGTACGTCTGGTCATTTTGGTGCCTCAATTCAAATGTACAATAATGCATTGCAGGCCCTTGATCGGAAAGCTCATGAAGGTACGGTCGATCACGGCGTTTGTAATGCAAAGCTGCTCCCCATATTGGGCGAGGAAAGTGCTTGATTTGATCACGGTGCCCTGGCTCCCAACGCAGTTTATGGCAGACATACGGGAGATGCGACGCATTGTGGAAACAATGGATAGTGCCAGTCGAAAGGCGTTTTTGGAGAGAAAGGCAGCCATGGAAGCGGAAGAAACGTCGGACTTTATTGACACTGCGTGTAGAGACGGCGATTCGATGACGTCGATGATGGATATCATGCGTGAGTTCCATGGGTAATCCAGAACATCCTCGCTCAAGTATAATGCACAGTAAAGGCCAATGCAGTGTCATCAAACACAGAACGGCTTACAGATGCTGAGTTGTTGGGACAAATGAAGTAGGTCTTAACGTTCTTCCGCGTGTTGAAGACATCAATCAATATCGTTGCAGCGTCATGGTATTTGCCGGCCTCGACACGACCACCTCTGCGCTTGCCCGCTGCATCTATCTGCTTGCACAACACTCCGGCGCTCAAGCGAGACTCAGGAGCGAGATCCGCGACGCCACTAAAATACTTGAAGAAGACGGTGACATGACATCCGCAGAATTGCCTTTTGACGTCCTTATGAGCCTACCGTTCCTCGACAGTATCGTCAAAGAGACCCTCCGTCTCTATCCATCTCTTCCAGTCATGGCCCGAGCGTACGTACCCCTCCCTCCCCTCCCATAAAGAGAACTCAGTCTATGCATGATGCACTACAGAACGTCCAAAGCAATAACCCTCCCTTTGCAATTCCCCGCGCGTTCCCGGTCGGGTGGATACACATCCGCCGTCGCGATCCCGGAGGGCACCGTTACAATCATCTCCATCCTCGCTGCAAATCGCCACCAAGGGTTGTGGGGTGCTGACGCAAATGAGTGGCGTCCTGAGCGGTGGCTTTCATCCCCTCTTACTGCTCCCTCACAAGCACAAGAGGCAAAATGTTCATTGGATGGGGAAGATGCTGTATCCACGTCGAGATCTGCGCCTGTTATGGGAGTCAAGGATGGTGTGCGGTTTCCTGGTGTGTACTCCAACATGTGAGTACTCACAGCGCTTTCCTATCAAAGCTTATAAGCTTAAATGCACATAGGATGACGTTCCTCGGCGGTAGCCGCTCCTGCATGTCAGTTTTTCAATCCCTCCCATGACATATCCCATTAATCCGATTCCAAACAGCGGGTTCAAATTCGCAGAAATGGAATTAAGTGTGTCCATACCTTCGTGTGCCGGTGTTAAAACTAATACTTCTGACCAGAACAAATTATCGCAACGCTCGTGGTGCGTTTGCACTTCTCGCTCCCGACGGAACCGAATACACAAGGTCACGTGAAGGAGATTCAATGGAAGCTACGAGCATTTCATATTCCTGTGGTGAATCCCCCCGCTGGGGATGGCGTAACGCCACAGGTACCGCTGAATGTGCGGCTGGTGAAGAAGGATGATTTTATTTGGAACGCTGTTGTGTGATGTTCCAATGCCTACGCGCCTATTGCTTATCCCGCGGATTATTCCCCGCAATGTAATTTTGTAACGCTTCGCTATCAACTATGATGTTCACGTGAACAACTTTTTTCTTCATTTTCTATCATACATCTTGTCATAATACATTCGGCTGTCGATCGTATAGGTCTACTGCATAAAATCATGCTATCCCACTCCGCTACACAGTAGTTTCGCCTATAAGTACTTACTTGATGCGAGAGTAACATGGATCTACACCAGATATCTAAAACCAACAGGGTCCGGAAGGTCGTTGATATCCTTTACATCCTGCTCGTTCCTCTCAATCTGCGCATTCACCCACTTCAAATGCAAATGCATGACACCAATCATGGCCGTCGCCACCCCAAGCGTTGCGATGCAGATGGTGTACGAATAACGATATGTCGGGCCCCAGTTGAGAGGCCAGAGGAACCTATGAGAAATATAGATTATAGATACTCAGCGAGAGCAGTAGATAGGCGGGACTAACGGTCCAACGATGCTCCCCACTGAAGACAATCCACTGATCACAGCAATAGCGACAGCTCGCTTTGCAGGTTCTCTGGCAAAAGTGTTCTTTATCCATGCCCAAAGCACCATTTGTCCGCCGGCGTTTTGACTCATCAGGAACCTGCACGTCTTTGAGTACGCAAGGTATCGTTCTATAGGCGATGATACTGCTTACAGGGAAGTATAGCGTGCGGCCGTGTTCATCGTACAGAAGGGCATGATGAATCCGACGGCAGTCAATGCATTGGATGCAAAGATAAATATGGCACGCTTTTGCGTACGGTCAGAGTACCTGATCGTCTATGAAAAGCGATTCGAGATAGTAAAGAATAGTTTACCGACCTTGAAAAAACAAAAGCGCCAATCGTAGCGAGCACCGATGGAGGAACGACGAGCAGCAAAGTCACCATCATATCATATCCCATACTCGCGACGAGCGTCGGGAAATAAAAGCCGAATGACAGCGCGATACGTTCGATCGTGAGCAAGATTGTAAACCACCATACCTTCCAGTCGCACAGAGCATCCCGCAGTCCTTGTATGGACGTCCGTTTCCCAGGCCCATCCATTCTTCCATAGCCATCATCTACAAGGCGAGAGATAGCGAGAGATCTTTCCTCCGGAGTGAGCCATTTGGTGTTGTGAGGAAAACTAGGGAGTATGAACATCGCACTGATCGCGACTATGATCGTGATGGCACCTTCGAGGTAAAACAACCACCTGCAGATATGTCAGCTTCAGAAATGACGTATACGAACGTATCTTGCCTCCATCCGGCTTGACCCAGTATTCCCTGCATGCCTGTAAGTACACCGGATGCAAACAGGGATCCGAACGCAGTGCTGAGCACGCTTCCAAAACTAACGAGTGTCGCTCTCACAGCGAGCTCGTCTCGCTTATACCATCCTGATATAAGAAATATGATGCCAGGGAAGAAAGGTGCCTCTGCAAAACCAAGGAGTAAACGGGCGAGAAGAACCTGGGTATAACTTGTGCCGAACTATCAGACGCCACAATGACGAGCAATGAGAATGCATACTTCTGTGTGAGCCCTGGGTACGGTTAGCATTCATGGTCATGAGTGGCCGGTGTCAACAAACCTGTTAATGCTGATATTAGACCCCATATCACCATACTCCATGGAATCACGATAGCAGGTCTCTCTAGCCAGTGCAGAAACATATTCCTGGAAGAAGATCACAATAAAATTTCCCTCAACAAAGGATGCAACTTACGCTGGCACTTGCATGATAATGAATCCCACATAGGTGATAGACAAGAGCGTCGCGTATTGACTCCCCTGCAGGTGCAGGTCTTCCTCAAAACCTGCCAACCGTGCGCTACTGTGGACAACATGAGAAACATGTAAAACAAGTATGAGGATGCGTAACATACCTGATATTCGCTCTGTCGATCTAACCAATGGTAAGCACCAAGTAATACAGAGCTCAGACTCACATTGTTCATGGTATACAGAAGCACGATGATGGACACACGTCGATCGAGCTTCCTCACTAATCTCCTCTCGAGATCATCACGGGAATGGCTGGATAAACCGGAGGAAGCATCAGCCGTTTCCAATTTCTCATCGTCGAGAGACATTGTTCAAAAACAAAAGCACAGCAAAAGCCTCTCCTTTGTGAGGTGTAGGTGAGAAACGAAGATCAACGACGGTGCAGAATCCACTGGAGCGGGGAGCTGATTTGAATTGTCTGGTACAGTAATCGATTAAATATTGACTGGCACCCAATGAGATACCTTGACAATTTGATGCTTGGGTCCGTATCTATTGTAAGCATTGATCATGTGCGAGGCATGCAAGAGTCAGCCGACAGCGTTATGATAGGACAGTCTTACATAGGGAGGAATGAAGCTGGTGGTAGAACCTGGCATAACGGTATTGGGTAGTGTAGATCAGTAATCTACGCCGGGCATCCCTGAGGCCTTAATCTGACACGCTCCCAGGTGTGATATTCCCAAGCTGAGTAACAGTTCCAGGAAGTATTATTTGCCTTTGACTTATCATGCAGGGGGCATTGGCTTCTGCTGGCTTCTCGGAACCCGTCACGATCCAGGTGCGAGCGGGCATTGATGCCATCTTTGGCTTTACGTCAATGGGCGTATTTTTAGTCGGAACGACGTACCGAGGATAGATTCACTCCTGTCACGCTACCTACTCATCCCAATTCGACAAAGAACTTTGTGGAGCTGCCATGTGACAGTGATACTTCGCGCCCGATTAGCATGCTATGCAGACGTGGAGTGTTCTCTGTGGCATAAAAAGTTATCCAGGCCTTTTTTGCATTGGAACATTTAAACATACAGGATGCGCTAGGATTTGCGGGGAGTCTCCAGAAATCAGTGGTGCGTGGGCGGAGCTGGTTAAGAAGACGGCCACAAACCAGTGTCAATAGAGCGGAGGTCGTGAGTGATGCATATTGAGAGTCGACCGCGGACGCCATGGCAAGTTTGAGTTGTTGTGTGTTTTGTAAAGGTACCTGCGTTTCGTATTTGCACCTATCGATCATTAATTCATGACCACAACCACAGCTAACATTCGTCACCAGGACCCAAATCTAACAAGTCAAGTCCTCGCGACTCCCACATGGTGGTGTATATGTACATCTCGTTCTCGACGGAGCAGAATCCACAACTCGAAGGGTGTGCGTGACGAGGACAATGCACCGCATAAAACAAAAGTTGATGTCGAGGGAAAATCGTGCTGCCACACAGAACTAAACATTTAGCCAATTTCCGTGGACGTCCCATTCAATAAACAAGGAAGACGCTGCATTGCAGCAACAAGATGATCTACCACAGTTCTGTCTGTACTGAAAGGGGAAGGGGACCGACATCGTGTAGTAGTGGCCACAAAAGAATGCCGTGCTGTTCATGTGTGCACCCATGAACAGGGGAGACAATGGGGGACTCACATCTTAATAATGATACACCAAGAGACCACACCACTACCGCCATCCCTATTCCAATTACAGTTTACAACGTCTGTGTAAGTATATGACGGTTAGTAACTTGGTCATGCACGACCACAACTGTTAGTAATACCTCACCAAAACAAAACAAAAAAGGAAAAGGGGGCGTCATGTCGCAATGGGGACGGGCACGTGAAGGAGGTTGAAAGCTGAAGGATGAGATGAGGGTGCATCCCTAAGCCTACGCTATGAGATGTGCGATATAATAATAATATTAAGAAAAGTTTGATGACGGACCTTGGACAAGACAACAGATACCCAAAACGCTCATGAGACGGACTGCCCAGACGCATCAGTCGCCAGGTGTCTCCCCTAGACCAAAAAGGCTGGGACTTGAGAGCCATACGCAAGGGCGTGAGAACGAGTGCAGTTTTGAACCCAGTCGATTGCGGACACTATGACGCGTCAATGGGATCCAAGCGCAAACTCGACTGTTAGGAACCAGATACGTTACGCTCTAAGAGTAAGAGCGAATTCGTTCCTGTTCTGGAGTCCAAAAGGAACCACGACACGAGTGACAAGCATCAGTATCGAGTTGTCAAGGCTTAGGGAGGCGGCGAGAGGGTGAAGAGGTAGGGTGAGGGTGAGGATGACGAACATCCGCGTGGACACGAGTACACCTAGTAATCGTGCCGATGAGGATGACCGCAGCATTTGCACAAAGAGCATCAAATGGCAACCGCGTGAACCACCGTGAACCGCGCGAACATGGGGACCACCGTGACCGGTCGCGCCACTGATTCACTGAACAAGATTGTTATTATTTATTTGTACAGTCCATTTATCTCTTGGCATCAACATGACTGACATTGCAGAAGCGGAGGTAAGTTATGTCTTAGGATTTGTCGGCAAGCTAGAAGTTTCAAAGAACATTTATACCAGAGCAAAGAAATTTGAACTAGCAAACGACTGGAACAACGCTTTCAAGCTTCATTTACAAGCAGCGGACGCATTTCTACGCATTAGCCGTACTGCGGATCCAAAATACCGGGACAACGCTGCCGAGGCATTAGGTCGTGCTGGAAAGATCAAGCAATTCAAAAAGCTAACTCCCTTATCAACCGACTACTTTTCAAATCGTAAGTAATCAAATAATATACTAAACCGTATCTTCTAATCCACATCAGAACTTTCAATTCTCAAAAAGTCATCCGTCATCAACAACATTCAAATCCCTCTGGCAACATCATCCCCATCCCATTCATATACAACTCCATTCAATGACCCAGATGGTCAACCATCACTCCCAACCCCTGAGTATACATGGAACCGTCCAAACTGCCCAAATTCATCACTCCCACTCCTACCATCAGACATCATCCAGAACATAGTAAACGACTGCTCAGTATGCGCTTCAATCGCAGTATGCATACAACACAACACACGATTCAAATCAAACGTATGTCTCACAATTACCCTTTCTACTCGCTAACTTTCCCCAGTTACTCCTTTCCTCCTTGTCTTCTTCTAATGACGGAAGATACGAATTAAGAGTCCTCGTCAATGGTGATTTCCGACGCGTGAGTCCCTATCCTCTCACTTATACATCATTCTAAAGTCTGCTATAGATAGGTTCGTACTAACAACCCGTCAGAGCATACGCTTAGTTCAAACAGTCATCGATGACCGTCTCCCCTTTGACTCCAACAACGATCTCGTTGGAATATCAACGGGCCCAAAGAATCAACTATGGCCTTCATTCGTCGAAAAAGCAGTCTGTACTTCCCTCTTCGTCTCCATCATGACATCCTCACCCGCAACAGTACATGAAACTCATGGGCGGATACGATTTTCTCGGCTCGTAAGTCACCCCCTCCCCCTTCGTATAGCACTGATTTGGATACCCCCAAGAAACTCTGCCATAGACCTCCAGTAAGCCCCCCACCCTACTTCATCCACCTCCTCACGCCCCACAGTGTCCTTACAGGCTGGATACCAGAACACCTCGATCTCCAAAGGTATTCTCATCTACCTCTAACCAATTCCTCGCTGACAACCAAAAGCGCATCCTTTGAACGCGAACGCACATGGTCTCGCATTATGACTGCGTTCCCGCGAGGTACACCCCTTCCATCCACTCAACAACAATACTCACACCTGTTTTAGGGGACTGTATGATGACAGTCGGAACAAACGATAAAACGCCACTCAATTACAATATACACAGCGTCAAGCTTCTTCCTTCCCATGATTATGCTGTCACAGGTAGATGCCCCCTCCCACAAATAAAATCCGATATTCACTTGTGCAGATATCAAAGAAACGAACGATGAGCGCTGGGTCACGCTTCTTGATTCGAGGTTATGTACTCCGGAGTGCGGCCAGTGCAGCGGTAGTGGGAGCTGTCCCAGTAAGTCTCCCCTTCCTGTCTGCCCGTAGATGTAACAGATGGGACAGGGGTACTCAATATCCGCTGGGACGATATCTGCACAACGTTCGAGGGGTTGTATATCAGTTGGAACCCGAGTCTGTTTGGAAGTCGTGTCACGTTTCATGGGTGCGTCTTCAATCCCACACGTGTGCCATACTTCAACGAATCCACAGATCATGGCAGCCTGAAAATGCGGAAGATCTTTCACAAGGTACGTCTGCTCTCAACTCACTTGGTACAGCGTTAACGTGCTTCGGATACAGCTTATACTCACCACCTCCGACTGAACTATCAAAAAACTAAGGACTCCGCGCATCACTCATACATAAACGAAACCGACAAGAACGGAAAGGACTCGGCGGAAACAGAAATATGGATACTCTTAACGCGTCACCTCTGCGACACTCGCCGCACAAACGAATACATCGCGATTAATGTTCAAGAGGATGATACGGTTTTGGGAGATCCAGAACATGTTGCGCTCAAGGTGTGTTTATTCCTCTCCGCGGCATATCAGATTGATACAACAGGCGCACCGCAACGCACAGAGCAACTACACAAACAGCACACACCTCCTCTCACGCATTAAAACCTCCCAATTTCAAACCCAAAATTCAGGCTCGCTCTCCATATTAGCCTGCTACGATGGTCAATTCGAACAAGTCGGATTCACGGTCAATGCGTATGCTTATTCGTCGGATGTGATGGTGTCTTGGGATACGAGGGTTCCGCCTACGAAGTATATGCAGAAGGTACCTCTCTCATTCGTTCCACTTGATCAACAACGCTGATGGATGCCAGATCGACGGCGCGTGGACTAATAAAACGGCTGGGGGTAATTGCACGCATCCGACGTATATGGTGAATCCGCAATATCACCTGCGGGTGCACAATACTAGTACGGGTATCGACAAACGGCCGAGCACAAGTACAAGTGCTGACAAGCGCAACAAGACACAAGTCATACTCACCACGCAGAGCACTAGGGATATCTCGCTGAACGTCACAGCCGTGTGGTCGCAAGGCGAGCGTATATCAGAACTAAGTCAGAAAGAAGTGGTGGCTCATTCAGGGCCTTATACATATGGGCATGCGCGTGTCGCTGCTCATCTTGCTCGTACGTCGACCTTTTACCTCGAGGGAAACGCGGCTTATTTTTTTTCATCTCGCGAAGCTGGCGACTACACAGTCATATTATCAGCTTACGAACCGGACCAAATGGGAAAATTCACGCTCAAGGTAGAGAGTCCCTCTCGGTTCGATATAAAGGCGATACCACAGGAGGATGCGGGGATGTATGTTAAGACCGTCCGTGGGGAATGGTACGTCCAATCAGTTTCAATTTTCACCCTCAAACAAATCTTGACATCTTTAGGGACTCGACAACTGCTGTTGGAGGACCGAGTCAACATCGATATCACCGCAATCCAGTGTACCAAGTAACCATCCCATGCGCTTCTGAATTCGGGTACGTTTCTCCATTCCAAAAGTCCAAACGCCCCATTCATATCTCTACAGCGCCCGTCTTCAACTCCTTTCCCGCGTCCCAGGCGTATCCACCAACCTCTCACTCTTCCCCTCCTCAAACGTCCAACGATGCATCGCTTCCTCGGGGCCCTACTCCGATGCGCTTTCGGGTGTTGACATTCCCAAGAGGAGTATAAGCCCTGGGAGATATTATCTCGTGCCTTCGACATACCATGCTGGGGTGCATGCTCAGTTTCGGATTGTTGTTTATAGTAGTGTTTCGGGGACCGAGGTCGTTCTGCGTTCGTAACTTGGCGGACGGGGAAAGGAATTTTGGAGGAATTTCTTGAGAGTGGTATGCAAGGGTTGGCTTTTGGACAACTCGTTATATATTATCTAGTCTTGATGTCGTCTTTAACTTTATTTATTCACAAGTCACCTTCTGAATTGGTGATGCGGACATGTTTAACAACAAATTATTATGTAAATAATGACAACTGTAATAAAGCTATATGTGGTGCCTGAGTTACATCAGTAGCGTAGTTAGCCAATGAAAAATCGTTTAATCGTTTAAGCAACGATCGAACGTCACCGGTGCACCGCTTGTACGTCTAGTAAGCCATTGTTAGGCTGCATCAGTGCTACCATCTCGCCACGCGCGCATTTTTGTCGTTGCTAGAATCAAATGTTCGTACTTGCACTCGATGAGTCTATGCATTCAACTTACGTCACGTAGGGACAAATCGGCCACAGTCGATTTCTATGCTGTGCTGGAGAACGAACATTACTTCATTTCAGTATCTGCAAACAGTAGAATCACGCATATCTTCGAACACCTTAAGTCCCGCTATCCCGAAACTCATCCAGTCCTGAAGAAGATCTCGTATAAGCGATGCAAGTTCTACAAATTCAAGAACCCTGTAATAATTCCCGACGACGACGTCTGGGACGACACCCGCATTGTCCAACAATGTCTGGATGAGCAAAATTGGATAGAAGTGTTACCGGATAGATCTTTGAAAGTACTGGGATCAGAACTAAGAGACGATCATGTCTACTTGGTGATCAAGCTTCCGCAACTTGAAGGTGCATCACCGCTTCATCTGTTAATAATCGACATTCTCATCCTCTGCTTCAGATAAAGCCATTGAAAATGTGCTTAAGAAAGATGAAGAGCTTTTTCGTCACTTGCAAGTCACTGTAGCAAACCTGCAGTCATGGACCGCGCGAGACGTTGAACATAACTTGGACGGTGGCACCTGGCTGACTGATAGCCAAAAACGACCAGATTCAATCGCTGACATAGAGGATCGACTGGCTCGAGCGCGTACATACGCTGTACCAAACAACGACCCGCCGTCTCATGCGGACTCTCCGAGGCTGTTATCAGGTTCAAACCGATCAATCACCCCGATCACACCCGCTAGATTCATCCCCCTCCCGGATGCGACAAGTGACCTAGAAAATGCCTCCAGTTACAAGGCACTTTTTGATAACATATTTTTACCCGCTGTACCCACCGAGGATCACCCCGTCGATGTGAAGGATACCCGAGAATTCGCAGCCTTCTTCAGCGTCCTCCGTTCTTATCACCAAGACTGCGCTCTTCTGGTGAACAACTCCTCCTCCTCCCAGAAGGCTAGCAATTTCACTGTGCATTTTATATCGCCGCCTTTCTTTTCCCGTCGTAGTGAATATTTTAAATACAAGGAGTAAGTGGGATCAATTCGTTGTTACAGCCCAACTGACCATCACGAATTTCTCAGGCAGACACCTTGGGGATTTCCCATCTTCCTGAATACTCGGGATAATCGCAACGCATGGTGCAAGTTCTTCCCAGACAGCGATTGCATGGTTTCGTCTACATCGTTTCTTTGCCCCTTCATGATCTGTCAAGTGGTTTCACAGAGAAGCGAGTCCGATCGATTCCGCATGCTAGTTCAAGGCATCGCTCTTGCGCGCGTAGGACAATGTTTCATGCAAAACGGAGAGAAATTCTTCGTTGTGGCAATTTATCTCCGTGAAAATTTGACTGCCGAAAGATATATCGTTACCCAACCTGGTGCAGATAGAAAGGTCTGTCGCTCTGTTTGTAGTTGCATTTTTTTTCTCAAACGGAGGCCAGGTATTCATTGTCCAGAAAAGTTTTGACCTTACAAAGGCCAATGAGGCAGTCGCATTCCTTCGTGAGATGTACAACCTCGCGCAGGAGCTCGACGATTTGGCAGGCAAAATTGATCCAAAGAACAAGACACGCCTTGGCGACATCAAGGTTGCCGCTTTCGAAGTGATTTCTCTTACGTCACAGGCTCAGCACAACGAAACGCCGAGGACGACATTGGCCTCCGTCTTCGAAGAAAATCGTGAAGCCAGTGGCGTTCAGGATGATCTCGGCGTCTTTGATGCCGATGACATTCAAGGTATTTTGAAAAAGATGGATTACCAGATCTTGTTCATTGTATTTGGGGTGCGTACCACCGCAATCTACAATATAGTAACACTGACAATACATCTTACAGCATCCGTTCCTCGCCTTGGTGTCAAATATCGAGAATGATTCTCAACAAGGATATCTCAAATTCGTGAAAGAGGGGCAAAAGGAGGTCGAGATCTTGCGATACCTCACGGGAATTGAATCTCCCTCAAACCACACCATCTCGCCAGTCCAGATCTGGCCGGTGCAAGGGGGTAACGTCATATCAATGCCTATGGCTGGCAGCCACCTTACCAGTCTATCCAACGCCGGCGCGCACCTATGGCCTGTGGCCGAGCAATTGTTCGAAGCTGTTGACTTCATGCATCAGCATGGCGTGGCGCACCTAGATCTGAAGCCTCCAAATATCCTCCTCCCCGCCGATGGCGGCCGCCTGTCTATCATCGACTTCAACCGATCCGCACGCGTCAAAGGCACTGAAACAATGTTCCACGGCATCGTTGGTACCATCGGATATCTTGCGCCTGAAGTCGCGGCTGGTCAAGGCCTCTACAGCGCAATCCGCGCGGACTTGTGGTCCTGTGGAAAGACGTTGGACGAGCTGTGCTCCATGTGTGGTCCATCCAGGGATCGCAACGCGCTACTCGAAATAGCTCGAGAGCTCATGAATGAAGACCCGAGACAGCGACCGATGATGTCAGATGTCTTGAAGAGGATGGCGTGTTACAAGGTCGATGCCAATACAGGACCAGGTTACTTCAGGTAACGTGCTTTATTCTTGGCGTGCATGCGGCACTATATGCGAGCATTCGTTTAATTGTTCCGAGCAGTTTCTCATCTGTCGCACCACCGGTATAACGGGAAGGACTGCAAGGGGAACCAAAGCTCTATGGCGGGAGGCTACGGCTCTCTTTATGCAAGACTGACTACGACACAAGCGCAGGGCCGACTACGGGCCAGGACTCCTGCTACTGCGCCAGGACCTCTGGCACTCTCGACGAGACCGCCCTGGTACACCGGAAGTGCACGCTTGAGCTCAACCCGCTTATATACTACGTTTACCTCAAAGTGAGCACAAGATAATTGGGCAGACGACCCGATGGCCCAAGCGTTTTGTGTAGAATATCGATCATACCGTAATAGCAGCCTAATGTACCTATACCTTTACTTCGTCAAATGTTTCTAGCTGAGGTTTCTCAACCTGAGTGTGCTCTACGTCATACACGATACTGCTCAAACTCAACATATTCTACGGTCGAAGTTCGAGGTGTGGATGCAATGAATCAATGATTAATCTAACAAGGCATTCTGAGGGTGATGCCTCTTGGCAGGATGCTAATCGTCTACCTCTTAATCATCCTCGATATGCTGGGTATGTCTCCTTAGTACATTCGCTGTCTTTGCTTCTCCTGACCAATGGCATACAGACAGTGTTCTCTTCTCCCTTATACATGCTACATTCTATCATGTAGACAGCTGTTCCTGACTCTCCCCCATTACGCGGCGGAGGTGTACATCGCGGGAAGGTCGATAAACGCGGATCTACTCGTGGATGTATGTCAAGACCGTGTGTAGGAAGTAGTGCGTCATCCACCTTTCATCAGTCAATCTAATTTTCTGCGTGAAATAATCTTGTGGATTCGACGACTGCCATTAGGAGACCCAGTCAAAACCGTTGTCAGCGCAATCCAGTCTGCGAAGTAACCATCTGATGCGCTTCTGAATTCAGGTACGCCCCTCCTCCCATCGCCTCAAATTTCAAACGAGTACTGACCACCTCATTAACATTCACATAACGCCCGTCGCCAACTCTTCGCATGCGCCCCAGGCGTACCCACCGACCCTCCTTATTTCCCTCTTCGAGCGCAAATCCTCGATTATGCATTGCTTCCTCGAGGCATTATTCCAAAGCGCTTTCAGGTGTTGATATTCCCAAGAGTATAATCCCTGGAAGTATTATCTCGTGCCTTCGGCATATCATGCTGGGTACATGCTCAGTTTCTGATTGTTGTTTATGGTATCGGTTTTTTGCGTTTATGACTCATTGGGCGATGGGTTTGGCACGGCGGATGGGGCAAGAGATTTTTGACGTGGGAGGAGGAATTCAGGGGGTGAGAGGAGGAATTCGTTGACGCGTTTGAGAGTGGTGCGCGAAGGGTTGGCTTGTGGACAACTTGTTATTATCCAGTGCAAGCGGGTTTTGATGTCGTCTTTGGCTTTATGTATTCAAATGCAAGCCCATCGTCAATCAACAATTTCTTCGGGGGATGGTTGGCAGGACGTACAAATGACACCCTCCCGTTCGTACTCATACTCACCACAAAATGCCCCTGAATCGTCGAAGAACTTTGTGAGAACTGCTATGGCGACGCCGATACTCGTATCAGTGCCCGTTTCGCAGGCTATGCAGATGCGGCGCGTATTCTGGAGGTGGAGAAAGATGAAGGGCATCACTTGTGGGAGGACGGTGTGTAGGAAGTGATGCTGGCCTTTTTTGCCTTGAGGCGTTTGGATGTATAGGACGCGTGGATGGTCTTTGAGAACGGGTGGTGCATCGTCTGCGCTGGTTAGATAGACCACTACAGACTCGTCGCCGAGAGGAAAGGAAATGTCATGAGTGGTGCATATTGAGAGTCTACCGTGAACGTGTTGAATGGGTATGGGATGAAATGACGCATTATAATTTAAATCGGTGGATGTGGAGTGTGTGTTTAGGGAGGATGTGAGGGCTTGAACGAGGGTTGGTAGTTCGTTACGGTTTGCGCGGAGGAGGGTCTGTTTGTGTTTCCAGAATTGAGCGGGGGTGAGGCCCTGTCGCGTACGTCGTATCAACAATGACGGCCGAACTTAATGAAAGATACGTACCATACTCCATAGCTCGTGATCATCCCCCGATCCCTGGATATACGCAAAACCTGTGATGCGTCTCTCCATGCCGTCCAAAACCTGCTTCGAAGCAGATATGCAGATGATAGGGTAGAACCGCCGTTCAGCATCGGTGTCAAGGAATTTTGGGAATACGGTGGTGCTGGGCGTTATCCAGATCGGGCGGAGGGGGTATTGCAGTTTCGGGAGTACGTAGAACGAAGCCTACAAAGCCACGATTTCAGATGCCTAAGACTCATGGTTAAATAAAATAAGACTTACAGCAAGATCATCCGCCCACCCATCTAACTTTTGCTCTATCTGATCATGCTCTTGTGCGCTAACCACTCCGGGCGGAGTGTACAACTTCGTGTTCCAAGCATCCGCTTCCACGTTCATGTTCGAAGTGGTTTTAAGGACAGCTCTATTTATTACTGCACACCAGATTGGAACGGTTTTAGAGAGTGCGTCTGGTATGCGCTTGCCTGCTCTCGTAGAATCCACCAAGAGCAGTCTGGGGCCCATATGTTATACGGTTTGATATTGTCGATGTAAATGGCACACGAACCCTGCGTGCGCACAGATCAAAGGTAATACGTGTATATTGGGCCTTCGAAGATTGAAGCTCCAATTTCCGGTGTGTCCATCGGTGGACTTGAAATATGTGCGTTCGTTTGATGCCTATAAGAATATTCGTGAGCTGCAACATGGATTGAGAGTAGACTTACGGTGTCAGGGTCTGTGTACCATGCTCCGCATCGCATGTTGGCTTGTGGACGTATGAGGTGAGGACGGTGATCGGTGGTGACGGTGACACTCACGGATGAGAGGAAGTCTGGAGTAAGATCGATAGACTTGGTCCACGAAAGCGGCGTCCTCTGCAATGGAATGGATTCGGTTGTAAAGATCTTGGGATTCCTTTCGTAGCTCGTTGAAGGCTAGCGATGTGCCGTCATTGTGGCCCATGACTAGGACTCTGGACGTTGGAAGTTGGAACCTTTGGGTGATAAGGCGTTTGATCATTTTCGCTGAAGGTGTGCTAACATGGATACTTACCCCATTTGGCCAAGGCGGCTGATCAACCGATCACGGTCGCTACCGGGAACGCATTACGTTCAACTTGTTGGCTTGAGAAGTCCAACGTTAACTGCAGTGCTTGTAACAACTTCAACTTCAACAAACTTCATAATCTGCCCCCTTTTACAGGGACTGTGACACACCTGCTCACACGGATGTGATAAGTAGGTTTCTTGGTAGCTTCGCCACTCCACTATGTTCTTCCTCGGAGCCGGGTACTACTTGGACTACTAGAATGATCATCTAAATGTCGTGGTAAATCCACGTCCTCCATCAGACGCTAGAGCTCAACGAGCGGCAGATATATAACGGGAGTAAAGAGGGATAGAGCTAGCAGGTGAGATATTTTTTAATCGTGTTGTCGTACATCACATAAACACGTGCACATTACTTTGAAGAATATTAAGAGGTTACCGATCGACGCAGCCGCCCATATATTGTTGGCAAAAAGAATTATCGCGGGAGCTTTTGACAGACGAAGACGGAGCGTGCAAACTGCAGAGTGCGCAAATGATGTGCGGATGAACTGACCTTTTTGTCTTTGTGGTTAAACAGGGACCTGCAACACTCGCCGCCCTAACATCACCGATTCACCACGAGACAGCACCTCGAACATTGCCCGCTTGACGGCTGCAGCTGTCAGGACACGTCACCTAAGGCTGACGGTCAGCTAGGCGTTGTTCATACATGTTCTGATCGTCAAACGTTCGGCCCGAAAAAGCTCTGCTGATCGATTGTTCCTACGCAGCGAGGACCAAAATGGAGTGAAAGTCCCCTCCATCATCTCCCTGATGGGCTAAGGTTGACGTGCATGCACATCTAGTATTCTCATTTCCGCTGTCTCCCACACAATCCATCTCCGGTCTTACCTGGATTCACAGAAGCGTATAATGGCACGTCAACATCGTAAGGTTAATCAGCGCTCAATATTGATACTCTGCACTGCACTTATGGTCGGGAAACACATGACGAGATACTTTACCAAAGGCGGGTCTTCTTAGTAAGTATGCATCCCTTCTGCTCCACCGAGATATTGATACATGTGCGTGATAGTCAATATCTTTTTTTATCATCTTTCAAATGAAGTTTCATGCTATCAACCATCCAATCAAATCGAAGACCCGCTTAGGACTCTGAGCCAGGCAGGAAATATCCCTTTTACATCCACAAATCAAAATTTCTCAATCAGCCTGGATCTACGAGTCATCTAAGCCCCTGACCCACCGTTGCAAACTCAAAGCATTATTTTGGACACGCTCCAGTAGATCAGCAACTAGATTTCCTACTTTTTTTTTGCCGTGCGCCAATACACATTGCTAAATTCTTTGAAAGGAATTTTCTGAACCGTCACCGTCACCAGCTGGCCTTCAGTGAATTCAATAAGCCGGACGGACCCGGACGTTCTATGAATTACGATAACTGATGAGCCGCACGACAGCCGGTGACCAACGCCATCCTACACCATCGGATCACAACCAAAGCGCCCAAGAGTCTTATTGTTTCAAACCGTGAGCCCCAAACTTTACCTCTGATAATTTACGGGTATGATGCCCTTCCTGCGGATGCAATACGATGCGCCCAGCCACTCTATGTTCTACCAGTGCGATCAGATTACCACATCCACTTGCAGGAAAAAACTCACTGTGAATGAGCTCAAAACACCACAGGATACCGTCAAATTCCCCTCGTACATACTGCACAAAATTTCAGATTATCGTGCGTTCCACAAGCATGACATCTTGGGGCACAATAGGACATCTTTCCACCGATCTGGCCATAAAACACATGCTGTATACAATTGCTTGTCGGGGACCCGCCGCCAGTAACCATCGGCATGCACAAACGCAAAAATGATTCCACTCATTTGCCACTCGTGGTCAATTTCTTGTAATGTGATGCCACAAATATCCAATCTGTCATGGCAAATTGAGACCGCCGCACTAGTAGCGTTGTTCCGTTCGTCCACTCCGTGGCCGCCCGTAATACTTGGATTTAGATGGACCCATAAGGTTTGGTATTCGCATCAGGCCTTGTTTTTTCCGCATACCGCAGGCTCTCTGACTTGACCTGCATTGGGACAACATCGCATAGTGATCCTTTACCAAAATCTACTAGTCCGGCGCTTCATTAAGGTTTCTTGCTTGGCCTTGCTAGCCGCAACCATCGTTGTCACCCTCGGAAAAATATGTGAGCCAGAATTTTGATAAGCTGCACCTATCGGAAAGCACAGTACGTTGTGCCGCGACCCTTTCAGCTCTTTAATTAATATCACCAAGCCAACATCTAGCATGAGATATGAGGAACTTTCCTCAAATTCGCTTCTATCGATAGGGTCTTCGGGCTTCTACTTCGATTTGCAGTTGGATCACCCTTATACTAAGAGATGTGGCCAGATTGGCTTATTACTCGTTCGAATGCGCTCTAGCCTCCGCCAATACCACTTGGACTATAAAGTAAGCAATCACCAGCACTGGTGATCACCAACAAAATATTCACGTTAACCATTGTCTGTTCTCCCTCCAACCACAAGAGCGCATGTCTACCATCTTACCTGTTAGTCTAAGTCGATCATCATACTAGTTCTTTGTCCGACAACTAATGATGGTGTGGTATTTCACAGGTCCCACACAATGATCCCTCCGCAGCTGTCAGCTTTTCTGACCACATCATCTGCTCGTGGCACAGTGGCTTGGGGATACCATGTGGCGCATATACCAGTGTATCGGACCTTTCAAGACATTTGTCGATGCACGGGGTGAATGGGCCGGCAAAATCGGTCATATCGTGTGCATGGGGTGACTGTGGAAGAGCCCCCATGAAACGGGAGAGCATTGTTCGACATGTCGAGGAAGTGCACTTGCAGGTGAAATACCTCTGCGACCAATGTAGTGCTTCTTTCTCGCGCAAATCTACGCGCAACGGTCATGTTTTCAAGTCGCATTCATACGCGTCCTAGTAGGGAATTCTTACGTTTGGATGCATATATTTTGCTGGACTTCTGGAAATTGTCTGCGATGCTGTACGTTAGTGTACCACCCTAGTATATATGTATCATATACATTATCACATCCGGTCGCCAGTCTTGGACAAAGTATTAATATTTAACCACAGTATATCTTTAAATGTACATAGTATAGTATCGTTTTGTATACATGATGGCGTTTTACCCTGATTTTTATGTTTAGGTCAGAACCCGCTCCATCCACATTAGTAATGTCGGGGGACACAGCCAGCTTGATCATGGCCCCAGCTCTCCGAGCAATATTAACATCATTAGAACCAATCCTGCCGCTCTTGTGCGGACTTTTATCCACGTTGTGTCTCATTTCTGGTTGTTGCATAAGCCCGTCATGGATTCGACGTTGAGCGCTGAGTATTCATCGAGTTTGGCGTATGATAGCATCACCGCTGCAGAAGGTCGGCTTAATGTTGTTCTTAGGATGCATGTTTATTGTCTCTACTCCGTTTTTCGCACGTCCGCCTTTTGGGCTTGGCAGCAGAGTAGGAAAATGAATCATGCGCGTAGTTGAACTTCTGACCTGAACAGGGATTGGCCAATTTTTACGAGGCTGATCTCGCGCAGGCTGTGTAGGCGCTGGTGGGTGTTGCAAAGGCAGAGTAGGGTGACCATCTAGGGTATAGTGCTGCGAGGCAGGCCGTGAAGTCACTGGCGGGTGTTACAGAGGTGGAGTAGTGTGAACACCCGAGATATAGGGCTGCGAGTGATGTTCTGATTCAAAGACATGTACGGAAACTGAAGGCACCAAGGCGCAGTAAAAGAGAAAAACACTCACGGTCAACACGAACACGTTCATGGAACACGCCCAACACGTCTTCTAAATTTAGTCTCTCAAAGGCATGATGGAGAGGCGCATAGTTGATGAGTTCGATGAGTAACACTGCTAGGTCAATTATCTTGTGCATTATGACGGTACTTGTCAGAAATGAGCGTTGAATGTATGTTTTGGTGTGGTGCGGCAGTGATGCATTACTAGTAGTGGTGTGGCAAGTTGCGGCAGTGATGCGGCAAAATACCTGAGCCCGATAGCATAGCACAATTATGGGTGCACTGCAGAATCGTTGCCGAGAGGGGATGAAATATCATGAGTGGTCCATATTGAGAGTCTACCGTGAACGTGTTGAATGGGTATGGGATGCAATGACGCATTATAATTTAAATCGGTGCGTGTGGAGTGTGTTTGGGGAGGGTGTGAGGGCTTGAACGAGGGTTGGTAGTTCGTTACGCTTTGTGCGGAGGAGGGTCTGTTTGTATTTCCAGAATTGAGCGGGGGTGAGGCCCTGTCGCGTAAGTCGTGTCAACAACAACGGCTGAACTTAAATGGGGGATACGTACCATACTCCACAGTTCATGATCATCCCCCGATCCCTGGATATACGCAAAGCCTGTGATGCGTCTCTCCATGACGTCCAAAACCTGCCTCGAAGCAGATATGCAGATAATGGGCAGAATCGCCGTTCAGCATCGGTATCAGGGAATTTGGGGAATATGGTGGTGCTGTGCGTTATCCAGATCGGGCGGAGGGGGTATTGCAGTTTCGGGAGTACGTAGAACGAAGCCTACAAAGCCACGATTTCAGATGCCTAAGACTCATGGTTAATAAGACTTACAGCAAGATCATCCGCCCACCCATCTAACTTTCGTTCTATCTGATCATGTTATTGTGCGCTGATCACCCCAGGTGGAGTGTACAACTTCGTGTTCCAAGCATCCACACCCACGTTTATGTTCGGGGCGGTTTTAAGGACGGATCTATTTATGACTGCACACCAGATTGGAACGGTTTTAGATAGCGCGTCTGGCATGTGTTTGCCTGCTCTCATACTAGAATCCACCAAGAGCAGTCTAAAGCCCGCACGTTATACAGTTTCATATCGTCGATGCAAGTGGCACACGAACCCTGCGTGCGCACAGATCAAAGGTAGTACGTGTAGGGCCTTCGAAGATTGAAGCTCCAGTTTCTGGTGTGTCCGGCGGTGGACTTGAAATAGAATGCGCGTTCGTTTGATGCCTGCCAAGGTGGGTTCAATATTCGCGAGCTGCAAAACATGGATCAAGAGTGGACTTACGGTATCAGGGTCTGTGTACCATGCTCCGCATCGCATGTTGGCTTGTGGACGCGTGAGGTGATGACGATGATCGGTGGTGACGGTGACACTCACGGATGAGAGGAAGTCTGGAGTAAGACTGATAGACTTGGTGTAGTACGAAAGCGGTGTCCTCTGCAATGGAGTGGAATTGGTTGTAGAGATCTTGCGATTCCTTTCGTAGCTCACTGAAGGCTAGCGATGCGCCGTCCCTGTGACCCATGACGCGGACGATCTATAGGCATCGAAACTCGTAAATCTTTGGCCAGGTGATAAAGCGCTGATCAATCTCGCTGATCCAGTGGCTCCGAGGACCCGAGGCGTACTACTATACCTCATTTGGCTAAGGCTGCGGATTTAACAGGATTGCGTTAGACTTGTTGGTTTTGAGAAGCCAAAGGTTTTGTGCAATGCCAAGGTTAATATACTGCTTTGTTTTTACCCAAATTCACAATCTTATATCCCTTGGACAGGAAATGTGACATACCCTACTCGCGAACGCAATAGTGGAGCTCAATCGGCGACTCCGCTACTACTTGGATTGTCAATCGAAGCTGTTTCATCAGACAGTAGATCAATATCTGCTGTGGTAAATTTACGTCCTCCATCAGACGCCGCTAGAGCACGTACAGCAGCAGAGATGGATAGGGATGGCAGGTGAGACACTTTTTTTTACAAATCGCAAGCTTTAATCGTGTATTACACAAACTTCTGCGCACTATTTTGAAAACTAATAAGCTATCTGTTGACGCAGCCGCACGCATAAATTAACAAAAGAATCATCGCGGGAGCTTTTGACAGGATGAAGAAAGACGGGGCGTGCAAGTCGGAATGAACTGTCGTCTCTATGGTTCAGCGGGGTCTTTACCGTCGTAACATCAGCAACTATTATTCACGGTTAGTTGAGCGTTATCCTTATTTTTACACGTTCTGCCTCCCAAAAAGTTCTGCTGATTGATTATCAGAGCCTGTGTGAGCGACGACCAAAATGAAGTGAAAGTCCTCCCCCATGATAGGCTAAGGCCAACATACACATCTAATATTCACATTTCCACCATCTCCCACACGATCCATCTCCGCATAGGTATGCACATTGTATCCCTCAAATGAAGTTTCATCCTTATTAACAAATGGAAGGCCCGCTTAGGAGCCCTTCTCTTTACATCTTCACATTTGATTAAGTCTCTCTGAATCCACGAGTCACCAGCCCTTGACCCACCACGTTACAAACTCAAAGTATTGTTTTGGACGCGCTCCGGTAGATCAGCGGCAGGTTTTCTATTTTTCCACGCCCCAACAGACGTTGCTGAACGTTTTGAAAGAAAACTTCTAACTCGTCACCGTCACTAGCTCGCCTTGAGTAAGCTCAATGAACTGGACGCACTTGGAACATCCGATGGAGCCACCCATTGCAAAAGCCGGTGGGCGTTCCGTGAATTACGATAACTGATAAGTTGCACGGCAGACAGCAAGCAATACCATCCTACGTCGTCGGATCACGACCAAAGCGCTAAAAGTCTTATGTTCTACCAATGCGATCAAATTACCACATCAAAAAATTCACTACAAACGAGCTCACCACGCCACAGTATTCCCCTTGCATATGCTGCGCTTATAATTTATCGTGCGTTCTACAGCAAATGAACTGCTCATGTTGTTCTATTCATTCCGCTCCGTCGCCACCCGTGATATATTGATACTTGGACCTATGACGTTTTGTATTCGCATCGGGTCTTGTTTTCTCCGCATATCACAGGTTCTCCGACTTGACCTGCGTGGGGACGATTGCATAGGCATCCTTGGGCAAAAGCTGCTAGTCTGGTGCTTCACGTTGTCGTCACCCTTGGAAAAATACGTCTGTCAGAATTCTGATGATATACACCCGTCGGAAAGCACGATACGCAACCCTTTCACTTCTTTCATTGATATCACAAAGCTGCTATCTGACACGAGGAATTCATAGGGTGTATCGCACCGGTTATACTATCTAGAATAGGATTGCATTGCATTGCTCGTTCGGATGCGCTCTAGCCTCTGCCAAATACTCGCACTATAAAGTCAGCGATCACAAATACAGGTAGTTACCAACAAAACGTTCTCAACTATTGTCTATTCTCCCTCCTACTGCGAGAGCGCATGTCTGCCTTCTTATCTGTCAGTCATCATACTTGTTCTTTGTCCGACAACTAATGATGGTTTGGTATTTCATAGGCCCCACACAATGATCCCACTCCTGCCACCGACTTTTCTAACCACACCATCTGCTCGTGGGACAGTGGCTTGGGAATACCATGTGGTGCATATATCAGTGTATCGAACCTTTCAAAACATTTGTCAACGCACGGGGTGAATGGGCCGGCAAAATCGGTCATATCATGTGCATGGGGTGACTGTGGAAGGGCGGCCATGAAACGGGAGAACGTTATTCGACATGTCGAAGAAGTGCACTTGCAGGTGAAATACCTCTGCGACCAATGTAACGCTTCTTTCTCGCGCAAATCTACGCGCAACGCTCATGTTTTCAAGTTGCATTCATACGCATCGTAGTCCTTACGTTTGGGTGCATAAATTTTGCTGGACTTCTGGGAATTCTCTGCGATGCTGTACGTTAGTGTACCACCCTTGTATATTCAATGTCACATTCAGTCCCCAGTCTTCTCAATTTTCAACCACAGTATACCTTCTTCAAATTCGTGTACATATAGCGCGCTCGTATGGTGCTGTTATCATTTTTGCAAACAGCTATAATTACAAAGAAGGTAGAACAGAATTCCAGAACAGTACTGGACCAAATTTTTGAATAAGATGTACACTCCCCGAATACCAGAAATATTAATAATAGTTGCAAGACGCTCTCCGTTACGAAGAAGACAACATGGACTTGTCAAACTACCATTAAAAACTCATTCGTCGGACGTCCTACTATCACCTTCATTGATTAAATAAGTGTCGAAGCATGAAGGAAATACTATGTCTTCTGTTATTCTCTCGTTCGAGTGCTGTATCAAGATCAATGCCTCAGTGGGACTAGTACATACGGACGTAATTTAGAGTTTTGTAATGGAAATCGAACGATCAATGATTACTAATATTTTATAAAGCTCCCACCATTGAGTCCAAAAATAAACACGCTCATAGCCTATCACACTCACTAAATCTTAAAGACGGTGTCGTTTGAGCTCTACGTGAGCCTGCAAACGTTTTGCTCAAACAAGTATGTACTTACTACGCGAGCGAACGCGTATCGTAAGATGCCGTTTTGCAACACGTTTCTTTCATCTCGCTTTCATCTCGCGTTAGCTCACCTATTTTTCTTAGAAGAGAATCTTCCGCTCCTGTCAAAGTTTTGCACTATTTCTCGTTTACAATGACTAACGTTTGCGTCGAATTCTGGGTTTCCGAGCGGGGTAGGGGGGAAAGTCACGTCTTCTCTAAACCCTGGTGGCCCAAGCAAAAATCAATCCGACGCTGTTAGATTGGTTGATGGAGTAGTTAGAAATAGGAACCGCGAGACTGTTACGTCTGACTTCACGCGAAATTATCACGCGTTCTGATCGAAATAGCAACAGAGCAGACCGGAGACAGGCAACATCGGGATTAACATTCATCTCCGATGACGAAGACTTGCTTGATCTTCCAGGTAGCGAGTCAAGGGCCCGCTATGGTCCTAAGGCCCCACCCCCAACTGAAGTAATTCGTGTCGGTGCTGCTAGCAGTCAGTTTTCACTAAATTTATAGCATCAATATATACTTCGTTCAGTATTCATATCACTAGCAGAGTCTGCAAAAGACATACCTTACACTATTAGATTCTGCTTTCGATTTCGCAGACTCCACCTTTGTTATAACTCAACGAGCAATAGTGAGCACCTTCTGTAGCTGCCCGCCATGCACAATCTGGTTGTCGATTTTTGAAGGGTCTCTCTGGATCAAGCCCAGACTTGGATAACGAACAATTCAAGAAACGAACTTTGACTCAACCCAAGATCTATTGTTGGTGAATCAGAATTTGGAATTTGAATTAAACCGCAGTCTCGTTGGCTTTGTGGTGTCCTACTCTCGAAAGCCACCTATTTGCGCTTGTGTGAGGTATAGCATTTCTATCGCGTAGCTCGATTACAGTCCAAGGTATTATTTGAGACGCTGGTGTATCAATCGTCGGAGGTAGGCTGAATGATATTTCTCGGTTCCGGGGAAGGAATTACCCCAAGAGGATTAGTCAAGTAATTGCGGAGGAACTCCCTCCAGTTGGCTTTCAAGGGCACGAAATGACCTATCTAGGGTGTCAGAAGCGAGTCACAGCACAAGGTCGAATCGGCTGACCGCCATCATGCTCCTCCAATCTCTTGTTCTGTGAGAGATCAAGTAGACCCTTCGAGCGCTCCTCAATGACAATGACATCGTTTCTCCCGAGAACGTGCAGGGTTGGTGTAGAATATGATGTCCCAAAGATTTCTGCACTGAGAGACCCGGATGCTTTGAAGCCTGAGACGGCTACACAGAATTTGCTAAGTCAAGGTTGAGCACTTGATTCTCTTTGGTAGGACACGTTACGTACAAAGGCGGGTGAGGAGCCTCTCCATCAACGAGAAAGGGAGGATATGAATGAGGCCGCTCTAGCTGAAGAAGGATGAAGCCTTGAGAGTCAACAGGTACGATCACATCACGAATATACACACGAGAGCGGCAAGCAGAGCAGCCATAGCTGCTCCTTGACTTTGGTTTCACCGATAAGCCAGACGGCATCAAAGATGGACAGTGAAAGATTACCTGAAGCCAAACACACCCTACGACCAATTCATTTTAGCTCAATGTGTGATATGCAGCGGACATGCTCACATCATATCGATCACGCTGAAGAATATCTCTCAAAAAGAGTATAGATTCTTCTAACCCGTGGGCGATTGTCTTCTCCGGGTTGGTTTTCCACCAAGCTCGGGGCGTAGTTGAAGGATCAGAAGATGTCGCGTTCGCCTCTGAAGCTCCGAGAGCTGTAAATGAAGCTGCGGACGAGGTGCCGTTGAGGTCAACAGGAAGTAAGACAATGGGTCCGTCGACGAATACTATATCCGTTTGTTAAGCTGTATATCGGTATGGTTGCATAGATTCCAAGCGTACCCATTTCAATGCCTTTTCCCATCGATTTCCTCAAGGCCCCAAGCTTTGATGAATGAGCACGATGGGGTACCAAAACACGAAGATACTTACGCGTTTACTGAATATATTTGCATTTTGCGAGTGCCTGAGGAAGTGAATCAGTCATCCACGTATGCTGCTCAGCCAGTGGTGATTCGTAAACTCATTAGAGTATAAACTGGTACTTACCCATGCAGCATTAGCACCTTCGTTGGAGCAGCCATCACTGTCAGTTCGCCTCTTCTTTCCTCTAGTCAGATCTGTAGGCTGTAGGATGACAGCCGTTCCGTCTACGTTATCAGAGCGTGTATGCAGTCAAAGTGGGCTCAAGGTCTATCGGTCTTCGCCTAAATATCGGTCGGGCCGGTCAGAGCCGTTCCAACTTCCCAGCTGCTCACCACAAACTAAGTCGGAATTCGAACTCACACACCCTTCATTTAACCAAAACACAATGTACACCCTTAAGACTTTCTGTATCTGCAAATGAATCTCCTCGAATGTACTCGCTCTTCTTAAATCACTCCGAGTACCGATCTTGCGACGGTGAAACTTTCATCGTCTCGATGATCCCTCTCACTTTTTCATACACAGCGAACACGATCGCCTGTCCAGGAGCCACTCGCAGAACTCTCGGCGTAATCCCTTTGTAGAACGACCGGACGCCTTCCTGTTTCCACATATCCTTTGCTATCGCTGCAATCCGCTCAAACGCTGTGGTTCCTGGTTCATACGTGGCTTTTTGCAATCCTATCGATGTCGTGAATTACTTGGATGTAGGCAATCCCTGTAAGATGAACTTACGAGTTTTAATCGTGTCTATCGGAGCGTTCGAGAAGGGTCCCATAGCACCTGATATAAGTCCAATAATCATGTGTTGGTATGAAGGTAAGTCCTTCAAATCCGGCTGGTATGTGTGTGCCAATTTCTTAAGTTCCTGATATGCAGTGAAGTTCGCGCCTACGATCACATTATTCATAAGCCTCGTCACGGTATCAATGACAGATCTCGTTAGACTGACCTTGATTAGTAGCTTGCCGTAAAGCAGTGAGCGATACTCCTCTATAAAGGGCCGAAAAACCTTCTTCACGTATGATCGTATACACCGCATGACCCGCATTACGATATCTTGGAGCTTCCAGCGGATCAGCGAGCGAATGTTGTTGCGCCTGCAGACGGATCTTCACTACTTCCATTGGACAGACGACCGCGACCGCCTCGGTCGTCCCAGCAGCGAGGCCAGCTAAGCCTAGAGTTCAGTTTCCATCACGCAATAACTTTGAAGAGATTACCGATGAAGATATTCCCCACCCTGGTGTTTCCTGTTGATTTATCTGCTAACCATTCTTTGTAAGTCTCGAAGCTGGCAAATCGGATGGCCATCTTTGGGACTATTCCGGAAAGGACAGCGCCGAGGCCCTTGTATAATGCTAATGGCGTCTCGCGTTTAACAATCATAACACCTGTCGCCAAAAATCCTCGTGGCTTCGTCTGGCGGGGAGTTAGTTGATGAATGCCGTACAACATCACTAGTGACATACCCCAGGGGCCATCCCGGATTTGGAGAGTTGCATCCGCACCTTTATGGTGTCGAGTGGTTGGCAGCATATCTGAGACCCTTGATCGTTTTATGTGGTACACGACATTGAATATACACACTTACCGCCTCCATCGCGCCAGCGATCCCTCCAGCCGTGATATGTGTAGCGAAGCCTACCGGCTTCTTGTCCCCATTTCTTGGCATAATTATAGAGGACCTAGGCGTCTGGAGGGTTGGGTAGGGTATTAGATACCAGCGGATGAAAAGCTGGGACAAATAAAATGAAGGTTACCCTCACATACGGCCGATGAAATGTAAGACTGGCGCGGATTTAACATGTGAATATTTGGTTTTCGTCTACTATTTTCGGACCTTCCCGCGTTAGCACCGACCAAGTATTTCCAGTACTGTCCTTGGATCAATCGATTGATCATTGATCATCGATGTGCCCGCGAGAGTCACGAGCTATGTTTGTTTTCCCCGTTCTTTATCCGCTTTGCATCCGAATATTGGTACATGCGCGCACGCGGCACTAGTCAAAAAACCGGGCGGCACATCGATGTCAAGTCGACAAACAAGTTGAAACAATCAGCCAAGTTGCGGCTCACACGGCTCAGAGCTGCCGATTTAGATGAGTGAAACAGTAATCTTTCCGAAACAAACGGGAGTCTATTGTGGATCCGAGTGTGAAGCAGATGCATAATGCGTGCCAAGGTATCCGATGGAGAACGACAAGAATGCGATAAAATGAAATGCGACTGCTAAGGTATTTAGGTAATCGTTGAGGTATAAGATCCAAGGATGTATGTGCTATGATGAATGTTAACTGTCGTTCGCGATTGCGTCGCCTTCGGTCGTTCGTACTTTCTCCGTGGCAGCAGGTATCGAGCAACAATCTCTAAGCAAAGGCATCGATTGTGACAAAGCTGACACAGGTGACGAATTTGGCGAACTAGACAGTGTTTCCTCGCCTGATGGTTTAGGTTCTTCGTCAGCCAGAAACTCGTTTGATGCATGAAGGGACTCGATATCGTCATCGTGAACTGGGCAGAAAGGACCCTTAAAGAACCTATGTTGGGCGTATGCGAATGCAGGTCTGTTCATGTCCCGTGCCAATATATCAGACTTACGATACAAGACATAAGAAACTGGCGACACATACGTCAGTGCAATGGAGAGTGCAATCATAACCAATGTGCCCGTGGGCGGAAAGTACCCATTATTCGTGGTGTCCTGCAATCTGATTAAACTGTGATTGTTTTTGAACAATTCAAGGTGAGTACATACCACGACATGATAACTGTTTCTGTCAATCAAATATCTGAGGCCCCGACTCATGCCAGATTGCTGATTAACAGCCAAGTCGGTCCCCAGGACGCACAAGAAAGTACCGACAGATGCCGATCCTAGAAGCTATTCGATTCAGTCAGGATTCAAGGAGACCATGAAGGACGAATTCAACGCTCACCAGTCCAGCTCGCTGTTTCCAAATGACAAGTACTGCACTCGCGAGACCACAAAATGCTATGAGTAGCCAATTGACGAAGAACGCAGCAGGCTCGGGTACCAATAAAAGGTTACGTAGTAATACTATCCGTATCCCGATGGCGAGGCCACCCTGTATGCCTAACTGGAGGAGCCCTACCATACGACCCACTTCTAAAAGCCCGAAGATAAAACCAAAACCAAATAGTACAAGAACTAGAGCTGTCAAGGTAATGTCCGAAATACCGACATTGTCTAATGTATTAACAAAAACGGACCATGCTGTAGATGGGTTAGGTAAATTTTCATACGGATGAATGATTAGTCGCTACCCACATGTTACAGCCACAGATAGGCCTATGGCCGCACCGGTGGTGAGGCGCCGGCCACGAAAGCCGGCCAGCATGAGCGGAACGCCAACTGTGAATGAGAACGCAATCCACAAGATAGCGGGCAGTGAGAATCCACTACCGCTGCCATCGGTTGCGAGTCCTTGAGGAATTTCATTTCCAGTGAGTGGACTGTAAACCACGACGGTCCCGTTTTTGTTGGTGACAATGACATTGGGATCTTGGAGATGTTGAAGTTGATGAGTAGACGTGGAGTGCGTGGTCTGTGCCATAGCTCCTTGTAGCAGGGTACTTGCGAGAGCGGTGAAGGCTAAACATGGTACGAGTAGTAGTCGTTCGCTGTGGCGACATCTGCAGCGCGTTGAAACCACCATGGGTCTCCTGCTTACGCCAACAGCGAATTTAAAGAGAGACTAATTATAATATAAGACAAATGCCTTGATGGAGAGGCCTGAACTAGAAGACAGGCCAACAAAATTCAAACGAGCGACAATCAAAATGAGTGGGGGTTAGCGTCTTGAGACGCTTTCTTGAAACGAAGACGAAGACGACGGAACGAAGAAAAAGACTTGTTGCTGTTGCAATTGTGCCTTCCGCGAAGGTCCAGACTGCAATTGATCCGGTACCCGAAATCAAGGTTTGAGCATTTCAAACTGGTTACTTATTACGTCAATTCACTACGGTAATTACGGCACTACGGCGGCAAAAAGACGGCCAGGTGGCGGACTTTGGTGGACTTTCAAATCACCTCGTTGGTGCTGCGGTGTAATTTCAATGCCCGACGTGCCGTTTGTTAGCCACCAGCCTTCCGTTCTTGCCGTAGTGCGTGCCGGCGCTGGATGGGGATGCTCTCGTCACTAGACTACAATCGGCATCCCACGCACTTTCGTATTTCTAGCTACTTGAACACTGATACGACTCATTTCGACCAATATAATATTGAAGCAAAATCGAGTGAGATAGTTGAAAGTGTCAAAGTCATGTACAAATGTCACCAGCTACCGATAGGACGCATTGACGGCCCGGGAGTTTCAAATTGCACTTTGGAAGTGCTGGGTGCAGCGCGCATTCGGGTGGACTGCCGTCATCGGACCGGTCGTGCAATTGAGCTTACATAGACAACGTGACATGTTGTGACTTGCAGTGATATTTGCGTGACTGCCGACTTTTCTTCATTCAATCATCTTTATTTACCTCAATGGAATAACCTTTGGTATTATTCATCGTCTACTCTCATGGGTCCAACTTGCCAAGATCAGAAGTAGCACTACAACTTCTTCAGTCCTCTTACAGAGCCGCAAATTCAGTGGCAATGTCGCCGGACGAGATACTCCCTGGACCTGCAAGAATATCATCTGCATCACGAGGCTCTGTCGAGAGTGGAAGCGTCCACGTGAAGGATGCTTCAAGATCTTGTGCAATCTCGACAACAATGTCAACCTCTTCACAAGTATGCAGAGCATGTCGACGGCGGGTGGCATGCCTCTACAATTGAGAGGATCATCACAGCGAAGACCTGAAATTTCGAAATTGAATTGATTGCAAGGTTTTTCCACCATGACTTGGCAGGGTCGTCTGCTTGGTCACCAGCACCATCTTACTTGAGGGTTGGTTCTCGCGTTCTATTGAATCATTCCAAACCCATCCGTGTCATCATAATCTAGATTATATGTCCACGAGTCTCAGATGCCCTGGAGTTCTACCAGGTCCTATCACCCCCCCTGCACCTGAGTTCAACCGTAAGTCGGGCACAACCAGTTTGGCCAGACCAGTTGGCAAAACTTCGGAGGCATTTCTGTCAATATCACTACCATAACTGCATGCCACGCACACAGTCATTGCTTCTAGCAATTTGTTCAAAACGGCCCGAGTACCCTATTGGATGCCAGTCGATATTTAATTGATGACCGTGCCAGACGATCTGTCTTTGTTTCTCATCTGCACGTCACAGAGAAGAGGCTTGTCAACTCTTGCTGCTGTGTTTTTGTTTTTGAACGATGTCTGCTCTCATCGATACGAAATCGGAAACCGTTCATGTCTCGTCTGTTTTATCCAGCCATGCCCGTAATGATCTCGAGAGGAGATTGGTAAGGAAGCTCGATCTACATCTGTCCGTGATCGTGCTTTTGTATGTTCTAAACTTTGTGAGTCTGAGTTCTTTATTACTTTGTGCTTACCCCTTTGTTAGATCGACAGAGCGAATGCTAGGTATGTTACGCATTTTCATACCCGTTTGTATGGTATCTTATGTCGTCTACAGTAGCGCACGGTTGGGAGGTTTTGAGAAAGACCTGCACCTGCATGGAACCCAATACGCGACGATCTTATCTATCATGTATGTGGGATTCAGTGCCATGCAAGTGCCAGCGTAAGTTGCATCCTTTGTCGAGGGAAAGTTTATTGTGACTTTCTTTCAGGAATATGTTTCTGCACTGGCTAGAGAAACCTGCTATCCTTATTCCATGTTGTATGGTGGTATGGGGTTTAGTATCAGCATTGACAGGTTTGTCGACACTGGCCACTCATGACCATGAATGCTAACCGTACCCAGGAATCACACAGAAGTATGCATTCCCGCCGTTCGTCATTGTGGCATCTGATAGTTCGATACAAGTTATACCCAGGTTTTTCTCGCCCGTTTACTTCTTGGTTTTGCCGAAGCACCTTTCTTCCCTGGTATCATGTTTCTTATATCAGGGTGGTACAAGCGAGACGAGCTCGCTGTGAGAACGACTTTCGTTACTTGTGGAGGCGTGCTCAGCGCTGGGTTCGGACCCCTGTTTGCATCTGGTATACTTACAAGCATGCGGGGAAAACTTGGTCAAGCCGGATGGAGGCGAGAAACATTCGTCTATTGTCATTCGCTGAAGCTGACATATCTACAGGTGGTTGTTTTACATCGAAGGCGGCATGACTGTCATAGTCGCGATTTGTGCATTCTTTATACTCCCTAATTTCCCTCACAACACCGCTTGGCTCACTCCGGAGGAAAGATCGCTCGCTATCACTCGTCTTACAGACGACGGCTATGGAAGACTTGACGGGCCTGGGAGACGGGGGACCATACAAGGACTGTGGGATGCTTTGTCCGACTGGAAGGTATGGTGGTTTTCAGGCGCGATCATCATCGATTATATGTCGCTGTCATTCGTCCTTTACTTCCCGACGATCGTCGCGACTATGGGATATGATGTGACGACTACTTTGCTGCTAGCCGCTCCTCCGTGGGCGCTTGCCGCTATTGTAGCTTTTGCTCTTTCAAGGTCTGGCAATTCATTTTTGCTCGATCTCGAATCGTGTCTCATAGACGATCAGGTACTCTGACAACGCGAAAAAGCGTTGCATGTACATTTTTGCATCGAGCGCATCGGCTGCCCTCGGATTCATTATATCCATCTGTACGATGGATATGATTGCGCGCTATGTTTCCATGTAAGCAGAGTCATCGTCTAATAGAGTGATGCCTTGTGTACTCAGAGACGTGCAGGTTTTTGATGGCTCAAGTCGCCGCAGGACAAATGATTCTCTGGGCATGGATAAACAACACTTTTGCCAGAGAACCTGCGAAGCGAGCCGTTGCTGTCGCTTTGATTAGTGCGATGTCTGCGGTGGGGAGCATCGTCGGATCGTTAGTGCCACCGATCTCCCGCTCTCGCTGATTATTTACAATTTTTAATAGGTACCTCTGGCCTCTCCCCTGGGGCCCGACATATCGTTATTCCTACGCTGCCTGCCTCGCAGCACTTGGGGTGTCGTCGGTCATGCTTGGTGTCATGCATTTGCATTTGAAGCGGGTGAATGAGCAGATTGAGAGAAACGAGCAGAATGCAAAGGATATCAATGACCTTCAGGTCCCTGTTGGTTTTAGATATCTGGTGTAGTCAACGATCCATGCGACTCTCGCATCAAGAAATTATGGGCGATACTACTGCTTATCCCGCAAGACACAATGCAACTTTGTACCGTTTGGGTGTAAATTACGACAGAGTTTTTTCTTTGAATCAATTTTATTGTCCTTTGGGGTCAGAGACCCCATGTCGGACATAGCCCTATTCGCAGGGGGCTTGCTCCCGCCTAAACTGAGTGTATGGTAGTGGGTATGTGTACTAACGTGTTATCAATGGAAAACGAGTATTCCGCCAGCTTGATGTCGGGCAAAGGCCTTTTGTTGTAGCAACTTCTTTCGATCATACATCCTGTCGTACACTCGGCTGCTGATCGTATAGCCCTGCTGTATGAGACACTGCCACATGGTAGCAGGTATCATCACTGAATAGTGCACAACAGCCTACCAAACAAAATCAGCAACCGCACATTCAGCGGCTGTGGCGTTACGCCATCTCACAATCTCTCGGTGACGATTTGCAGCGAGGATGGGGATGATTGAATAGGCGCCCTCCAGGGTCGCGGCGGCGGACGTGCATATACTAGACCGGGAGCGCGTGGGGAATTGTAAAGGGAGGGTGTTTGCGTTGGACGCCCTGCGTAGTGCGCCATATATGAAGTGAGCCCCTTGTATGGAAGGGAAGAAAAAACATACACTCGGTCCATTACTGGACAAGAGGGATGGAGACGGAGGGTCTCTTTGATGATGCCGTCGAAGAACAGTAGTAAGGATCGTAGGGCAGTGACTGGCATTATCCATTGTTTCCACGGTACGTCGTATTTCCCGCACGTCTGCCACACTTTCCTCGCCAAAAATGGGCAGCAGGATGATCACTGCGATCGTCCATACCTTCAAGAGTTTTCCAATCAAGGGGTTGCAACACACCATCGTGTGTATGAGTTCAGACGCAAAAATGACCAGACTTACCCGATCTTCTGCAACGCTTTCGCATACGAGTCATTTTCTGCTGCCGAAAGGGTGTTGGAGGAGTACCTTCGCAGACGATGCGGTGTAGTAGCGTATTTTTGAGAAGACGGAATTAAGAAGTTTGCGTTGCTGGTGAGACATTATTAAAACAACAGAATTTGGAGAGATGCGTCTCACCGTGTAGATATCAGGCCTTCACCGAACATGACCTTGATAGTACTGAGTTAATTCTCTCCGACGTAGAATGTCTCAAAGGAGACTACATCAGGAACATTGACCAGAAACACTGCACCTTTACTGAAAAATAAAACTGGGTGCAATGAAACAATGCCGAGAGGCATTGCAACCGACTTCAGAATGTTACGGTTGAGAGTCGAACATTTCGCATCGTTGTAATGAGATGTCAGAGAGATACACATTATCTCTCTATAATCTCATTACTGCATTGATCTACTGCAGATGGCCATGCATACTGTCGTACCTCTGTTCCTGCAAAGAAATTGAAGATGAATTAGATTTTTTTCGGCCATAAGAACAGGATTTGTTCCTCCGTTGGCAATTAACTGTCTGATCGGAACGACACCATGTTAGGCTCCTGGAGCCCCATCGAGAGAGGCTGAGACATACGATTTAGACCATTCCAACACAATACACCGCATTTCTTTCGCTCTCACTTCCTCTGCGACTCTGTTGAGGTTCATGCGTTGTGATTTGAAGACAGGTGTCGAGCCCAGTCTCTGTGAACCGTAGGGCAATGGCCCCATGCCCTGGGCTGCTCCACGTCACAGTGAGGCCGATTGGTCTGTGCTGGAGTAGTAGACTCCGCCATAGTGTCTGACATCCTGGTCTGATACAATGTACGGGTGATGATGACAACGGCTCTAACAAGGTTTAACGTTCAAAGCTGCAGGGCGAATGGGCATCCGGGAAAATCCGATCCAAAATCATTGGAGGGATTTTCATCAAGGATGCATGATGGAGCCCCCTCTACCCATCCACCCGATACTAGTTCAAACGAGGGTAGTGCTAGTAATGTGATCATCATGATACTACATATTGTCTTCATCGAAGATCAGCGTGCTGGTGGCATCGAGTTTCCATGGATTGTTCTTGCACATCGCCTTGATCAATTCCTAGCAGTTATAGGCGTTCCTCGCAAGGGCTGATTGATCATGCCTTGAAAGCGACCTTCATCAGATGTCAACGACCCTTCTCATCCTCTCTGGCATGATTATTCGTTGTGAAAGTGGTTAGTATATATTGAAGTAAAATGTCTGAGTTTCTTCAGCCGGCACATCTTCGTCTGAACCGTTTGCTATACGAGTCGAGCTCAGTCATAGTCTCTATTTGAGCGACTAAAGCAGAAGAGAAATGACCTTGTTAATCAATTCACGAGACAATTAAATGGTGGGCATGGACAGCTTGTTGGCAGTTACAGGAACATTACGCGGAGCGAGCCCAAGATGAACTACGGCATCTATGGTATGCAGTCCTATGAGACTGCATGATTATCCTTGAACCAAAGATGTAGTAGAAGGTCAGTGTGCAGTCATGTCACGACCCTTTGCGGAAAACAGCCTGGGCAGCCTCTGCTAACGCAAGTTCTTTCGCCTCCTCTTCGACCTGAGAGCAGTGTCAAAAAGGATAAGACGATGTGTAAAACGTGGAAACTTGCACTCGTCTGTTCGCGCTGCTTTGCTTCGGCTTCTTTCAATGCCATGTACTATGATAGTCGACGTGAGTTGCCCTCATATGCTAATTGTAGTCGGTTTTCTCACCTCTGCACAATTTGCGTCAGAAAGTTGGGGTGAAATTGGTGGTATACATCATCTTACCTCTCCCTTTCGCTAGTGTTTCGCGGTGCACGGCATAGCCCATGAATATTCCATACACGCTTAGTGCAGCCAGTCCACTGACGAAAGTGCGGTGCAGGACGTCTGTTATCATCATCTTGCCCGACCTGGGGACTGCAACGATAAAATTCGAGAGCGTGGAAGCAGGTGAAAACGACTCCCGGTATTGTCACGTAAATTGCGCGAACTCCCGATTAAGTTCCGCTCATCATACTTTCCGATAAGTAACAACATATATAATTTGATAGATAGCACTGGGAAGAACCAACAGTACAAACAACCTAAACAACAACAGAATACGAGACTGCCATCATAGCCGCCAATCTCTGAAGAAGTCGTGATCCATCCGGACAAAGCTAATCATGTAGTCCGATACTGCCCCTCCTTCGTCCTCTTCCTCTGCAACTTGGTCCATCTCGGAAACATCCAACATTTCCTTACCAGTAGGTTGATCATCCTGCGCATTATCCGGCAACCTGCCTTCATTTTCAATTTCTCCCTCAGCACCGAAATCGGCTTGATCAGCGCCTTCCATCACATCTTCTTCTCTCGCGGCTACAGCGGCAGCATGGACATCTTCCTTGTCCTCGAATTCAACTAGAGCCTTTGACAGAGCTCCTTGGTCATCAAACAGGGATCGCCAGTCGAATTCGCCTTTTTGGATGACGAGATCGTCCAAAGAGCGCTTCTGATTAGCTTTCAACAACATGGCTTCTTCAACCGAATGTGCAGAGATAAACCGGTAGATGTGGACGTCTCTTATCTGACCGATGCGATGGGCACTGCGAAAAAGTTTGATCACTTATCATCATGTAGAAATTGAGGAGCCATCTTACCGATCCTCGCACTGTTTGTCCATTTGGGGATTGAAGTCGCTATCGTAGAAGATGACGGTGTCTGCTCCAGTAAGACTATTGGGGTGGTTAGCAATCAACAGACCAGGCAACCTACAAATACTTACTTGATACCTACTCCACCCGACCGAGAGGAAGAAATGAAGCAAAAAATCCTGGAGTCTGCATTGAACCGCTCAGTGATATATTGTCTGTCTTCGATTTTGGTGGCTCCATCAAGACGAAGATAGAGATAGCCATGAAAGTTGAGAAAAATCTCCAGAATATCCAAAATCCTTGTCATCTGTGTGAAGATGAGAACACGGTGTCCTTCCAATTTCTTCTGTCGGAGAAGGCGACTAAGTTCTTGCAGTTTGCCACAATCATATTGGAGAAGGGATGGATCTGGGAACGCTATCTGCAGCTTGACGCTAGCGTGATGCAGGACGCTATCGAAGTCAGATGACTGACATGATATAACGTGCTCGCATCCTGCCAGGGCAAAACAAGGTAGGTCCAAAGCAACTGCGGCTGGAGTGACGAAAGCGAACCTTTCGACCACAGGTTGCAGCTCTTTAGCCCGGTCAGCGTAAGTCTTGACTGCCGAATGAAGAGGCAGAACCGTGTCCATGAAACGATGGCTGATGTCCAATGTGGAAAGGGGGAGGATTGGTCGATGACACTGCTTAGCAATAGTCAACAACTCTTGGCTGTAGACCGGTAACCGGGTACAACGCAGGCGATTGAGGTAACCGATTTGTGACCAGCGAGCTACTTGTGCAACTCGCTGTTGGTATGCATGGTAAGCACGGTATCCTTGAATAGTACGAGTGTCCTTTGGTGGCGGCTCCTCAGGCATTTCTGAGATAAGTGGGAGCCGATGTGTCGCATCAAGGCGCCGCGTTTCCAGAGCAGGAAGTAGAGGTACGTTTTGTTGATCAATAAACCGCAGGCCAAGAAGATCAAGATTAATACTGTCTTCATCACTCGCCCGAATAAGCTCTCGCCGAACTAGTAGCTCCTTGATCTCGAAGTCTGCGGCAACAGAACGTGTCATAGCGAAAGATGTCACGATCGGACGGACCTCAAAAAGATCCGGATGATTACAGACTTTGCGGAGCTGCATGAGGATATTTGCGATCTTCTGGTAAACACCAGATTGTAAGGCATCTCTGGTATGCGCGCGATCCATGAACTCGTCGTAGAGGAATCGCTGCCGCTTGGATAAGGGACACAGAATGAGATGCTCATATTTGCTGGGGAGCTCTTTCTCAACGTCACGTTTGAGACGGCGGAGTAGATAGGGACGCAGAACTGTGTGGAGTTTGGTCACGCGTTGCATATTTTCGTCGTCCAACAAGGTACCCATTTCAATCGCTTTCTCCAAGGGATCTAAGTATCAGAAGTAAGCAATGATCCATTACACCCCAAAACGCAAGTATGCATACTTGAAAACCATTCGCCAAACTCTTTTAGGTTGGCGAAGTTAGTACCAGACATCAGGAATTGCAAAAGTGCCCATAACTCAGTTAGATTGTTTTGTAGCGGGGTGCCAGTCAGGAGAAGACGCCGAAAGGAGCGGAACATCAAGAGAATATTCCATCGTTGCGACTTGAAATTTTTGATCATATGTGCTTCGTCCAGTATCATGTAATACCAAGCTTTGCGCTTGAATATGTGAGCATCGCGACTAGCGAGTGTGTATGAGGTTATGCAGACATTGAAGTGGTGCTTGTTGTACCACCCTTGACGGAGCTCCTTGCGGCGTTTCGTCGATCCGTGGTAACTCAGAGTTTTGAATCCAGGTAAAAACTTCTTGAATTCCATTTCCCAGTTTAGGAGGACACTTGTGGGGACAATCTAAATGGCTGGTTGGTAAATGCAAAAGGTAACAGGTGAGCCACGCACAATAAGATGCGGACCCCATATTCCACGATCACAAGCTAGATGAGCAAGGAGCGATATTGTCTGTATGGTTTTCCTATTGAATAGAGTGAGCTAACGCGTTGAACAAGGAACCCAAAAGCATACCCCAATCCCATTTCGTCAGCAAGTATGCCGTTTAGATTGTTGACATGGAGGCTCGCAAGCCATTCCAAACCGGATTGCTGGTATGGGCGGAGGACACCCCGTAATAACACGGGAACTTTCACCTTGTCTTGCGTGTCCCAGTGGACAGGTGCAACGGCGTATGGTTTGAGATAGTCTGGTACGTTGTCCTCTTGTTGATGAACATCTTCTGCTTCGTCAAATAACTCAGACTCATCGACTTCCATACCAAACGTAGGTGATGGGAGGCGAGAAGATGGTGTTTCGACAGCTGGGAAGCCTGTATAATCGTCTTTGGTTTCGACTTCAGTGGCTTGACCCATATCAACGTCGTCAGCACCTAGAGTCAAACTACCCGGAGTAGATTCGGTGACTGTTGTCTTCAACTCCTTATTGCGATTAAAATTCGATTCAGGCTCCTCTTCATGGCCAGCAACAGTGCTGGCTGGTGAAGGCGCGTCGTTGAAACTCTCAAAATGGGGAGACCTGTAGTCTTCAGTCGTCTGCTCGTGCAAAACAGAGTCGGAGTCGGTAGGAGTCTCCCGAGACATCGGCAATCTGAAAGGGAGAAGCAGAGGTGACTCCATGGCCATAGCAGCCTCCGACTCTTCTTCATCATTCATCTCGGCATCCAGCAGATTAGCACCAGCTCGGGAGGTAGCGCTCGAAGTATCATCAACTTCAAACCGAGGGAGTGATGGCCCCAGTAATGCTGACGCACTGGTTCCGCCCTCCTCCTCATCCTCATCCTCCTCCTCTTCTTCTTCTTCTTCGTCATCATCATCCTTGGTGCTTTCTTTTTCCTCAGCATTCTCTGTATCTCGGTCACTCGCCTGTGACGAAAATTGCCGCTCCACGCCATCTGTATCTTCCTGATCTACTTCAGACTCTGAATTTTCCGAGCCTTCAGAGTCGAATCCCGGTTCCAGGAAGTGACCAGAAACACTACTGGATCTACTGCGAGACATATCACCTCTAGCAAGTTCTGCTTGCTGAGTTTCCAATATATGTCCGGATCGATCAAGGATAGCATCTAAATGCTCATGACCACGGCGCCTTTCCTCAGCCTCCGCGCGCAGTCGATGTTGTTCCCGAATGTGCTATGTAGAGGAAAATTAAAATTAAAGCAATATCCCCGAAAAAAGAATATGGTGCGTACGAAGACAGCTTTTTTCCATTCACTAGTGACTATCTTAATAGTTGCCTTCGCCAAGGCACGAAGTCTTCTCTCTTCATGCATTTTTGCCTTATCCTCGCGTTGTGCCCGTTGATCCCAATACGCCTTGATGCGACTCGATATCTGCGTAGCAATAACTCGACCTTTCACCTGCTCCTGTCGGGAGCGTTGAGTAATCGCTTCTAAGATCACATCCCAAGTGTCCCGATCTTGCTTTGGTTCGTGGAGAGTTACGCCACCCCTTGTTTTGGATATCTCATTCAAGGTCGCGTTGTCAATAATAAGCCGACCCTGTTGCCGGAAGCTCTCCATCTTGTCCAATAGTGCAGCTTTCTCCTGAGCCATGAGATTTAAATCGTCCTCGCTTAAATCTGAGTCATTGATGGAGACATATGAGTTCAAAAAGCTAGAGAGCGAGGAATGGAACCGAGGTCGAGGGGGATGCTGGCGGGGATTAGAGTACAATGGTGGTGGCGGTCGCACTATGAGCTTAATGCGTCTGATATTAAATTGTGATTGTGGCGGCTCAACTTCACTGGGAAGTTGGGAAAGTGTTGGTGGTTCTCGTATCGTAGTTGGAGGATGTCGCTGAAAGATGTTTGAACGAGTAATCGGCAAAGAGGTAATCAACACTCACCAAAGACTTGCGACGAGTAGAGGTTTGCAAAGGATCCAACGACATAGCATCTGGTCCAGTTGACTTATGCCCTAAGACATTAGGAATCTCCGCCATTTCCGATGCGAGTCCCTCCTGGAATTTCCGCTTCTTTTTTGCAGAAGGGGGAACAGCGGACGAACCCGTGGGGGAAGCAACAGCAATATTCCTCTTCTTGCCACGTACGAGTCCCACGGAAATAGAAGCCTCGCCATCCGCAGGCAAAATCGGAGCCAGAGCTCGAAGTTTCGGAGGCTGAGATATAGATTTCCCTTTCCCAGGCTTCTTCGGCGTAATCAACTCAATAGGCGCGGCACCATTGACTGGATCAACCGCCTTCTGTTTCCCTTTTGATTTAGCGGAGAGGGGTAATTCCAGTTCGGTGTGCACTCGAGAGGTGGTGGAAGGTAAAAGTGGTGTGGTAAGGTTTTGAACGCGCTCGATATGAGCCCTCCTTGTAGCACGCGATGGACCTGCCGATGTAGAGGCTTTTTCGAGCAAGTCATAGTTCGACTTATACTGTGAAGACAAGATAGGTCATTCCGTAAGTGTCATAATCTTAGTGTCCTTCCTTACGCACCTCCTGAAACACAATCGAATTGTCCTGCTTTGCAATCTAGGAACAATAAGTGCCAAAAAAGTGCAAGCTCAGAAGAGCTTACAGTTGGGTCATATTCAATGAGAGTCACGAACTTCTCCAAGTGAAAAACCTCCCGTACCTAATCCGAATATAAAACAGTGAACTCCCCTGTCGACAGAAAAACTCACCATCGTATCATGTTTGTCCATAATCTGATCCAACTCGGCCTGTCTTTCAAGTAGCATTGTTGTTCTTTCAACAGCAACATCCTCCTGCGACACCGACTGCGCACCCTTGGTTACCCCGTTCCGTCTACCGCGACCCTCCCTTTTCCCGTTCCCCAAGCCACGCTTAACACCTTTCTCGCTCTTCTTCGACGATGCTAACCATTTTGAATGTTTTGTCGGCATGTTTCGCAGCCATAAACGAATATACCCCGCTAGCACTAGCCTTAGCGCCCGCACAAGTCGATCTCCTCAAATTCTTAACGGTTTGACGAGCTTCTTGGACCTCTGGGCCGGTGGAAAAGAGTGGGGCCCCACTGGTGAAAAATTATGAGACTAGATTCTGAACTAGCTGGTTGTTCGAGGTTTCGGGGAAATGGCAGCCCATTTTTCGACATGATGTTGATGTTTGTTCCGAACAAATAGGAATGCGAGCATAACGGACGTTGTAATACTACTTGACCACGTTTGTGCAGCGGGTGCAAAACCAAAAATCACACCCAAGATGATGTTGCTAATACTCGGATTGAAGGGAGAAACAAACAAGAGGTTCTACTGAGAACAACTGGTATACAATGTACAATGCGCAGGGGGTGTCGACGTGTCTGGGTATTACAACAACAAATGCAGGTAATGGATGGTGTCAACGTTCCAAACAAAGAATAATGTAGTGATAACTGAATCAAAGTCCCTTTTAGTGGCTGGTATACTCGAAATTGGGAAAATCCTGTCCCCATGTGTCTTCAGCTGGAAGTCCGTACAGTGAGGCAGCGTTGTCCTCAGGGTATTGTTCAAAGCTGCACCAAATTGAGCCTTGAAGTTCGAGATTAGAGAATGAATGAAACTTACGCGCTTGCATCTCCGTCTCCTGCAATTTTAGGCAGGTAAGGAGCAGTGATCTCTCTACTCCGCAACTTGTCCCAGTCGACTTCACGGAACCATAGATGTGCAAAGACGTCACCTGCCCCATGCCGCAAGTTTCCGTATCGTTTGGAGGGCTCCCCCTCCATCAATTTTCGGATGATGTCTGTAGCATTTTCATGGAATGACGGCCACCGAATGAAGGCTGGACCACGAGTAATCTTTTCGTAAAGTACAACGGGGTTATGATCGGGTTGGTGATAAGGAGGAAGTCCAGAAAGCATCTCAAAGATCAACACGCCCAGGGCGTACCAGTCAACACTCTTGTTGTACCGTTGCTGTCCTATGATCTGTTGAAGGTCATGTGAAGTCAGACTTGAAAATTGGAAAATGACCACAGGCGCTCACTTCGGGTGCAAGATAATCAGGCGTGCCGCATAATGTCCACGTCACTGACGAACAGTGTTTTGAGAATCCAAAGTCTGCTATTTTAATGTGACCGTCATGGTTGAGAAGAATGTTCTCTGGCTTGAGATCACGATATATAATGTCGAGGGAATGTAGGTGATTTAAAGCAAGTGCGACCTCTGCAGCGTAAAACTTGGCTACGGGATCCGGGAAGCGCTTCCAGAAAGGTATTAGAACGTTTTAAAATAGATGATTGGAAAAGACTCACATTCGACCGTCGTAGCAGGGTGAAAAGTTCACCACCAGGAACGAAATCCATTACCATGAATAAGTTGGAAGCGTCCTGAAACGCGCCCCAAAGATTGATGATGAAAGGGTGTTGAACTGCTTCAAGCATCATCTTCTCGTTATTGGTATGTTCGACCTGTTTCGTCCGAACAATTTTCTCTTTGTTCAACACTTTGATGGCGTAAAAGCGGAGATTGTGTTTGCTCCTGACTGGAAAGCCAAATGAGATGAGGGCGTAATGAATAACTCCAAAAGACCTACCTAAATGTACTCTGCCAAAGGAACCCGTCCCCAGGGTCCGTTGTATTATGAAGTCGGTGAGCCGGTAAGATGCTTTGGGCCTCGACACACGCGGTAGTGGAAACGTCTTGGCTTCGAGATTATTTTCCTGCTGGGTCCATTCGCTGGACGACGTTCGCTGCGTTGATATCGAGCCGCGATGATAGTCTGCAGCAACAGATATCGAATGAGACATTGAAGTGTAAGGCAAGTTCGCAAGTCCTGGTTGACTAGACTGCTTCTGAGACTGGCCAAATTGCCCAATCTTATCAGCCATTCGTTTGATCATGCGCCAGAGTAATGGAATATAGAAAGAGGAGACCAACCACAGACTATAGCACAGAGGACTGAAAGGAAAAAATGATGAGAACTGCGTGGTCAATCAAAGTTTCGACATCTCAGCGAGCGCTCTCAAGATCACAACCAGATTGTATTGTTCTTACCAAACAAGTCGCAAACAAAAGCCAAAATACAACAACTCATTGTTCAACGATCTCCTGAACGACGGCCACTGTCGTACACATGTTCTGTCAGCCCTGTTATCAACGTAAAAGTTCGTCTTGATGCACAACTTACGACACTGACTACACTGTTCGATGATCAGGTCAGGGCTTGATTTGACGGTACGACCACATGTACCAAAGTTATTATCTGTAACAACCGCAACCACATCTTCATGAAACTGATGTTGACATCATCAAGAGTGCCTCAGTACTACGTCCGGTGTTCAATGTATCAACAAATGCTGCCATTTCAGAAACATGCAAACAGTATCACGATGTACTACATTAGTCGGGGGTGAAATGAATGCAAAACTTCAGCAACAGTGAACCAGGAAAGCTCAGCGTCGCATTCGGCACGCACACATCAGTGAACCGCTGTCCTTGGTATTGTGGCCATGGCTACTGTATGACGACGAGCTTCCCTCACGCGGTCTGCATGCCCATTTGTAACGTGTGTGTGGAAGGCCACAGTCGATTTATACATTCGCGCCAACATTCTAACCGGAACCCCTCGGATAGTCAACGGGGAACGGTACTATTTAACTCAATACTGAATTTCGAGCCTGTCACACCTCACTGTATGTATCACTGAGTTATTGAATCAGTGATAGTAAGGTGTTGTGGAGACCGAAACCATATGTAACTACACATATAGACATCGAGAAATACCATAGTAGTGAGTCGTTAATACCATGACCTCTGAAAAATAAGGATTGCAATCGAAAGACGAGACGTCGGAGCTAGCGCTGAGAAGACTGTTTTTCCTGTCGCACGATCCCACACCCGGATGGTCTTGTCATTCGAAGCGGTTGCAAGTAGAGTGCTGTCGGACGAGAACGAGGCTGAGGTGACCGGTCCAGTATGGCCCAAGAAGGGCTCACCGACTGTTTTCCCTGTCGCACGATCCCACACCCGGATGGTGCTGTCCTTCAAAGCGGTTGCAAGTAGAGTGCCGTCGGGTGAGGACGAGACTGAGGTGACCGGTTCAGTATGGCCCAAGAAGGGCTCGCCAACTGGTTTCCCTGTTGCTAGATCCCAGAGTTGAATGGTGCAATCATTCGAGCAAGCTGCAATGCAGGTGCCGTCCATCGAAAATGAGACCGAATGAACCAGACCAGTCAACACGCCCAGCGCTATCTTTGCATACGGATGTAGCTGCAAAAGAAAATCAGTTCGGTTCCGATCGAAAGGAGGATCCATACGTCTGCGATCTGCCCAATAACATCGTCGAATATCCTGAGAGGTTTGAGATATGTGTCCTGGAAGTTGCCAGCAGTATCGAGATCCCCTTGTGCGCCTTGGCCAACAGACGCTGCAGTTGTTGCAGGTCCTGACAATGGAACCATGCTATCTCCACCCTGTTGTGCATCCCGAAGTGCCGATTTCGGATCAGCCTGCACGAACATCAAAATTTAGAGAGCACAAAAACTAAAGGGGAAGTATGAAAACTTACCTCGGTATTCGAGGTTGATGGAGTATGTCCATCACTTGGGGGAGCAACGGAGACTGGCGAGACATCCAGTTGTGCATCCCGAGGTGCCGATTTCGGATCAGCCTGCACGAACATCAAAATTTAGAGGGCACAAAAACTAAATGGAAAGTATGAAAACTTACCCCGGTATTCGAGGTTGATGAAGCATGTCCATCACTTGCAGCGGAGACTGGCGGGGCATTGTGTGCCCCTTTGCGAGAATCCTTCGAGTGCTTAGTCGCATTCCAGGACACTCGTTACGCATGCTTGTGGACTCACTGTAAATAGACTATTCAAACCAGATTGAACCTTCCGCAATATCCGGCGGACTGAGTCACAGTTCTGTTGGTACATCAGTATTTGGAGTGGGTGAATTAAGAAACCGCGTACCGAGCCTGTTGCTCCACTAGAAGTCTGAGTTGAATTACCCGATAATATTATGAGGCATTGTCGCGGCAAAGTGAGATAAGGGTTAAACGTTAATTGTTTGTGAATGTAAGGCTTATGGAAACTCTAGGTCTAGTCTACGTAGAGTCTACTCTGGGTCCTGTCTGGCGGTGTGCCAGCCGCCCGGCCAGATTAAAGCGGAGTTTAATCCTCAATTGGTTCGAAGTATGTCTAAGCTTGGGAGTCACGCGTGACAACTGCGTCGGCCCCTAGCTTGTCAACATTCACCACGACGATGACGCACCCGTCGTCGTTGCGTGTACATATAAATTAAAATGACATTAGTACATATAAAAAAGTGCTGATGCGCAGGGTGGGGTTTGAAAATTTGACGTGGCATATGGTAGGTGTGACGCGACGCTGTCTGGAAAGATTTGTCAGCAAGTTCGGCAGTACTCGTACGGGTAACGGGTGCTCAACACTTCAACCCGTACCCGTACCCGTGACCCGCGCGGGTTACACGGATCCCTAGGCGGCGGGAAAGAGGGTGGGGCGGCGGGCGTTATCAAGATGATGGCGGGGTGAGCTAAGTCACAACTTGAAGCTCAGTCACATCGTCCCGATTTGGAATTAACTCCGCTTTAATCTGGCCGGGCGGCTGGCACACCCCCATTAGAGTTTCCATTTCCCGGACGTCCTCCAAGTTTCTACATCTACCTACCGTTACCCCGTGACCCCAACTGGCACAAGTAGTGGTGTGTCTCATAATTATTTTATATCATACGAGCGTATCTTCGCAAGTCGAGTTCTGGTGAGTTTCGAACGCTGTTTCCCCGTCCCAGGATGATCGCGGGTCGGTTCGCAATTGGTAAGAAATATCAGTTGTTGGTGTCTAACAGACCCACCTAAACATCCGCGTTTTTTCGTTTGCTACCAGTACGAAGTCTGTCTACAGTTCGTCCTCTGGAAGGGTTCCGTACGATTGGCACTGGGATATATCTGCGGGATAACCACGAACAATGTCAAGATACCAGGTCTCCGAAGTGAGTCGGCGTCCGTTATTAGCAAGATAGCTGATGGGCATCCTGTATAGTGTCGTTTTGATATTCGGATGGCGTAAATTCCTGAATTTGCGTTCTTTAGTCCATGTCTAATAATGTTGTCCGCAGTAGGAGCACATCCTAGACATTTGCGGAATTACACAAGTGCATATGCCAAATTATACCCAAAAGCGTCTCAGATCGTTGTTCAGTGCAATACCGACTTGCTCTGGACTACAAGGAGTGCTAGGGTGAGCACCTCACAGTAATTGTTCACTGTTGTCTTGTGGCCTCACAATCGAAAGTCACGGAAGCTCAAGCCTGTCATTGATGCCTTAGAAGCACTACATTGCTTACCATCCTCCTCTCCTGCCCAACGGCCTGCACGAATACTTACGCATGCATTTTCCAATGGTGAGTCCCCGGTTGGACTTAGAGACAGCTAAACACTGTACGGCAATACCAGGAGGTTCCCTGCAAATGACACTTCTTGGACATATTCTGCAGCAGAAATACAGTTCCGCACCAGTTCTAGGGTCTGTGAGCGCGTTGGTTCTTGACTCGTGCCCAGCAACGGGCGACCTAAAATCAATCAAACTATCTGTCAGAACTGCCATCCGGAACCCAATCGCCAGACGCATCGTACTCGCAATCGTACATACAATATACTCTGTTCGCTTCGGACTTTCTTTACTGTTCGGTAAGCAAATGATTATGTTGGAAAACCTCCAAATCGAAATGTGGAATCCCCGCATCCTATCGTGGATGGGCCTCCACACACCCCGCCTCTACCTTTTTTCGCGCAACGACAAATTGATTTCGTGGCAAGAGGTCACACGACATGCCGAGATTGCGAAGGAGCGCGGAATGGATGTACGTTGCGAGCTGTTTGAAGAGAGCGCACATGTAGCGCACGCGCGGGTCGAACCAGAGAGGTATTGGTCTTCAGTGCAGAAGGTCTGGGCTGTCGCAGCCAAGGAGGAAAGGGAGGATTAGGGAATATATTTGGTTGTTTATATAGTTCTTGAATTTTGTCCAAAGGTCGCATGTTCGCCAGCTTGACACCCTTGAGCGAGAGCGAGACCACATCACCACCAGTACTTCATTATTACACTAATAATACGATATGCTGATATGCTGAACTTGTATCTACCGAACAGATTCATATGCTACTAAGTATGTCATATTGACATGATGACAGACAGCGAAATGAGAAATGCAATGACTGCAGAAATAACGATACAATGGGTTCCAATAGATTCAATCGAAGGTGATACACTCATGTTGCTTTGCGACCTGTTGCATATTATTTCAACGAGTTAAACAAGTCAGTAATTACCAACTCACTAGGCTCCCAACCCAGATGTTGCAGCTTTCCGCTCTCAACATTGTCGATGAACTGAGTCATCATCTTTTCGTACGGCTTGAACATGGCATCAAACTCCGCACGTGTACTGGGCTTGCGTGTTGAGCCTGGACGATGTGATGTGATGCTATGATGTATGTCTTTTGCCAATTGCTTTGCTGGAGATGGTATCGTCACAGGAACATGACGCAGCTAAAACACGTTCAGTTACAAAATGTGCTATGGCTGCTGCAAGTAATACTCACAGGTCTGGGTCCATCCAAAGAAGGCTTTCGCACAAACGGCGGATTCAGTTCATCAAGCACGTCTGGACCCACCGCCGCATGTTGTGGCAAGCTTGTGTGGGACACAGGTGCTGTGTGAGTTGGCCAGAGAGGACTTGCTGGGGAAGGCTCCTCTTTTGTTGCAATCAATGGCAATGACATGTCACGAGCATGAGGAGGTGATAACGACCTTGCAGGTGTGGGAAGATGAGGAAGTGGTGCGGTGGGTGATACACTCATAGACTGTTCCGAAGTCCCTCGCAGTGGCGCGGTCTTTGCTTGATGGTATAAGACCCACTTGCTGACTTGCTCAGGTTCTGCCTTGATACATACGGACCAGATATCAATCATTTCTTTCTTGGGGAACGGATTGTTTCGCAGCAATGGCCTGAGTATATCGAGTTGCTCCGATGTGAAATTCGTGAACACTGTTCGGCAAGATCATGACGTAAATCAAAGGGTACACATATGGGCGTGTTCGGGAGGAAGAACACGCACGGATATTGTCATCGTCTTGCATTGATTTCTTCCTTACAGAAGCGCGGTAGCGCGTGAACCACGTGTTTATATGTTTGGCTTCGGTCTGACCACATCCGTGCAAGCGTCGCACCTGGTCAAGCAAATGTTGTCTTTGGTATGAATCTGGGTGCATCGAAACATGCTCGGCAAAATCTGGATAGAAAGTGTCAGCACGCCTCTAGAGTCTAGTATTGGGTTTGACATGCCACCGTGCCTCAGCAGAGGCACAACTGGGCGGACCGTTTCGCTTGGTGTGAATGGATGGAGGACGGCTCACCTTTTAGGAGCTTTCTAGCTTCTGAGCTCAATCGTTGGCGTTTGGCACCTGCTACTGATGTCTCAGCGTGATGAGAATCTCCCTCCATGTCGTTTGAATGGAAGGGGGAGGAAAGAAAAGATATTTCATGTAAATTGAATGGGGGTGCGGCGACCGTTGTATAAGTAGCAGTGTGAGCCACTCTTTGTGGATCCTTAGGTAAAACTAACCCGTAGGTCCGTATTTGAACACTAAAAATAACGCAATTTTCTTTAACCTTTCTTTTCAAAATTTACCATATGGATAACGATGCCGTGACGTCGGGAACGTCAGACAGGGCAAACCCGGCCCATTTTCTTGGATGTTACGAAGTCTCAGTCCGAGACACTTCTTCCTGATAATCGAGTTTGATCGAGGCAGTCAAGGCATGGCTGACACTAATACATAACTCATAAGTCAACTAGTCAACCCTGCATGCTTTTGCATGCAGGCGAGCCACGAGGAAAACACCTACATTGTGCATGTTCTGCTTGCAGGTGAGTCATGTGCTGGCCTCACTGTGAAGTAGGGTATCAGAACCCTCATTTTTCAGGTCCTTTACATGCATTCAGGTACTTGCGGATCTACATGGGATCTCTGGCTGTTACTGCCATGAGGTCTCAAACACAACTATCTTCTGTCGGTATGACAAATGTTTGGGGGCAACCTCACAATCTTTTTTGCAAAGTGTCAAAATATTTGAAGCATTAAAGCGATAAAGATCGAGCACGGATGTGTATTTTTCCTTGACCTGTTTCCGGCGGCGGCGATGGCAGTTGATCCGCTATCTCTTGTAATCGACGACCTTGAACTCTCTTCATCTCTTTATCAACAGCGAAATTCCATGCAGTCTTCACAGGCCCGACTTCCGATTTCAGCTTATTCTCCACAACGACATCTTCCATTTCCATGGTCAAAGTATGCATGATATCACTCTTGAGTATCTCGCGCGGCCGAGGTAGTGTGCTCAACTCAGAAGTGACCATAGGTGTCTCATGGATTGCGAGCAATTCCGTATCCAGCATAATCGACACTAGAGTCAGAAGAAATATTGGTGTATACCAGAACTTAATGGATGTGCCAAGAAAGGTAATGGCCCACTTACACTCCCGTTCTGTGTTCTTTGCCAGCGCACCAAGTCTCTCGGCCATAGCACGTACGATCTGCTGATCCATGATAGGATCTCCCTGCATCAGCGAGGGAAACAGGACCGGGGCCACACGGGACAATGCAACTGAAAGGAAAAAGAAGACCTGATGGAGGAGAAGAATATGTTGGTATACGATCCGTTTAGGAAATACTACATCAAGGATCGTAGCGTGCGAGGTTGCTGCATCAACAAAGGTGCTCGGTGGTGATGTGGAGGGCGAGGGGGCAAGGAGGAGATAAAGCTCTGATGCAAAAAGGCAAAGAAAAAGAAGATAACGCCACTTGAAACAGGCACAAAGAAGCTGGTCAAATTGAGCAGCACAACGAGTATCCTGAGTACTTACTGCTGCTATTGGACTAGGTTTTCCGATAGCTGAAAAAAGAATGAGACCAGCACCAGTCATAATGTGATACAATGATGAGCTCAGTAGCCCGCGTCGGAGATACTCGCGCATCGTCGTGCACTCTTTCCATTGCAGAACATCAGGTCCAAATCTGAAATATAGACATGAGGTGACCAAGCCATACCACTCTCAAGACCACTGACCTATCGTACGCAAACCTGACCACCGGGTTCTTTAAGGCTTCGAAAGCATCTCTTACCTCGATGAACAATGCTTCTCCTGACGGACCTACTCGATCTGGGTGATATTTCCTTGCGAATCCGCGAAATGCCGTTTTTAGGGTAGCATCATTAGAGTTCGGATATACGCCGAGAAGCTCGTAAAAGTTGCTTGTGATACGTCCGGAAGCATCCAGGAAGTTATAGATGAGATAACAAAGAACGACTGTTGCGAAAGTAAGTCGGTAGTGTAATGCATAAGTAGGTGTTCGCGGATCAGGCGGAGGTCGGTGAAAGATACTAGAATATATCCGGTGAATTACACGAAGAGCTTGTTTTGTTGCAAAATCTGGGAGGTACGACCAGCCGATGATGCGGAAGAGCGCTGCGGACATTAATAAGCGATCTAGGGATACTGTAGTTTGCATCAGTCAGACTGTAAGGATGGACATCAATGAAAACAAGGAAGCTCAGGGCTGCAAGCAGCCAGGATGATCTCATGTCCTTGACTATAGGCGCGCCACATGTCCGCCGGAACTCGTGCCTGCAGTTTGTTCGCACATAACCACGCACCCAAACATATATCTTGAGTCTGGGCACTTTATAATGTGCGTACCCGTGCAAAGACAGGTAAATCTTGCGTTTGATAGAAATCCACATCTAGAGACCACCCGTGACAGACAAAATCTCTGCTGCCAGGGCTCGGCTAAAACGCCTACAATTCATCTGCAACTTTGCAATCATCTAGGACTGCAAAAGATACAATGACTGCGAAGTGACGGCTCTGCCTTTGCTAGCGAGTTGTGGGCCTTTCAGTCTCGCTAGCCAATGAGAGTCACATAATGTCGGTCTGGCCTTACAATGCAATGCGGTAAGTTTGGGCAAGGCAATGGGAAACAGACGCATTTGGGCTCAAGAGCCAGGGACAGGGCGCATTACGGTCAAGGTCGACCCTTTTACTAGGACATCGTTGCAAACAAGATAGAGGTATGATCACTTGCCTATCTATGTGAGACCGAAATGCTCGCCAGAAGCCAGAGAAACTCTTGTCGTTAACAATACGAGGTTATAAGCCTAGAAGCTGTCGTCTAGCATGAAATAAAGGTAGTTGGTGGGGTGCCCTGCTGTGTACTGAAGGAGAGAAGGCGTGTGAATATTTTGCCTCATGACAACAACTGTTTGAACACGTCGGCACGTTAATCTCCTACGCTTGCTCCACGACGCTCAAATTTTAGGACCATCGTTCGGAGAACTGCAGCACGTTGTTGGAGGATATAGGAGTGGACACGTCAAAACATGAACATTTTTCGGTTGTTTGGTTCGCGTTCGCGCTGTGTAAGCTATCTGGAAAGCTAACAGATCGTGGTTGTAGGGGATTTGGCCCACTTGGCCTCTATATTCATCCTTATTCAGAAGATTCAGACGACCAGGTCATGCAGGGGTGGGTTTGCTTTGGATTTGCTGATCTGTCGTTGCTCAGGCGTGTCACTTGTATATCTACTAGGTATTTCCTTCAAGACACAGGCTCTCTACGCCCTCGTATTCGTGACACGCTACATTGACCTGCTATTCCGCTGGGTGTCCATTTACAACTTCGTGATGAAGGTTTTCTTCATAAGCAGTAGTTGTTATATCCTCTACCTCATGAAGTACCGTTTCCGGTGTGTTTTCACTTGGTGTCCGCCTTTTGCATGAATATTGACCGTGATTTTGACAGTCCAACGCACGACCCCTCCATTGACACATTCAAGGTTGAATATCTCCTTGGGCCATCCTTCGTTCTCTCGCTGATATTCAACTACGCATTCGAGCCAACCGAAATTCTCTGGACGTTCTCTATATATCTCGAATCTGTCGCGATTTTCCCCCAGTTGTTCATGTTGCAGCGTACTGGCGAGGCAGAGACAATTACAACGCACTACCTGGCCGCTCTTGGTCTTTATCGTGCTCTGTACCTTCCCAACTGGATATATAGGTACGCACGCGTATAATGGATTTTGTTCATGACTGAACGATTTTACCCTCCAGATACTTTACTGAGGACGTGGTGGATCCCATAGCTGTCACAGCTGGACTGGTGCAAACCGGGCTTTACCTCGACTTTTTCTACGTCTACTTTACAAAGTGCGTTTTTTTCATGATTCCTGCGCCAAATGTACGCTTACCAATGACGTCATTCCCAGAGTCCTCCACGGTCAGAAGTTCGAGCTTCCGGCATGAGTTGGCGTATTTTGGTCTATCGGAGTCTGACATGTCATTAATCAGAGCTTTGCCTACTACGAACCGCTCTTGGACATACACGTATGCTTCGGAGACCATAGAATTTTGCAGTGCATAGCAAACGAGATATTCGAGTTATCGCCTCCGTAGCTCATAGTTCGTTAGTGGCCTAAGCATGTCACATGTCTCGGCTGAATCGGCGTCAGGGTCCAGCGCGGATCCTTCCACTGGAGCATTCATTGAGCCAGGGTTTCTAGCCATCCTCAGTGATAATCATTATCGTCCTAAACATCGTGTATCACAGCGTCGTCGACACTGGGGACAATGCTTGGAGTTTATGATGAACCATATAACTTGACAGGGAGAAGAATTGGCCATGGCAAAGGCTCCGGCGGTGTCGGCGGGGCAAGCTCGGACAAGGAAGCCTTCGAACTTGCTTCAAGACAATAACCTTCCCAAGCTGTGATTGAAAGTTGCAACGTTGAACAGCGGATCAGAGATACATGGTGCCGGAGGTTCGATAAGATCACGAGCATTAATTCCGCGACGTTATACGCTACCGCGATGCTCGGTCCTTGGCGGAACACCACGGCATCCGGTACTCGCGAGGATGTAATTTAGGTATGATAACAGTTTGAAATCGATAGAACATAACGTTTAAACACTAGGCTTGAAATGATGCCCATCCCACTCGTCGACTAACGTATTAGCTAGTACATCTTGTTATATCAATAAATTCTTAAATTTTGCCTGCTGAACTCACTTGATACGAAGAATAAGTATATTGAATTTGAACTGCCCCATGCATAAAATAATTTAAATCATGAATGTAATGATAGAGACAGTATCGGGGAGTTCGCATGAGTGGGCAGGAGGTGTTGGGGCACAAGACAGTCCAGACATGGGTGGCGGCAAGCACAAGGTGTGGGAGGGCTCGTGTAAGACGGTACGAGAGCACGCTAGAGGGGGCGCTCAATTGGTCCATTAGTTATGAGGAATGAAAAAAAAAATGCAAGCACCAGATGCAGGGGAGTAGTAGTTGAGCATGTAACAACAGAGCAATGGAAAGCAGGAAGGTGCAACGGAAGTGCTGTCCAGATATTCTAGTGCAACAGAAATAAACAGAAGAAATAAAAATAAAGACGAGATGTAATGTGGGTACGAGGAGCGGGAGTATAGGACTTTGGCCCCAGAGTACTTCTACGTGGAATAGCCCCAGATTGGCTAGTTCCCTGATGCTTTTCATTTTGACGAGTTGGATCGGGTACATATATGCCGGTCGAACAATGAGGTTAAGGTGATTAAATCATTACACTCAGACGGGGTGACATATCGTACACATAGTCTACATGCATAGCCTAGAGTTTTGCCAGCTCTCCCGGTGGTAATGGCATTGTAACCGGCAGAACTGACCCCAAGTAGTTCTGCCCCCCACACTAACCACTGAGCGCTCGAACACTGAAGTGAAAGTTATATACAATGCCCGGGTGCTACCCACCCGACCCGCACCCCTGCTGTACTAGGAGTCCGAGTCCCGACCCATGCGAGTCCTACCAGGGCACCCTCTACCCATGTCGGGCACTAACTTGAAGCAGATTTTGTCACGTAGGCTAAGAGATGTTTCCCGCTAGATTGTCAATCAGGTCACTGAGCGCATCAGTAAATTCACACATTGCTTGAACTTCCTTTTTTGCAACTTGCTGCCGGGTAATTCCAAAAAAGGAGCGGAAAAGTCATTCATAAGAACAGTGACACCAACTTGCCATCAACTTGCCACAAGGCAATTTAAGTCGAAAAAGTAGATGCCTCCTCTTGACTTCGACTTTTTTCAAACTTTTTGTTGGCTTTTTTGGCACTTATTTGTAAAATAGCCCACATTGCAAGTAGTGCAAGTTGGGGCTACTTATTTCACACTTGTTTCGACAAAAATGACAAAATATTGCATTCAAGGATAATTACATGATAGGACTACTAAGTACTAGTGGGGAAACAATACAACTACTTGTGGCAGTGGCGACTAGATGCAGAAACGAACTCAAAGAATGGGGAGCCAGCAGCAGCAAATTTTGAAGAGGGTGAAAGGCGGGATGCAAGGAATGAAAGGCGGCATACAAGGCAGACGGCACATGAGGCAAGCGGCAGACTGCAATGAAGCAGACGCTATTAATAAAAGGAAGTAAAACAAATGAAAAAAACTTACTTGGAGGTATGCGAAAGGACAGGCGAAGTTTGGACACTGAGGCAAGCGGACATTATTAGTCAAGGGAAATTTAAAAAAATGAAAAAAAACTTACTTGGAGGTACATGAAAGGACGGGCGAAGTTTCAGATGCTGAGGCAAGCAGACATTATTAGTAAAAGAAAATACAACAAATAAATAAAAACTTACTTGGAGGCCATGCGAAAGGACGGGCGAAGTTTCAGACACAGACATTTTTAGTAAAATGGAAAAAAAAACAAATAAAAAAACTTACTGGGAGGTGTGTGAAAGGGTGCGAGACCATGAGAGTGAAGTTTCAGACACTGAGGTATGGAGGTATGTGAGATGATGCATGGAAGTTAGATTGAGAGTCAGACAAGGTTGAACGTTAACGTTGAGAGTGAACTTCGTGTGAAAAACTGACGTGGTTCAAATATGACACGTGACGCGTGATGGTTCACAGCGCTCATTTTTGACAAATCCTGAAACTGCATGCGCCCATCTTTGTCATACTGACTTTAGCTTCATGCAGATTGAAGGAATCGGTTTGTATAGTTTGGGTTTGGGTACTGTACGTGCATCTATCAATTGTTCTTTCAATTTTTGCTAACTGCAGCCCTCCACACACCCCCCGGCACATCTCTCGCATCCTCCCAATCCAACCATGCCCAACTGCACCCTCCAGCACCCATACCTGGCGCCCTCCAGCACCCTCCTTGTTCGAGTTCGAGCCACGCTGATCCAAGTCATTGCCACCGCTCGCAGGAAGTGAGTGTGTCGATCCTCGTTTGAGCAAGACCCATGCTGATCTAAGTCGTTTCCTGCTGTTCACAGTTCGTGAGTCTGTCGATCCCCCTTCGAGCAAGACCCATGCTGATCCAAGTTGTTTCCTGCTGTTTGCAGTTCATGAGTCTGTCGATCCCCCTTCGAGCTCAAGCCACGCTGATCCAAGTCATTTCCCGCTGTTCACAGTTCGTGAGTCTGTCGATCTCGTTATTGTGTTGCTACTACTGATATACATTGTACCTACACCCATATGTCTAGTACATGAATACATGGGTCACGAGTTACTACCTGCCGCGGGTTACATACCAAGTTGAACTACTTATTTACTTGCTGTACTTATTTCTGTTTCGAATACTTGAACTGACTTTTTTGATCTTATGCTACTTTTCGGCACTTGTGTGTCATACACTTCCTTTTTTGACTTGTGAAAACAAACAGCCAAGTGAATAAAGGTGAATAAGTGTCAATAAGTTAAAAATAAGTTTTAATTTTCGAAAAAAGGTCTGCCAAGAAATGTGTGAATTTACTGATGCGTGCCGTCACGGTTACACTTCGGTCCATCATACTTCATTCACGTGCATGGACTTGTCCGGCCCTCCCGGGCTTCCTCGGCTCTGCTTACTAGTAGATGCATGTTTGTATACGTCTCACTACGACCGAGAGATTGCGATCATGATGATGTTTGGTATGTGTGCTAGCCTGCAATGCTTGACTGTGCCCGTATACCGGTTGACCTGGTGAGCAGTCTCTCGTAGTCAAACCTTGAGCTTGAATCCTCAACTGGGTACTAGTAGGTGCTGTGGCTACTATCTGAGGTAAATCTCTGCGCTTAATATCAAAGAATTTCTATCACGAAAGGCTCTAGATATTGTTCAAGTTGTTTCCTAAAAAGCTTCGATGATCCTGTTACGGAGGCAGCGCCGGCTAGGGCTTTTGAAGATACCGAGTGCTCTCCCCAAAGCTACCATACAATTCATATTCAACCAACCACTCCTCAGAGAGCTGTTTATGAACCAGCGTTGGACAAGTATTCAGACTTATCATTGAACGAAATATGTTTGGGGCACAAAAGGTTTTCAGTCACACGCTGCCTTGCCTTGGTTCTCGGCGGCCAGCAAGTCACCAGCGCACTTTTCTAATTAATCTGCTGAACCCGGTTGGCACGAAACCATGATGATAAGCACCGCAATTAACGTAACCGCTATATAGCAAGAACTTACCGGTTCACTGATTCCTACTATTTTGGCAGTTACATTTCGCTTCAAGCCTTCGATGGACTCGGAGCGCCCAGTTATTATAGCACTGCGGACCGACAATCCCTAAAAAATTACGCTTTCCACAAGTGAGATTGGCGATGGAGGCACTGTTATTTGTTGAGCCCCCTACATAGTACGTTGCCGCTTCGAAAGGACCAGCGTCTGCATCATGTGTCATCTGATTCTATCGGGCGCGAAGGACCTCCGGTTATAATTGCAACAACGTTAGCGACCACTAATACTTCCCACTCTTGTAAGTAGTCTCGGGTGCCGGGACGTGCCCTGCATAGCATACAAGACTCTTGTTCTTCAATAAATCGACGTACACCGTAGAGTATAAGTACAGGGTACATGCAGTCCATTTCAGCCATTCCTCCACCAATCTTCTCTACAAGTTTTCACAATGATCATGAACAACCTGTCCACATCCACCCTCGATGGCAAAGTAGTACGTGCTTGTGTTTTGATACGCTTTCATGTCCTCATTTTAATGGCGAATAGGCTCTAGCAGGCATCCGCCACTCCGTCGCCCAATTTCTTCAACGTTGCGGCTTGCAATATAAGAATATCACACTCGACGAAGCGTGGTTATCCGAATGCTCTAAGGAAGCCATCAACCGTGGCTATCCAATGGACGCCATCCAGCCATACATGGCTGTTGGCGTGGCCATAATGTCCAACGCTTACATCCACCTCCCAGACCATGCAACCAAGATATGGATCTGCCTCTTCACCGCCGTATGCACTTGCATCGACGACATGACCAAGTCAGAAGATCTAGTGCATTTGTACCGTTTCAACGAGCGGTTCATGAATTGCCAGCCACAGGGGCATCCAGTTATGAATGCGCTTGATGAGCTCATACGGGAGGTCACTTGCCATTATTCCGCGACGGTGTCAAATTTGATCGTCACGTCCTCGCTCGACTTCATGACTTCCAGCTTACTTGACAGTGAGACCAAAGATATGCCGGTATGTTATTTCTCCATAGAGGTAACTTCGATCCTTACCCCTTTGTGTGAACAGATCTCGCTGCAGGCTCCCTCGTACCCCGAGTTCTCTAGGCTGCTATCAGGCTTGTCGACTGCGTACGGACTCTGCATTTTCCCTTCCACACTCCCGCTTCGGGAATACGTTCAATGTATGCCGGATCTAGCCATAGTCATAAACCACACAAAGTAAGTAAATTTATGATTTTTGTATTAACCTTTCTAACCTGCCACGATTTAGTGATATATTGTCATACTACAAAGAGGAGATCGAATGCGAAACCGTCAACTACCTGTCACTTATGGCAGCATCTCGTGCTCTCACCAAAGAGGACGCTCTCTCTGAGCTTATCGAAACAACTGTACGAGCATATCACAATGTCCTCGAATTTCTAAGGCCGCGTCCTGTGGCATATAACGCTTATGTCGCGTTTTTCGATGGGTATGTCAAATTCCATGCTACCTTGAAAAGGTACAAGCTGGAAGAGGTTATGTCGGAGATGTCATCTTGATGGATATGGATAGCTTTCTTCTAGTACTTTTCAATCTTCTCTATGTTAGTCTCTTGAAGTGAAGCGCTAGCTATTACGTTTACTACTCGCAGTAATATCCTGTCTTTGTATTTGTTCAGAGTATAGAAATTAATACTCGGAGAGAGCAGAATCAATCGTGCTATACTTCAATACGAGCTCACGCCCGTTGTGCCTTCGGCACAAATCGAAGGAGCGCTACGCGCTCCTTCAGGGTAGGAAAATGAGTGTTGTTCCTTCGTCACAGGAAGCCAAGGAGGGCTACGCCCTCCTTTGGCTTCCTGGCCTCAGGCTGCATCCTAATAAATTGTGCATTTTGAATAATTTTGAAAATACATTTATGAGCAGTTCAAAAAAACTTAAAGTACAATCTACCACCACATAAAGTACATAGTAAGATCAGTCAGTTCTACATTCTTTGAGCAAAATTCTGACAAAATTACAAAATATATAACAGTATCATTGAATGTATTTATTTTCCCATCTTTGCCTGTCGGAAAAAAGTTCCCAAGGTTTTAAGGCCTTGCAAGACATTTTAATGCTCTATTTGGAGGGTGTCCTTATAAGGGCTTTTAAACAGGTAAGATAATATTTGAATGCCCATTAAAAGGCACTTATAAGGGCCCTTTTGATGACCTTACATTGAGTTTTGCCTCGCCATGCCTCAGAATGGCCCATTAAAATGCCTTGTAAGGCCCTCTTAAGGTGCTGAGCCAAACTTGTAATCCGGCAGTATTACAATGGTACCTAACTTTTTTCCAACACCTACCCACCTCCCGTCTCCCGTCTCCCGTCTCCCGTCTCCCGTCTCCCGTCTCCCGTCTCCCGTCTCCCGTCTCCCGTCTCCCGTCTCCCATCTACTCCCCATTCTCCCTGTTTGCTCATTCTCCCAGCAATTTTCCAATTTTCTTATATCTTTCATCTCCCAATTCTTCCCTTCCCCAGGTTTTGTCTCTCCATTGTCTTTTCCCTTCTTTTTCCCTTTTTATTTGTTTATTTTTGTCACTACCTTTTGTCATTCACCATCTCATTTTGACCATTTACTTTGTGTATATACAGTTGCTACAACACCTGCAGGAAAACACTCAAATTTCATGAATAAACATGGGTGCTGTTCTAATGGGCAAAGGAGATTGAGTCGGCGCTCAAAGGCCACGCGAGAAAACCACGCGAGAATTCCAAATCGAGGTTAAGCGAGCTAAGCGCAAACCACATGGCCTTTGGCGAAATATGCGAAATAGGCGCAAACCACGCGAGCGCCCGAACGTTCCCGCAACCGTCGCACTTTACTTCTTAGACGAGCTCACGCCCGTTGTGCCTTCGGCACAAATCGAAGGAGTGCTACGTGCTCCTTCAGGGGAGGAAAATGAGTGTTGTTCCTTCGTCACAGGAAGCCAAGGAGGGCTACGCCCTCCTTTGGCTTCCTGGCCTCAGGCTGCATCCTAATAAATTGTGCATTTTGAATAATTTTGAAAATACACTTATGAGCAGTTCAAAAAAACTAAAAGTACAACCTACCACCACATAAAGTACATAGTAAGATCAGTCAGTTCTACATTCTTTGAGCAGGATTCTGACAAAATTACAAAATATATAACAGTATCATTGAATGTATTTATTTTCCCATCTTTGCCTGCCAGAAAAAAGTTCCCGGGGTTTTAAGGCCTTGCAAGACATTTTAATGCTCTATTTGGAGGGTGTCCTTATAAGGGCCCTTTTGATGACCTTACGCCTCGCCATGCCTCAGAATGGCCCATTAAAATGCATTGTAAGGCCCTCTTAAGGTGCCGAGCCGAACTTGTAATCCGGCAGTATTACAATGGTACCTAACTTTTTTCTGACACCTACCCATCTCTCAATTGTCTCCTACATCCTCCAGTCTTCCATCTCCTGTCTCCTGTCTCCTGTCTCCTGTCTCCCGTCTCCCGTCTCCTGTCTCCCATCTCCTGTCTCTATGTCCTCCCATTCTCCCATTTTTGAGTCCACAGTCTTCAGTGTCTCCTTTGATTTTTATTTTTATTTTTTCACAACCTTCTGTCATTCATCTCCTGTCACCATATATTTGTTTTCCCCCTGTCTGTAATTGTATTATACATTGTTTCATTATTTGATGTATGTATACAGATACTACCATAACAATTACAGTAGGGAAAACCTCATCTGCCTTCCCCTGCTCAAACACATCTTTTTCATTATTTAATGCCATGTACATATACAGTTACCAACGTCGTGCTAAGTTCCCAACTGGCGACGCTATTTGAGTCGGCGCTCGAAAACACGTGACAAAACCACGCGAGTTTCCAAAAAGAGGTTTAAGCGAGCTAAGCGCAAACCACATGGCCTTTAGCGAAATAGGCGAAAGCCACGCGAGCGCCCGAGAGTTTCCGAAAACCGTCGTACTTTACTTCTTAGATTCTTAGATCAAGGACAAGGATTCATCGATTTACTGATGCCTTGCTGTGACTGTTAATTTTTGACCGTCGAGAGTCTGTGTGTAATAAGACACTTGAAGATGTGCAAATAATGGTGGAAGTGCGGATACACTTGTACAGTAATTGAGGGACAATTGGACATCATGGACCCTGAGTAGAAGTCTTCTGTGTCCATCTCATGACCTGGTATCCGATTCCCCGACTCCTAGGAGGGCTTTGTTTTGATTTCCCAGTCTTCTCGTAGTGAGGTGTATACCTCGTGAGCTTCATTCGGCATCGAATGTTCCATTTTTTGGGACTTCAAACCGACAGTCCGAGCACGGTCTGCAGCACCTGGCGGGTTTGCAAATCCTTTCGCACTAAATGGATCTTCATCAGCACGCCCTCCGAACCAGCAGGCAGCAGCACACCTCGTACCTCCTGAGTCTATTCCTCCTCATCCTCCGCAGTTCTTCGATAATCTCATGATGCTACCCAACCACCAACAATATGATGCATATGTACGCCCTAGTACCGGCACAGATCCATTATGCGTTCATTTCACAGTTTTGCAGATGTGACTTGGCCGCTTCGACACAACATCCGGTGTCGTCACAGTCGTCACCAGTTTCCGTCTCGGACATCTTGACATTCAATACTCAATGTTTTCCCTCGGCAGTCCTACCTCCATCACGTCCACTGAGGTATGCATTGGTCTACGGTCCACACGCTCTGGATTGTTTATCCGCCAACCTTCGGTTCTGCCTATACTCTAGCCTGAAGTCCGCTGGAAAGCGCACCCATTCTGATACAAGTGCCAAACTTACTTTCCAAGAACTTTTTTCCGATAGGATATAAGAGCAAGACCGCTATTAGCAGAATCAGAGCCACTGTTTTTCTTGACACATCCCATATAACCTAGCACGAACCATGCATTTCTCATTCCTCCGAGTCGTCGCAGTCGTTGCAGCTTTGACAAGATCTATGTCTGTCACCGCACAGCTCGTGGGACCGTAGGCAATCCTTGTAAGAATAGCAGCAATCCACCAGGCCTCGTATGCTGCGGTAACCTTCTGTGTAAGCCTGCTGTGAGTATGAGTCGTTCGCTTTGCATCCGAAATTCAACCCCACGACTCACCTTTGCGCCTTGTACAGCCCAAAAGTTCTTCCACGTACTGCGTGGAACCTTGAAAGTCCAGATGAACTTGGCGGACTGAGCATGTCACAATAGTGAGTCTTATCTCTTTCGCGTTGGCACAGTGCTTGATCGCACGATGTACAGTTCGTCGCGGCGTTGATGGATGTGCTCACTTTTATACAAATTTTCCTGACGCCTTAACCGGACTCCCGATTAAATTACTGTAGCGTTGATAGAAGACCTCGGGATCAGGCCTCATGTCATTCAACTTGTATACAGTAAAAGTAGAAGAAAATTGATGTCTTCAGCCAACATTGAAGTAGGTGTACGTGACATTGAAGATCATTCGAAAGAAGGGGCTGGTGTCGAGGCATTGGAACAAGAACTAAAGAACAAGCCTCGGCGTCGTGAAGAGAACCACCAGTGATAGTGAGGTACAAATAGTGTGGCTGTCCATATGGAATACTGCTAGTCCACGAGAATTAGAATTTGCGGCGAGCCGACCATGATTGCAGAGAGTGTGACGAGGTAGTCGGTCGTAGTCCCCAAATCCAACTAATGGAAGATCATGTATGCGGGTGTTCGCTTGGATGGGCAGAGTCCTTCATACCTTTGCGTTCGACGAGAATAACCGAACGTGGCTTTGACTGACTGCTGTTACAGATTAGCACGCACTTGGCACGCACATCATGTTGGATTCAATCGAATAGAGTTTTCGACAGCAAGATTCGCTTGAGAAATGAATGATGTTTTCACTGACTAACAGATCAGCACGCAAGATTCAACAATTCGGCAGGCGATCCAAAGGAATCGGGGACTGGCGCCCGCGCCGTTACGATTGATATCATTCTAGTGGTGCATGACTGAGTCCACTTGAACGTGTTGCTTGTACATGTTTTCATTTTCGGCGGACTTTGAAGCATACCGGCATCGCGGCGCTTGAGTAGGTTGCGGCAAGCATCCCGCACACGACTCTGAGACCTCCACTTTCTTTCTTCAGCTTACGAGTCGCAATGATACGCTACTTTTCCGTATGCTATCTTGCATATATACTTTTTACAAGCCTCCCATGCGTCCTCGGTAAAACGGACACGACGGTGAACAACAAAACAATTGACCGAGTGAGTTGTAACATTTATGACGTGTGAGCAGGAACAACCTTGTTTTGGGCTTGCTTCACTTCTCTGTCAGTGGACAAAGCCAGAATATCTCATTGTTTTCATCCATCCAAGACCATACAGCTTCGGACGCATTCAATATTTCCTCCATACATTGATCAGGACCTGCAAAATCGGTGAGACAGAGATGTTATGTCCTCAAGATGCAGTCTTACACCTACTTAACTTTCAGTTGGTGGGATTTCGGTGCAGATGCATATATTGTGAGCCCAGTCGGTTTTCAAAAGCGACCTCTTGTATTCTAACATCACGTAGAACACCAACAAACATATTCGTCTCGCACGCGCTCGCCCATCTCAAATGGTGCGCTAGACACGTTAACCAAGCTTCTCTTTAATTCATGTTTTGCATTAGGGATGGCTCTGGTCACGCATGCCAGTTGACTGCTTCCAATTTTATTGTTGAGGTAGAATTTAAAGTAAGCGGCAATATTCTGATTTTTTCAGCGTGTCCAAACAGGCTATTAGGTCACTGGTGAATCAACCCACTTGTACGGAGATGGAATGGCTATCTGGCTCACAAAGGACCGAGCTGAACCAGGTCCTGTCTTCGGTAGTAAAGGTCAGTTCTAGTCTTACTATGGTTACCTTGATTTGACATCAGTTTCCCTCCCAGATAACTTCGAAGGGCTTGGTGTCTTTTTGGACACGTAAGTCACCGAACCGTTATGTTTGACGTTGCCCTTCTCACCTATGATGCAGTTATGCAAACTCTCGGCATCCGTATGGCTTTCCCCGCGTTATTTCAATGTTGGGAGATGGTCAGACGCCTTACGACCAAGCGCATGATGGTGAGGCCAACAGCCTAGGCTCGTGTTCAGCCAATTTCCGTCGTACGAACGTGATCACGAAGCTCAAGATCACCTACGTGAAGGATACCTATCTTGATGTGCGTCTGGATGCTTGCACTGTCAGTCACTCTTTCTCACGCAATTGTAAGATAGGTCAAGGTCCACTATCGAGCCTGTGCGTACATTTCTTTTGATTGGAGAATTAACACTAACAAACACACAGGGGATGACTGGTCTGACTGTTTCCGCCTCACGGGTATAAGTCTTCCCCCCGCTCCATACATCGGCATAACCGCAATGACAGGCGAAGTATTTGATTCACATGAGTACGTCTTGCATTCGCCAACAGGTGCCTCCCGTTGACACACTCCTTAGTGTAATTTCTGTGACGACGTGGTCCGCAATTCTGTCGGCCTCTGATGCGCAGCGCAACAAGTTTGGCGCCAGTGGGAAGGGTACGTTCTCACGCAAGTCCGGAGCTGAGTCGCAGGGCGGCTCGTGGCTCGGCTTTATCTTCAAAATACTGCTCTTTGTGGCCGTCTGTGCAGGTGCTTCGTATGGGTATAAAACCTACACGCTTAATAAGAGGAGGGGTTATGGTGGTTCTGCATTTGGGGGCTTGGGTTACGAGAGCCGGAGGCGGTTCTGAGAGATTATGTCGAGCTCGTGTACATTCTGACTTCATTCAATGAAATCACTGAGACGGGTTTGCAGGTCTTAGGGACCGAATTTCGATCCCATCAGGATTGTATCGTATTGATGTCAGTGGAACTCAGTGTTTGTACGGGATATGTATCTACTACATACTACTATCTACTAAAGTGTAATGCTGATGACAGAAAAGAGCTAAGTACTACTACTACTACGACTAATGCTACGTAAAAGATATACAAGAGGCAAACTGAGCGAGAGGACGTAGGTATTTATGTAACTACAGAGACACACGCAAATTGCTGATGAAAGAAATACTACTGCTACTAGAAGATCCCAGAACAACAGAGATAGGACACAGTGAACAAAAGGGTACCGAAATACAATGAGATGTCGGGTTATTTTGGTGATACATACGTCACAAAGTAAACTATACACCATATCGCGTAGCAAGGCGCTCCTGGATTACAGGAGGGAAGCTCGAAACCTGTGCGGCCCAACCTGCTTCATCGTGATGCTTGAAACCGGACAAAAGTTGTTGGAACATCGAATTCAGCTCGGCGGAGGGCTGATGCCACCTGATGATGGCATTGCAGAACCAGAGAAGACTCTGCATTTAGAAAAATCAGTGTTAGCGCACACTAAAAGAGTGGGAATTTTGACAAACCTTGGCAATGCCCGCTGGGTTGGTCTGCACGAGAGTGCATAGACCACGGAACGCAGAGTCTTTCTCTTCATTATCACGAATCTCATACAAGGCTAAGCACCATGCTTGTGCAAACTCAGGCAAATGGGGTGCGACAATACTGGGGTGCATCAGCCCAATCCTTCCAATGGACACAGCAGCGTTCTCGTGAAGGCTGCGTGGAGCCTTCGGGTGCAGCAAGATAGGAATGAGACGCGCGATAAGGGGGTTAACCCATTGCTGGAACTCCGGGTCGTCTAGAAAATGGCGTGTTTAGTGACTCGATATTGAGGATGGACAAGTCTACTCACCGCGCCCATAGCGCAGTGCTACTTCCCCGACAGACCAAGCTGCGTTATTGCATGCACTGATAAACTCGACCTTAGGCTCAGGGTCAAGTTGTTCGATAAGCTCCGCCATGATGGCAGGCAGATGAGGGCGTAGGAGCTGGAAGCAGCCCATCGCAAGGTCTCCGACGAGAGCATACGCACTCTGACGGACCGGTGCCTGAGGGTGTTTGAGACACACCGTCAGTAGCTGCAGAAGGTTCGGACTTGTCTGCCCAATGAGAGTTTCCAGATGCATGCCCATGCCCTGGGCAAGGCCCGATAAGAGATCCAGTGACACCACAAGGAAGGATTTGTCAGGCTCATCGAGGTCGGGGCTCTGCTGGTATGCTTGATACATGAGTAAAGACTGGTGGATAATGTTCACGCAGCGCTGGAAGACGGGTAGTGCGTAAGGGGAAAATGCCGGTCCCATGGCAATTGTGACGGACGCAATGCACTGGGATACCAAAGTATGAGGACTCAAAGTACCAATACATCGATCAAGGTCATACCTCAAGAAGCGGAATCAAGTCATCATCATTGTCCGACAATTTGGCCCATCGAGACGTCAGAGGGGGCATCAAGATTTCCACATATGCGGGATTCTGCAATGCCCTACCGACAGCGTCGGCCAATGTGCCAACAGCATCATACAGTATGAGCGTGTTCTTGTGCTGATATTTTTCGAACGCAAACACCAGATTCCGGAGGACAGGTTCCAAATAGGGTACAAGCTCGGGCCCAGCGTCTTCCTCTAACGTTGCGAATGCGCTACATCCTGCTTCTTGTACACGTTTGTTGTCGTCCAGGACCATTCGCAAGAGCTGGAGTCGTTTTAAGTCATCATAATCACATGCGAAATAGAAAATACGTACGCCTTCCATTGTCGGGACGAAGTACGTGTTCTTATGTTGCTCCGATATAGGTTGTGTACACCAGCTTGCATACCGACCCAATGTCCAGCAGGCAATTGATCGAACAAGGGGCTATACACTGATTCGTCAATCGTCCCACACAGTAAGGGGGTAACGGCATACCTTAGGGTCATTGAGTGTGTTGATTAGATATGGGACGAGGGTTGTCAGATGAGGCTCAATTGCATCAATGCAGCCTTGAGGAATAAAATCAATATACGACCACCAGATAAGAAAGAAGCACCAGCACCTTCTGCCATGGCGCCTAATGCCAATATGCCACTTTCCCTTTCTAACCACTCAGCACTCCAAAGTTTATTCTTCAAAGGACCCAGAAGCACATTCAGTAACTCGGACCCAAACCTCACAGCCAGCACATCCAGCGCAGCAGCAGCACATTTCCTCAAGTTCCACTCCGTAGACATCTCATCAGCAAAATCATCGTCATCAAGATCGTAGTCGTCCTCATCCTCATCGTCCAATGTCTCCTCCCCGTACGCGCCTCGCTTCCGCTCCTGTCCATTAGCTTGTGCTTGGTCCCGATCCAGACCGTGTGTTTTGCCCCCGTAATGACGTGGCTTGATATCAGTTTCCTTGTCAGGGACATTGGTATCTTCTGTGTCGCCATCAAGCCAGAGAAGATCATCCTCTCCGTAAATCATGCAATCGAGCAATACTGGAGCAACTCGTCCTAGGAGAGGATGGAGGAATGCTGCGAGGTCAGGATCCTCGGCGAAAGTGAGCCAGAACTCGCAGGCTTCGAGGGCCACGCTTTCATTCTTATCTTTGGTCGAGTATAACATGTACTCTGCGACATTCGACATTTCCGGCATCAACTTCTCGGGGCGGGCTGCAAGAAGCAATACAAGAGCTTGGCAGACGTGTCTTCGGACAGATGGATCCTCGTCAGATGCGCGCTTGAATAGGCAGGCGATGAAGGCATCGATGTGGGCAAAAAGGGATTGAGAATTAATCGGCACGAAATATGAAAGACAAGCAACGGCATGTGACCGCATTTTCGGCATTGGGTGCTCAGATAGCACGAGGAACTTGGGGATCATGTAATCCAGAGGACGCGTTCCGTTAATCTCAACATCCATTTTGCGAGGAAAATCCTCGCAAGCTTTCTCGAAAACGCTGAAAGCAGCCTGCGTGGTAATTTTCAGTATTCACGATCGAATAGTGATACAGATAATCATGGGATATGAACGTCGCGTGCTTTGGGACCGTTCGGGTTCAGCATAAAGTCACGTTCGATTAAATGCGACATTCGATAAGGAGAGCTGCCGAAGAGCCAGCGCTGCACTCGCATAGGCTTTGCCCGACTGTCAGGTGCCTCGAAATTCAAGTGGAGGCACTTGCTCCGACGCGATCCCATGTTCCAGCCTCGGAATATCATCACTCGGACACTCACCTCCTGGAGAGCTGGATCAGGCGAATCTAGCATATTCACCAACTGCTGCAAGCAATCTGGCCAATTTCTAGGTTCAAGAGCACCAAGGAATGCAACAATATCATGACCGGCAGCATTCCTTATCAAAGGAGGAGAGCTGACGAAAGCTTGAAGAACAGCCGACTTTGCATATTCGGCTACCTCCGGAGATACGCTAAGGAGCAGACGTGCATTGTTCTTCAATAGATACCCAGCTATCGTGCGGATTTGGTCTTCCTCTTGGGGGAGAGCGGTTAAGATGTAAGCCAGATATGCAATATAATCTGGTACACGTGTAAAGGTGTTCAATTTCTATTTAAGCGGATGTTAACGCGCTGCAGATCATCGCAAGGAAAATGCATACATGAGTGATTGCTCGTTGTACATTGCCTTGCGTATCAGTTGAGTCGCGTATAGTCTGCAGGATCTCCTGTAGACCTGCAGGCTGCGGCGTCCAAGTAGACATCGTTAAAAGCCGTCAATGCGCGTGAAGTGTAGATTTAGGGGAACGCGCCGCAAGAAAGAAAGGGCTCAGTCAGAACTCTTAACCAGTGGCAGTAACCCTCTTTGCCTACACCTAAATTACTTTGTGTGGTTTTATTTGTCGTCGTGCGAACTGATAGGCGTAGTACACAAAGAACGTCACGCTTGTCACGAAACCAGACTCCTGAGTCACATCTTCGGGAAGCATAGGTAGTTCGCACTGAGGTTTACTTCTAGACTTCGATTGGAAGCTGGTTTTACTGAACTTGCTGATAGTGTTACTAATAGCCAGCGGCCAGCTGTAGTCTGGGGTTGAAACTTCCTTGATTATCATCGGCTTAATGATGCGACGACGATCAGGCTGAATCCTGCCTGATCAACACTGCCGTCGGACACATCCTGTCACGATTTCCCCGAAGGACACGTATACCAGCTGAGCCTTGATCAATGATGAATTGATATCGGGTCTAGCTTCAGCTTCATTCAGGGGCCGCGACCCGGCGCTCACACACAAATTGACAATTAATCGGTCCTTGAAACACGAAAATGACTTTTTGTATATACTACATACAACTCTGGGGCTCCAGTATATTTTTCCCATATAGAAATATACAAGTACATTCGCAGCCAAGTTCGTTCACAAAATTTAACGAGGTGACTTGGACGAAACACCTTACCATCTCCTTATTAGGCTTTAGCAAAAACCGTTATGGTCTAAGCTCAGATTTTGACAGAATATAGCTACAGTGATATACATGTGATTATTTTCTAGCGTGTCAAATTGAGATTTGATGGTCAAAATTTTCACCAGTGATTTGGTGTCATACCATCTATTTTGTCGATTCTCTTGACAACATGCAAGATTACATTCCCAACTGATTGAGCCTTGGTTTATTGTGCTGTTTGAGTGCTGCTTCAGTGACCGAGTTCTACAGAAGCGTTTATGATCGGCGCTAGAACTCTGATTAAGAATTAATTAATTACCGACCAATGAAAAATTCCCTGTTAGTCCTAGGCTGGAAACGCACAAATCATGAGGAACGCACATGCTGTACCATAGATCAAATTACTTGCAGTGCAATTCATTGCCGTACTCTTGGCTGACCAGTTGAAGACAAAGAGAAGATGCGTTTCAAGATAAACTTGTGTTCGTGC